CGGCCCGACCAACAGAAATTAACCTTTTTAAACTCTGGCTGCCATAGTTTTACCGACCATCGGCCCGACTGAGGCCAGAGTCGGCCCGACCAACTAAAATTAGGTTCTCTAAACTTTGGCACCCATAGTCGGCCCAAACTTGGGTGGAAACAGTAACCAAAGTCGGCCCGACTTTGGCTGCCGACCTATTGGCAGCCATAGATGGGCCGACCTGCGCCCGACCTTCCAACTCTGGCGGCCGACCAAAATTCGCACCTGGGGGCAATTGCTTCCTCACATGGAAAAAGGAAGTTTATAGTTCTTCAAATGAGAATATAACATTTTTAAAAATGCATTTCGTTATTCTTTTTCTATTTAAATGGGTATCATAATGAATTCTTTATCAATTGTGTGTATACAAATGCGATAATATGGAAATGATTCTGTATAATTCAAATTTTTTCAATGGGACCATTCACATACTTAGACAGTATAGGGAGAAGGGACTCAAGCTAATAAAAAACGTTAAAGGCAACTTGTTTTGCTTTAGGCACCTATAAGACGTGCATTATTCTTTCTATTTGTCTAAATTCAGATTGTCTAGCTTATTGCCTAGTTAATAAGCTAATTACCTTCTAAAATGCTTTCGGTAAACAAAAGACTCATAAAATGAATAATTAAATAAAAAGTTTGATTTGTGAACAAACTTTGCATTGTCAGGGCTCGAACCAGTGAAAGTATTTAAAAATACGGACTTTACGGACCATTTACGTATCAATTATTACTGACAAAAATATAACCAGTTCGAGTCAAATAAAAGAATATTTTACTTAAAACTAAAAATTAAATTTTTTCATAACTAATAAAACATGAAGATATCGATAACTCCGAGTTCGGAGTGATTCGACTCGGAGTGATCGATTTCTTCATGTTTTATAATAATTAAAGATGACCCAGTGGTAAAATCATTTACAATTTAATTATTATTTTCAAGAATTTTTAACTAAAATTCTTAGAATATTTTTTGAAATTTTCGAAAAAGTGTTTTGACAATTTTCAAATCCATTTCTTTACAATACTCAATTTTACGAAATTTCAATTGTTCGTGTAAATTCTTCAATTAAATAAACATTAGAAAATAAAAACTTCAAATATTACCTATAAAAAAATTCAATTAAACTTTTCCAAAAAAATTAATTTCAAAATTATGTTATTTCTAAAAATTCCCGCAATATTGCTTTCAATAAATGTAGGACTCTTTTGTGATCCAAGTATTGTAATAGTGTAGAGTTTTTTTTTGTTTATAGAATCAATAATTTGAAATGAAAAAACTAAATTTTTAAAGTTTTTTTTTAGACGTTTCGATCCTAAATAGTTTGGATCCTCTTCAGTAATTTTATTAATATTCTGCAAAATACATATTTTTTTGGTTTTATTATAAAATGTTATGAATTATTTGTATGTAAACGAATATGGAACGAATGGAATTTATTAAGAAGACATTAAAACTCTTACCTGGTTATATTACATAATTTATGCACATTATTATGTTGTTTTACTGATTTTTTTTAACATTTAAAAAATTTTTTAAAAAAATTTTTTAGCATTTCAATATTCAATTATTATTATCTAAAATTTTAGCTGAAATTAATTTTTAAATCAATTTATATTAGAAAATTCTATTAGAATTCAATTATTTAAATACAAATAAAATGTAAATAAATAATTTATTGAATAATTGCATGTTTCTTAAAATTCAATTCCTATAAAGAATTATATCAACAAATTTTTAAATAATTGAATTCTTTCGACGACTTTTAATAAAATTTTTAAGAATAATTACATTTTTCGAGAAATTTGATTAAAATTGTATTAAAAAATAATTAAAATTCTGCGATGAGTGAAAATAACAATTGAATCCCTAAGAAGAATTTTACTACTTTTGAACAAAATTGAATTTTTGCAAAGAATTGCATTTTTGCAATAATTTGTAACTTTTACAAAATTGAATTTTTTCGTGTTTTTAACTAAACATCTTCTACCATTGTTTTTAATAATTTTTGAAAAAGTTTTTAAGAATTTTCAAATACAATTGTCTACAATTCAATTATAAAAAAATTTCAATTATTCGTAACTTCTTCAATTAAATATATATTAGAAAATAAAAACTGTAAATAATTATTAAAAAATTCCGCAATTAAAGTTTCTCAAAAAAAATTAATTCCACAGAATGGTTAGTTGAAAATATAAAAAATTTTAATTTTCAAAGAATTTAATCTAAAACCTTTTCAAAATTCAATTGTTTCTAAAAATTTACGCTCTATTGCTTTTAAAATTCAATTATAATGTAAAATTTTAACTGAAATCCATTTTTAAATCAATGTTTATGAGAAAATTCTCCTAGAATTCAATTATTTAAATACAAAAATAAATAACATTGAATGTTTCTTAAAATTTAATTTTTACGAAGAATTTTATTAATAACTTTTGAAAATATTTAATTTCTTTTAAGAAATTTAATTAAAATTTACAATTTTTGAAAATAATTGAAAAATTCTGGAGAATTTTATTAAAATTTTTTAAAATAATTTAATTCTTGAGAAGAATTTTGCTTTCTATTTATAAAGATAATTTAATATTCTTGACAAGAATTTTTAAAAAATTATGAAAATAATTTAATTTCTGCAAAGTATTTTATTATGTACTTTTCAAAAGAATTAAATTCTTGTGATGAATTTTGATATTTATCAACATCATTAAATGTTGAAAACAATTTTTCTTAAATTCCTTAAAATAATTGATTTTATGGGAAGAATTTTGTTGTTTATCAAGATAATTGAATTCTTTTGCAGAATTACTTAAAATTTTTTTAAAATAATTGATTTTCTGCGACGAATTAAAAGTTATTTAGGTATGAAAATATTATTTGAATTATTGCAACAAATTTTATTATTTTATGCAATAATTGAATGTTTTTAAAATGTTGAATTCTTTTGTCAAGTTTTAATAAAATTTTTAAGAATAATTGCATTTTTCGAGGAATTTATTTAAAATAGTATTAAAAATAATTGAAATTCTGCGAGATGAAAATAATTAAATTCTTAAATTAGAATACTTATAAAAATAATTGAATGTTTTCGTAGAATTGAATCAAATATTTTTTCAATAATTAAATTCTTTTATAAATTTTATGAAAATAGTAAAATATTGAAAATTATTGAATTGCGAAAAACTTTTGAAAATTATTGAAATTATGCAAGAAATGTTATTTTTAATTTTTGAAAATAATTGAATTTTTGGCGAAATATTTTGCTATTTGTAAAGATAATTAAAATCAAATACGAATATTGATCAATTTACCAGATTCAAAAACTTCAAATGACGATTTCTCAGTGAAAAATAAAGATTTTTTCAAGTTTCAAAAGGCTTTTTAAAGGGGAAGAATATAGGTACTTTTAGATGCCACAAATAATTTTTAGAGAAAAAATTTTCTTTTGATTGTACAGGACTTCAAAAATGCCCAAAAAACGTGCTTTTGGCACTTTTAGGTTAGAATATCTCAAAAACCAGATGTGATGGGGCAATTCTGAGGTTTTGTCGGCGTGTAATTGAATTCTTGTGATGAATTTGTTATTTATTAATATAATTGAATTTTGCAAAGAATTTTATTAAAATTTTTTATAATAATTGAATTTCTATGCACCGCCCAAGAATTTTGTTATTTATTAAGATAATTGCGTTAAAACTTTCGAAATAAATAATATTAAAAATTTCATTCTTGTCAGAAATAGAAAAGGTTTTTTTTATTAGAATTCGTGGTAGTTTTATAGTTTATGAGGCAAACAAAAATCCAGATTTTTTTTGTATGAATAATTCTAAAAATTTATGTTTTTTCAGTACTTTTATTAAAAATTCTCTCCAATTAGCGGTTAATGGGTTCCTAACGGTTACCACAGAAAAGGGAATTCTGTAAAAGTTTGGTAAACCCAATCTGCCAGGGCTAGTGTATATTTTTTATTTTGTAAAATATCAAAGTTAAAAATCCCTGTAATATTGTTTCAATATTTTCATTGATGGTATATTCTTAATTGTAGACAATTATTTTATTTGAATAATACATTTAAACAATAATTATAATTCAACCTTCATAATTGAGTGACGAACAGTAAAAAATTTACTTACACCATTACACTTACGGCAAATGCCGATCTTGGCCGATCTCACAGTCGCTATACTCGAAATATTTATTTACATTATTACATTTATCAAATCTAAAATTTTGTAAAAACTCCCAAATAACAATCGTGCGTTGTCACATTTTCCTCACTCCATGCGAATCTCAATGCATAGCCGTTTGCACTCATTTTGCAATCACTCCATGCAAGTCACAACATGTGTGTATCTTGCAGTCATTGTGCACAGATGTGATTGAACCAACTGTTAAGGCCTTTCTCCAATTAGGCTATTTAACTATGTGAAACGTAGTGACGTGAAGCATGAGATAGAAAAAGATACTAAGAATATATCTGTCCTTTTCTAACTCATTTTTTGCATTCGCGAAACTGTTGTCTTGAAAATACATGAAAATATCTCACTAACATACTTTCAGCATATTTTGAAGTTCCTGTGAAGTAAAAAGTGTTAATCCCACTACAATTATTTTATAAAAATCGTTTTAATTTTATTTATGTAGTTAAAAATTGACAGCGTTTTGGTTTGCTTTTTATAACTAGGCCATGAGTGTGAGAGAGATGGAGACACATGTTCGCTTTATTTGCACTCATGGCCTATTTACAAAACGCAACGGAAAACGGTGCCATGTGACTGCACCCTAAGAATCGGAAGTCGTAAATTTACATGAGAGAGAAAGAGATGAGTAAATCATTTGTCTTTTTCTACCTTATGTAAAATTTACGTCTCACTATTTTCATTGTGCGTTGGGCCGTTGGGCCTTTCCCGCGAGCATGTGAAGGCACCTTAATAAAGATTTCACATTACAGATCTTCTACTGCGCGATCTACAACATAAAGTTTCCTAGCCGTGATAGAACTGAAATGTAAGCAGATATTTCCCATCCCTGATTTTCTCGACCAATCGTCACTTCCTGAGAAATTTATCCTTTTCCGTAAACTTGATTCCTCAAGTCGGTACGATATGTTTAGTGTTGTTTTTAATTTTTCTAATCTATTGCAATCTTCTTGTATTTTAATGCTTTTTTTATGAAATTCATTTGGTTTCTAAAATGTGATGTGTTAAAACATTTAATTACAATATTTTTCAACATTTTTTTTCCTTAATTGATTAAAGTGAAAATTTCGTTTAGTAGTTGAGGTTAAGTTGCATGTTCTTGAAATCGTGTTGATATTTGTTAACAATGTTGTTTAATCATTTTAAATATTTGCGTTTCTTTAATGTAGCTTTTATACGAGATAAATATAGTTGAAAACATTTTTAATAGAAATTGTTTTTGATGTAGAATCATGGGTCGAGTCATTCGTGCTCAGCGTAAGGGAGCTGGATCTGTTTTCCGCTCTCACACTAAAAAAAGGAAAGGAGCAGCCAAACTCCGCTCATTGGACTTTTCTGAAAGACATGGATACATTAAAGGAGTTGTAAAGGTTTGTCTTTTATTTTTTCCATTATTATTTCTTATTTTGTGAAATTTTCAAAAATGTTTATTCTGTCAAATTCAAAGCATCGAGTAGTTCCACGTGATTTGATCAAGTCGAAAAAATTAGATGTTGAGGGACATTGAAATATTCGATTTTATAAGTTATTTTTGCAAAAATTAAAGGATTCTAATTTTTATACAGTGAATTTTAAGGAATTTTTTCTTTACTTATCCAATGCCGAAAATTTTTTCTCAAAAAATAATTTAACCTCTCTTTTTTCTAAAGTACATCTTATTTTGCAATTTATACAAAACTCTTTCATTTTACTATCATTTACATTAAAAATTGCTGAGAGTTTTTTCCAACAAAAAATTTTAAAATAAATTTGAAAAATAATGGATTTTCCACAAAATAAAAAACAACTAGATATTTAAACACTTGTTTTCATCTTTTTGAAAATCCATTGAATTAAAGAAGTTTACATAATTTATTGAAAAAAATCTATGGAATTTAGAAAAATTTCATCAAGAGAAGAAAAGTTTGTTCTTTCGTCAACTTTTGAATAATGTTAAAAAAAATGTTACTTAATTTTTTTTTAAATTAATTTATACCTAAAAAAATGAATTTTTTTTAATTTGGGTACGATTATTTTTAATTTTTATAATTTTTAATACAAAATTAAAAATAATGAGAATACTTTGTAAAAAAAATGTGTCCACCTAATACAAAAATAAAAAAAAAGTTTAATTTTAAATTTAAATCTAACTTGCGATGTTGTCGACTTATTAATTAATATAACAAGTAAAAAAAATAAATAAAAAGTTATTTATATTTTTATAAATAAAGAAGACGTCTATTGACTTTTTAAAACCGATTTTGTTAATATTTTTTTTATTAAAGTATTAATATTTTAATATCATAGTTATTGGTGTTTTAAAAAATGAATCCGGGAATATATTATTTTTTTGACTAAGGATTTGACCATCCTACTGCAAATAAAGACATTACAAAAAGTTATTTATTTTAATTTCTAGTAAAGATAGAACGTTGGTTTAGGTCTCATTTCAAAGCCAATATTTCCTATTCTCATAATATCAATATAATAAATTAAAAAAACATGTTCTTCATTATTTAAATGCAATTAGCAATAAACAAAATTCCTTTTTACATTACATTCTAACTAATCTGATATTTTCCGATAAATTATTTTTGCTTTCAATAAAGTTTAAGGTGTTTAGTAAAATTTCTAATCTCTTTTCAAACATGATGAATTCTAGTTTATTTACTTCTGAAACTAATGAAGATTTATTACTAGAGGCTCTTTCTGAAGAATACACTTTTAAGTAGAGTAAAAAAGTGTTTGAAGAAATATGATTATACATATTTTTTTCTTTTTCTCTTACAGGATATTATTCACGACCCTGGCAGAGGAGCTCCTTTGGCAGTGGTACATTTTAGAGACCCTTACAAGTTTAAAACGCGTAAGGAACTTTTCATTGCTCCAGAAGGAATGTACACTGGCCAATTTTTATACTGTGGAAAGAAAGGTAAATGATGATCTAATTTTTAAACAATATTCTACTAGCGAAAAAGTTTCAAGTTGCATTAACTCTAAAAATTGAAATATTAAATCTAATAGGTCAATATTTGCACCATTAAAGGCGAGAAGATTTTCCAAAATCATTAGTCATTCTAATCTCAAATTATTTCAATTTCAATTTATCCAAATTTTAATCGATTTCAGTTTAATTTATTATATTCCAGGCCTCGGATGTCATGACTTTTTCGACTTTTTTTTTACTATTTTCCCAAAATGCTACTTTTTTCGACTTATTTTAAAAAATTGCGACTTTTTCGACTTTTATTCCAAGTTTTGCCACAAAAACAACATTTTTGGTATAAAATGCAATTTATTTCGATTTTTATAGTGTAAAATGTACTTATAACTATAGACAAATCTTTCTCAAATTATTTTTGAGTGATTTTTCTAATTAAATTTTTGAAATATATATTTAAAGATTTTCAATAGTTGAAATTTTGTAAAATTTAACTGAAAATAATTGATTTTTTCAAGTATTTTATTACAATTTTTGAAAATCAACTTTTGAGGAGTTTTAATTGCAAATTTTGAAAATAATTGAATTTTCAAAAATTTCAATGAAAAATCTTTAAGTGTAAATTTATAAATATGAAAATTAATGAAAATTAGCTTCTAAAAATTATAATAAAATATTTTTTAAAAAGTAATAATTATAGAATTTTTTATTTGTAAAATTTCAATTTTGAATGAATTAAATAATAAAAATTTCACAGAAATTCTATTATTTACAAATTCTTTATAAATTTCTTCGCAATAATTCAATTATTCTCATAAATAATCAAATTTCTTACAGAGATTCAATTATTTTCATAAATAATAAAATAAAATTTATAGGTTTTCAATTATTTTCATAAAAATAATAAAACTCATCGCAGAATTTCAATTATTTTTAATACAAATTTTAATGGAATTTCTCAAAAAATGTAATTATTCCCCAAAACTCAATTATTTTTAAAAATTTTAATAAAATTCTGTGCAAAATTTCAATTATTTTCAAAAAATGTTCTGAATTCAATCAAATTTTTTACAGATATTCAATTATGTTTAATAAAGTTCTAATCTAATTTTTCGAAAAATGAAATTATTCTTAAAAGTTTTATTGAAATTCGGCAAAAGAATTTTGATTTTGAAATATTTAAAAATTTGTTGATAAAATTCTTTAAATGAGAGTTCAATTTAAAAATAACTTTAAATTGTTCAATAAATTATTTATTTTTGTATTTAAACAATTATTATTTTGATTATACTTTATATTTCAATTTAATTATTGTTAAAGAACTCTTAATTGTATATTTTTGAATTTATTGTATATTTATGGTTGTTCTCATGGTTTCCTGGTACATAATAAAAAAATCTAATTTAATTGAATTCTCGTAGAATTTTCTAAAAATAATTGATTTAAATATGAATTTAGTTAAAATTTTAGATAATAATTCAATATTAAACTCTAAATTTGAATTAGTGACTGACTTTTTGCTTTTAAATTTGCAGATTTTACTAATAAATAGTCGTTTCTACTAATTCCAATTAGTAAACATTTTTACTAATTCAAATTTAGAGAGAAAGTATTATAGTGTAAATTTTTAGAAATAATTGAATTTTGAAAAGGTTTCAAATTTTAATCTTTGAATGTTTGAATTTTTCATAATTTTAACTGAAAATTGTGTAGATTTAATTTTTTTGAAAAAGTTTAATTGAATTTCTTTAAGTTATTTGAAGTTTTTATTTTCTGATATATATTTGATTGAAGAATTTCCGAATGATCGATGAAATTTCGTAAAATTGATTTGTAAACAAAAGTATTTGAAAATTTTTAAAGAAATTTTTCAAAAATTATTAAAAATAATTAATTTAGAGAAGAATTTTAGTTAAAAATTTTGGAAAACAATAATTGAATTGAAGTGATAAAAGTAATTTTGAATAAATTACAGTAACATTATTCTTGTCTTGTCTTGTAATGTAAAATAATTATTTTATCAGTCGGTAATTTTAAATTATTATAAAACATGAAGATATCGATTGCTCGAGTCGACGACTCGGAGTGATCGATTTCTTCCTGTTTTATTACAATTTTTTATAAGTTGTTTAATTTCAAAAAGGTTTATTGAATTTGAAATTTTTAAAAATCTTAATTCTCATGGAAAATAATAGTAATTAAATATTATATTTATTGAAAAATGATAAATATAACAATGCGGAATACAGTATTATATGAAAGTTCCATGTATTTGTAAAAATTTATTGGAATTATTTAATTTTTTCAAATATAAATGTAGTTCTAAAAACCTGGAAAACCTGGAAAAGTCAGGGACTTTAGAATGAGCAAAAGCGTGGCAACCCTGAAATAATATTTAATTGAAAATAGTCAAGTAATCGCTTATTTGAATCAAATAAATTTTTTTTCAATATATATTGATTTGTTTTCACATTGACAAACATTTAGTATAGCTTTTGATCTAGTAACGATAATAATCTAATATTGTGTTGTATTAATAGCAAGTCTTCAAATTGGAAATGTAATGCCCGTCGGACAAATGCCTGAGGGAGCAATCGTTTGTAATCTGGAAGAAAAGACTGGTGACCGAGGTCGATTGGCTCGCGCCTCCGGAAATTACGCTACGGTTATCTCACATAACCACGACACGAAGAAAACCAGAGTTAAACTGCCGTCTGGTGCCAAGAAAGTCATTCCATCCAACAACCGAGCTATGGTTGGAATTGTAGCGGGAGGTGGACGTATCGACAAACCAATTTTGAAAGCAGGAAGAGCCTACCACAAATACAAAGTCAAGAGGAACTGTTGGCCAAAGGTGCGTTTAATGATTGGATTAAAATACAGTTCTTTACAAATTATTAGAAACTTAATTCTTCTATGATGGTACTAGACATTTGAAACCTGAAGTCAATATGTTGACATTTTTTCATAAACTGAGAAGATTAGAAGTACGAAACTAATAAAATTTTCCGTCTCTGAGGAATGTATAAATAATTGCTCTGTTAATTGCAGGTTCGTGGTGTTGCTATGAACCCCGTTGAACATCCTCACGGTGGTGGTAATCACCAACATATTGGAAAGGCCTCTACTGTTAAGCGAGGAACAAGTGCCGGTCGGAAGATTGGTCTCATTGCCGCCCGTCGTACGGGAAGAATTCGAGGAGGCAAGACCGACACCAAGAAAGATGATTAATCTAATAATAGATTTAAAGTTCAATAAAATAAACGTCTACAAAATCTATGGTGAACTTATTACTCCATGCAATATTTTTTGTTTAGTTTGGAATTGAGGGGCCGGAACGAAGAACCGACGCTTGGCAATACTTTGAAGATAGCGAAGCGTCGGTTCTTCGATCCGATCCCTCAATTGGACTCCGATTAGAATTATCAGATAAAAAAAATAAGGTATCAAACCTTTTTTTTTATCGATTTCTTTACTAAAGTTATGACTAAATTATTAATTTCGAGCTTCTGTTTTTTAATTTAATTAATTGATAGAATCACTAAAAATTTTAGTAAACTCCCTATAAAAATTACATTAGTTTCAAATTCTTAAGTTCTTAACAAGTTTAACTGATTGTTAATAAGAAAAAAAAAAGATAACGAATGCTTGAAGTCGGCAAAAGTCAGTTTTTTTGAAAAAAGGTCACTACAGTCCGTAATTTGATTGAGAAATGACGATAAGTTCGTAAAATGTACAATATAATTTGGAGAAATTACAAATGATTCCAGAAATTCAATTATTTTCAAAAGTAATAAAATTCTTGGCAGAAATTCAATTACATTCAAAAATTTTTTTAATTCTCGTCAAAATTTCAATTATCTTTAGAAATAATTAAATTCTTCTCCGAAATTTAGTTATTTTCAAAAATTTGAATAAAATTCTTGGCAAAATTTCAATTATTTAAAAATTTATTTATTTATTTTCAATTATTTAATTATTTTTAAAAAATATCCTTAATTCAATGATTTTTAATATCTACTATTTTAATAAAATTCTTGGCAAAAGAATTCAATTATTTAAAAAAAAATTTTAATAAAATTCTACGCAAGCCTTTAATTATTTTCATAAAATAATAAATATTTCACAGGAATTCAATTACAGTGGAACCTAGATTATCCGACAGGCACCGGACCAACACCCTGCCGGATAATCGAAAAGACGGATAATAGAGGTCCATAAATTTATGATGTTTTAATAGTATATTTCGTAACGAGTGCGAGCAGTTGTCAATTTTTGAATGAGCACTTTTTTTGGAACAAACTGTAGGCGAAGCGAAGCTTCTTCCAGAAAAAGTGCTCGTTCAAAAATTGGCAACTGCTAGCACTAGTTACGAACGATATTTTTCATAACAAGGTGCAAAAAAGTGCCCTTTTTTGCACCGCAAAAAAAAAAAAAAAAAAAAAATTTTTATTCCCAAAAGGTTAATTATGTAACAAAAAATCTGTCATTTTTGTTTGTTTAACTTTGCTTTGTGATTTATTTGTTGCATATGTGCGTAGACGACACACTGTCAAGAATTTCTTTGTCTGTCTTCATAAATGCATTGCAGAGAAAAAAATAAACAAAGTGACGAATACACATAAACAAATTTTATATATAGAGAAATATAGGGTAGAGTGGGGTAAAAAAGCCACATTTTTACTTTTGATGCTGTAAAATCTGTATTTAAAAATTTTTTCTCAAATTTCCAATTGTTATTGAAAGTTTAGTTATTAAGCTTGAAAATTCTTGACGGAAATATTTTTTATCTCATGAAAGGACTAAGTTATAAGAGTTTTACAAAAGCACTGCAAGTGGCTTTTTTGCACCACCTGGTGGGGTGAAAAAGCCACCCTACGATTTTAGCAAAACATGTTATCAATTTAGGTATTTTTATATTTTTCCTTTATTTATATGACAAATAGTCTTATTTGAAAAATATTTTAATAATTATGAAAGAGTTTTTAGCAAGCAAAATTGAAAATTATATTAAGTTTACCTGTTTTCGATTTGCACTGCCAATTTTTCGTACCTTTTTTAGAAGTTCTCTTTAAGTTTTACCACAGATAACATATTTCGTTGCAACCGTTTATTCATTGTTTATTTTTTAAATGCACTTTGAACTACTTTTTCGTCGTGTTTAATTTATTTTATTAAATAAACACGAGAAATTTTGTAAAATAAGAAGGTTAGTTTAAATAGAAAACAAGTGAATTTCACAAAATATTCAATGGATTTTTTGCCCTGGCTTTTTTGCACCCAAGACCAGTTATTAAAAAAAGCAAAAATAAATTGTTAATTCAGTTCAATTTCTAAAAATTAACATTGTATACGTTTACGGTATACTTTTCTCCTTATGTACAAACATTTACTTTTACTATTCGTTCACTTAATCAGATTGTAATATGTTTGAAAAGTTCACCAAAATGTTTTCAAAAAAGCAACAAAAAATTAAAATTACAATAAAAACAATATTAATCTAGGTACAACATTCAAATTAGATTCAAAAGTTGCGTATTACCTAATAGTATTTATATTCTAAACAGCTGATAAATCGGCTTAATAGTTTTTAAATAAAACTCAAATGGCTTTTTTACACCATGGCTTTTTTACCCCACTCTACCCTACCAAAACTTATCGTCATGCAGATCGAAATTGAAAAATAATATATTATACATTATGTTAACTGTAAGCATAAAAAAAATCTCATCTCGGAATGAGGACGGTTATCAGAGGTGCCGGTTGACAGAGGGCCGGATAACCGAGGTTCTACTGTATTTACAAATTTTTCATAAATTTCTTCGCAACTATTCAATTATTTTCAAAAATATAGTACAATTTTTACAGGGATTTAATTATTTTCGTAAATTTTAACTAACAATTCTATGGAATTAATTTTTTTTGAGAAACTTTAATTGAGGATTTTTTAAAAAATTATTTACAGTTTTTATTTTCTAATATATATATTTAATTGAAGAATTTACGAATAATTGAAATTTTTTAAAATTGAATTCATTGTAAACAAATTAGGGATTTTATTATTTTCACAAATAATAAAATTCATTGCAGAATTTCAATTATTTTAATACAATTTTACAGGAATTGTTGTCAAGAATTTTTAGGAATTCAATTATTTTCAAAAATAATAAAATTCTTTTCAGAGATTTTATTATTTTCACAAATAATAAAATTCATTGCAGAATTTCAATTATTTTTAATACAATTTTAATCGAATTTCTCGAAAAATGTTATTAAAATTCGCCGAAAGAATTTAATTATTTAAAAAAATTTTGATAAAATTCTTTATGAGAGTTGAATTTTAAAAAACATTCAATATTCAATAAATTATTTATTTTTGTATTTAAATAATTGAATTTTAGTAGAATTTTCTAATAAAAATTGATTAAAAAATTAATTTCAGTTAAAATTTTAGATAAATGAATATTAATAGCAACATTATCACTCGGTCATGTTTTATAATTACAGAAAAATTTAATTTATAATTTTAAGTAAAATGTTCTCTTATTTGACTCGGACTGCTTATATTTTTTTCAATAATTGGTCCGTAATTTTTCATTTTTCGCCCTGAAATGGTTGTGCTTGGAGAAATTCTCTTGACCTGAATGTGCTTTTTTCTTTTTATTGAGCATTTACGAGAATTAAAAATATTCCTGATAGTACTAATTCAAATTGAGCCAAGTTATCAATTTTAAAACTTTATTTTCATTTGAACATAATAAACGAGATCGCAATCGTAAGAATGAGTGAGAGAAGGATATCAACATATGTTTGTTTTTCTCTTACTCATGTTTACGATTATGCTCCGGATCAAGAATCTATTCTCATTGACATATTGTTAACTCCTAGTGAAAATTATAGTTAAAATTAAGAAATACTAGTAAATCCCTAACTAAATAGGATTTAAAAAGTTTATAGTGCAGAATGTAGAAAAATTGTAATAAATTATTCATTTTTGAATATTTTTGCTATTTAAAACGCTGATTGTAATTAAAGTCTATTTAAATAAGGGAATTTTTATTTTTTTGTAAAAATTAAAATTAAAAATCAATTAAACAAATCTATTTTCAAGATATTGCAAAACTGCGACTATCTTTTCTTTCCGTAAATTAATTTGTCGTGAATTGATATCCTACCATTATCTGAGTCGAATGTGGACTCACCTTTATGAATTTGATAGTCGATCTTTGAATAAATTCATCGAGATTAGTTTGTGAATGAGTCGACTCTAGTCGAAAGTCAAAGTCGACTCCGTAATTTTTGTTCTCTACTTTTGTGGCAACTCTGAGTGCTGCACATCATTTGACATCAACATTGGAGAATCCTAATGATTCCTATATCTCTAAATGAGAAAGGAGTCTAATTTGAGAAATCTGATAGAGAAAAAGTGAAATTAGATATTTTGTGAATAACCAATTAGAATCCTGTAACAATGAATGTGATTGCCAAGTCCGCGAACGTTGCACCCTTCCTACGTGCAACAACAAAATCTGTCCCCAATGGACCAAAACCTTCAGTCACCACTGGCAAAGTACAGAAAACTAAACTTGTTGTGCCACCTCCTGTGCACAAGGTCTACACCAAGTTAGACACTCTCAGTGGACCCTTAAGAGTAAACTCAGGAGTCGCAGGTACATCTTTTACTATCCTTTTACTGTCCCAAAAACTGCACATTACGTAACTCGCTCTCGAAAAACAGACTTTATTTTTTACCCCTTGAAACTTATTTTTATAAATTATCATTCAAACAACATTCACCAAATATTAAGCTGAACAACATATTCAAAATTTATAAGTTGTCAACTTGTCAAAACGAGAAAGGTTCTTAAGAGAAATAGGTTAACTCGCCCGTCAGATCAAGTGCGTAATATTCAAAGTGGAATGTTGTATGAGAAATAAAAAGTTGCCAAAAATATTTATAACTTTTGTGATTTCTTGCACTACATAATGAAATTTCATAAATGTTTATTTCGCAGTACCTACGTGCTAATTAGTAGGAGGATATAAATAACGTTGATAACATTTCGCATGTCGATCATTATTATTGCACTGAGAACAAATTTTTATTTTCATAGTGACAAAAAATAATTGAATGACAATTTTTCAGCATTCGAAAATTTTAAAAATTCTCAATTCCATTTTTTTCAATTTTGTCCTGATTAAATTTTAAATTTAATCAGCACAAAATTAAAAGAATTTCGCACTCATCTACTAAAACCTACTATTTACTACTTTTTTTTAAGTTATTCTACTATTTGGGTACTTTTTTTAGATTTCAGCCACTAAAAGCTATAGCTGAATTTCTGTTTTTTTAAAAATTTTTTTTTTTTTAAATTCGCTAAAAATTCTTTAACACGATTCAATTATTTTCAAAAAAAATATTCGAAATTCAATTATTTTCAACATCCAATGTTTTCATAAAATTTCGCAAAAGAATTTAATTATTTAAAAAAAATTTATAAAATTCATCCAAAATTCAATTATTTTCATAAATAATAAAATTTCCACAGGAATTCAATTAATTTAGAATAGCATTTTCCAAAATAATTTTGAAAAAATCAATTATTTAACAAAATTTTTATTCAATTCTTCACAATAATTCAAATACTTTCACTAATAATAACATTTTTCATGGAAATTCAATTTTCTTAAATTTTAATTAAGAATTCAATTATTTTCATAAATAAAAAACTCATCGAAGAATTTTAATTATTTTTTATAGAATTTTAAATAAATTAATTGAAAAATTCAATTATTTTCACAAATAAAGATTGCCAGAAGAATTCAATTATTTAAAATAAAATTTCCATAATATTTATTATATTTCTAAAAAAATTAATCACTTAAAACAATGTTTATAAAATTCTTCTAAAGAATTCAATTATTTAAAAAAAAAACCAAAATTTTTCACTGAAATTTAATTCTTTTTAAATGATTTAATAAAATTTTTCGCAGGATTTCAATTATTTTTAATACAATTTTGCTAAAAAATGTAATTATTCTTAAAAATTTAATTTCAATTCCTCAAAAAAATCTATTATTTAAAAAAATGTTTTTTTAAAATTCTTTGGAAGAATTCAATTTTTTACAAAAAAAATTAGAATTTTTCACAGGAATTCAATTATTTGCAAATATTTTAATAAAATTGTTCGAAAGTAATTAACTATTTTAAATACAATTTTAACTAGATTTTGTTGAAATAATTCAATTATTCTTTTAGATTTTAATAAAATCCTTCCCAAGAATTCAATTATTTGCATAAATAATTCTTCGAAAGGATTCAATTATTAAAGATAAATAACAAAATTATCCCCGAAAATTCAATTATTTTTAAAAGTAATAAATTTCTTCTTGGAAATTCAATTATTTTCAAAAATTCTAATAAAATCGTTCGCAAGAATTCAATTATTTTCATAAATTATAAAATGCTTTTTAGGAATTCAATTATTTTTAGAAAAATTTAATAAAATGCTACACAGACATTCAATTATTACCAAAAATTTTAATATAATTTTTTGTAAAATTCAATTAGTTTTAAAAACTTTTCGCAATTCAATGATTTTTAATATCTTCTATTTTCATAAAATTTCCAAACAGAATTCAATTATTTAAAAACGTTTTTGTAAAAATCTTCCTAAGAATTCAATTCTTTAAATTAGGATTTACATAAAATTAGTTAAAAGAAATCAATTATGCATTTAAAAATTTTTACAAAATTCTTCGCAAGAATTAAATTATTTTTTTAAATATTTAAATTCTTTCATGAATAATAATATTTGTAGCAGGTCAATTCAATTTATTAGCAGGATTAGAAAGAAGTAAATAATTTTGATGAAAATTCGGAAAAAGTGAGGAAAATAAAATATATAATTGATTTTTTATCAGTATTGTGAAGTTTCTAAAACGAGTTTTTTTAGTCGTCAAGTTTAATTTTTCGACTTTTTTAACAATTCTTAATAAACAAAATACTACATTTTTAATATAAAATGCAACTTATTTCCATTTTTATGGTGTGAAAAATAACTAGATAAATCCTTTAAAAAACTATTTTTGTATAATTTTTAAAAGGTATGTAATTAAATTTTAAAAATATTAATTAAAAAATTTTTGAATAATTGCAATTTTGTAAAATTAAATTGAAAATAATTGACTTTTTCAAGTATTTTATGACAATTTCGGAAAATCAACTTTTGAACAATTTTAATTTCAAATTATGAAAATAATTAAATTCTCAAAAATTTTAATAAAAAATCTTTAAGTGAGTAAATTTGAAAAATGAAAATTACATATTAAAAATTAGCTTCTAAAAATTATATTAAAATAAAACGAAAACATTCAGACAATTAAAATATATTTACTCTAACGTTTCGAAATCTGAATGATTTCCTCTTCAGAGAGTCTATAAAAAAAAATAAAATGAGAATAATTATAAAGAATAATTTAACGAAAAAATAAAATATAAATAATTATTATTTTACCAGAAATTAATAGGTCAAATAAACGAAGACAAAAAATCTCAGACGTTATAGATTAAATAGATGAAAATATTTTTGAAAGAAGTAATTCTTATAATTTTTTCATTCTAATTTTTTAACATTAAATTATTTGACACTTCGAAAGTAATTTTTTGCAATTTTTTACAAATTCATGTCGAAATAGCTTTATCCTAATGGCTGGAAAATTTCTGCTATAATATCATTAGTTTGCGGCTCAAACGACGCCTTTTTTTCTCAGTGTAAGAGTGAAAACTAGGGTCTAAAAATATCATTTTTAGTAGTAAAGGAGAAAATCGTCGACTTGCTTTGAATTCTTTTTAAACTTTCTTTTTAAGAAATTTTTTCTTTATCATTTTCATTTTCTTTTAAATTCTAACTCGGGATGAACTTGTTTTTTGTGTAACTTTAACAATTGATATATTGCTTCCTCGTGAGGAAGCTTTGTAGTCGTTTAATTTACAAAATTTTTAAAAATCCTTTTAACAAATTTTCTTCTATATGGGACTATGTTATATAAGACCCTGAACAATTGTCCGGATGTATGTATGTGTGTGTGTATGTGTGTGTGTGTGTGTGTGTGTGTGTGTGGATCCCGATTTCTGTGAACACGATAACTCAAAGAGGTTTTAACGAATTTGGCTAAAATTTACCAGGTATGTTTATCCTAAAAATATCTCGAAATGGATTGATAGACTTTAAAAAATTCTAAAAAAAAAAATTTTTGTTGACTTTTTTCTAAAAAAAATTTTTTTTCAAAAAATTTTTTTTAAGTTGGTTATTGAAGTTAATAAATAATAAAATCTTATTCTTTGCATCAAGACGAATCGATTAGTATATAAAAAGTATAAATTGTATGAGAATTTGCAGAGTTAATCACAATTAAAGCTGAAAAATTCGCGTTTTTATCAAAAAATGAGTGCTTTCCGCAAAATTATGTTGCCGTATAAGAAAATCTTACTCATTTATTTCTAAAATCTTATTCTTTGCACCAAGACGGATCGATTGGTATATATAAAGTATATATTGTATTTAAATTTATAGAATTAAAACCAATTATAGACAAAAAATTTGCACTTTTAATAGAAATTCATTTTTTCTTAAAAATCATGTTGCTGTACAATAAAATGTTATTATTTATTGAAAAATAAATTAAAAATCTTATTCTTTGCATCAAGACGAATCGATTGATGTATATAAAGTATATAATCTATTGAAAAATATAGAATTAATTACAATCAAATTTGAAAAATTCACTTTTTTACTAAAATTTTTTTTATTTATTTAGATTCATATTACTGTTTAAGAAAATTTTATTCTTTGTATTAAGACGAATGCACTTTATTTTATAAATGTTAAATTGTATTAAAAGTTATTTAAAAATTAAATATTCTTATTGTTAATGCTTCCTCCACGAGGAAGCAAATTTTTTTTGCTGATCGTAAAGAGGAAGCAAAATGTTCATGTAATGAACATCTGGATTTACAACTTGTTTTAGGATTAGAATGGAAAATTTTGTAAGATTTTTCTTTAAAATTGAATTACCTTTCGTTTTACAGTAAGCTCTCAAGCTCAGCAAATTCGTTTAGCTCACACGGACATTCAAGTACCAGATTTCTCCAATTACCGAAGGGACTCTGTAAAAGATCCAACGTGCAACAGTCATGAATCGTTACACAAGAGGCAGACATTTTCTTACCTTTTCGCTGGAGGTGAGTTTGCATCTACAAAGTGGTCTTATTTTCACCAAATCAATTTCACTTGAAGTGAAAGTTAAATTTACATTTTTTTATTTAAAGCTGCTGGTGTCGGAGCCGCGTTTGTTGGTAAAGCAATGGTTGTCGATCTCGTTTCTACCTTAAGCGCTACTGCAGATGTTTTAGCTATGGCTAAAATAGAAATTAAGTTGGATTCTATACCAGAAGGCAAGAGTGCTGTTTTCAAATGGCGTGGAAAACCTCTTTTCGTGCGCCACAGGTAAGAAAAAGCATTCGCCTTGTAAATCAAATTCGTAGAGTTAACGCTTTTTTGGTAAATTGGGTTTCTGGGGTCACTGATAACGAATCTGGTATTAGTTTTTTAAATTCAAAATGGCGGATCCAATATGGCGGACGACTTTTGAAAAATTCACCGTATTCGCTTTAAACTTGTCACTCAGGGGTTTTTGGGGGTTTTTGGGGTCGCTGAATACAAATATAATGTTACAAAATGGTTTTCATCCAGATAGTATATATATTAAAAAACACAGGAATATACTGGATTATTACAGATTTATTTTTTTATTTGAAAAAATAAACCAGACGTTTCGACACCAACGTTGGCGTCCTCTTCAGTGATACATTAAAAAAACATAATTATAATATTCATAAATTCAACAAATAAACTAAAAAACATGTTCTCATAGAAATGAGACATGTTTAATTAATAAAAATTACATTTTATCAAAAATTTTGTTGTTTCAAACGTCACAAAAACTTCAGACAATATTCAAATACCTTGGTGTCGAAACGTCTGGTTTATTTTTTCAAATAAAAAAATAAATCTGTAATAATCCAGTATATTCCTGTGTTTTTTAAAATATAATGTTAGTTTTTCAAAATTCAAAATGGCGGATACAAATTAAAAAATAATCAGTTATTGGATACATTGTGCTTCAGCCGGAATGATGCGCCACCTAGGATTTTAATTTTTTTCACTATGTGAATTTTCTGTAAAAATTCCAAAGTAGTATCTCCAAATTAAGACCAACAAATTTTTTTTTGAAAATTCAAAAAAAAATTTTTTGGGGGTTTTTGTGGGCAAAATGTTTTGAATTTTTTTTTTAAATTCCTCTTATTAATTTATAAAACACGTATAAATTTCATTAAAATCGATCCAGTGGTTTTCGAGAAAAAACAAATTTTTGATTTTCCTTTCCCCCTCCATAACTCTTACAAAAATGCATTTTTTGAAAAAATATTTGGTGAAAAATTTTATCTTAATGTTGCCAACCCTTTCACAAATTTTACTCATTTTCCGTAAACTTTCATATTTTCCTGTAAAAAAAATTTTGTCAGGGAAAATAATTTTAATGTCAGTAAATTGTCAGGGAAATAATGAACTGAAACCGTTGACCACCTTGGTAATCATCCGCCCGAAAAATTCAATTATTTTCAAAAATTTTAATAAAATTCTTGTCAAAATTTAAATTTTTTTCAAAAATTTTCCTTAATTTAATGATTATCAATATTTACTATTCTAATAAAATTTTCCAAAAGAATTGAATTATTTTTGAAAATTTTAATAATTTCTTTGCAATTATTCAATTATTTCTATAAATAATAAAATACATTGAAGAATTTCAAATTATTTTTAATACAATTATTTATGAGAATTCAATTTTAAAAAAGACTCAATTGTTCATTAAATTATTTATAATTGAATATTAAAAGCATTATAGCGAGAATTTTTAGAAATAATTGAATTTTGAAATGGTTTCAAATTAGAATCTTTGAAAATCTTTTTTTTTTTTTTAATGATTTATTTAAATTTTTATTCAAATTATTTAATGTTTATATTTTCTAAGCACATTTAATTGAAGAATTTATGAATAATTGAAATTTCGTAAAATTGACTTGTGAACAAATGGATTTAAAAATTCTCAATGAAGAACTTTTTCAAAAATTATTAGAAATAATTGATTTCTCCGAAATTTTAATAAGTTCAAAAAAGTAAATTTTTATTTGCTTTATTCAAAGATAATTAAATCTTAAAAAATTATAATAAAATTCTAAGAATTAAGTAGTTTTTAAAAAAAAATTAATGTAATTTTTCGAAAACAATTGAATTTCTAAAAAAAGTTTTTGTATGTATTATTAAAATTAAAAATAAACTAATTAATTTTTTGATGAATTTTAATGAAATATTTTGAACATGATTTTTTTCTCCAAAATGTTAAAAATAATTCTAAAATATTATTTTTTGTATGTATTTTCATTTTTAAATTTACGTTTAAATATTTTTTATGGAAATTTTTGATAATTCAATTATTTTGAATATTTGCAATTAAAATTCTTCAAAAGTTGATTTTCAAAAATTCTAACAAAATACTTGAAAAAAATTAATTATTTTTAATTAAATTTTACAAAATTTCAATTATTCAAAATCTTTTTAATTGTACATATATTTCAAAAATTTAAATAGAAAAATGATTCACAAATTGTTCTTAAGAATTTTGTTAAAAATCGTTAAAAGAATTCATTTATTTCAACATTTTGTTGATAAAATTATTTATGAGAATTCAATTTTAAGAAAGACTCAATTGTTCATTAAATTATTTATAATTGAATATTAAAAGCATTATAGCGAGAATTTTTAGAAATAATTGAATTTTGAAATGGTTTCAAATTAGAATCTTTGAAAATCTTTTTTTTTTTTTAATGGTTTATTTGAATTTTTATTGAAATTATTTAAAGTTTATATTTTCTATGCACATTTAATTGAAGAATTTCTGAATAATTGAAATTTCGTAAAATTGAATTGTGAAAAAAATGGATTTAAAAATTCTCAAAGAAGAACTTGTTCAAAAAATATTAGAAATAATTGATTTAAAGAAGAATTTTAGTTAAAAATTATGAAAAATAATAATTGAATTAAAATGATTAAAATAATTTAAAGAAGTTACAGTAACAATATTCTTGTAATATAAAATAATGATTTTATCACTCGGTCATTTTTAATTATTATAGAAAACATAAAGAAATCAAACACTCCGAAGTTAGGAAAAATGAAAATTAAAATATGAAAAATTTGTGTAGCAACCCTGAATTAGAATATTTAATTACCCAATTTCGAGTGAAACTGCAATAAGTCAAAGTGATTTAAAATTCGTGCAATGTATTGAATGTTTTGCAGACCGCAAGCGGAAATTGCAAAGGAGCAGGCTGTTGACGTGGGAACTCTTCGTGATCCACAACCAGACAGTGCACGCGTCCAGCGCCCGGACTGGTTGGTTGTCATCGGAGTGTGCACCCACTTGGGCTGTGTGCCAATCGCCAACGCTGGTGACTTCGGCGGATACTATTGCCCCTGCCACGGCTCTCATTACGATGCCAGCGGCAGAATTAGGAAAGGACCCGCGCCTCTAAATCTCGAGGTTCCTCCTTACGAATTTAGTGAAGATACCGTTATCGTAGGTTAAAACTTAAATGATTTATAGTTTTTAGCGAAATTCATTTTATTTATTACTAAATGCAATATGATGGATTCAAATCTGTCCTGTAATATAAAGTTACAATTCCGCTCTTGAATAAATGATGTCGAACACTGAATGTTATTTTTCATTACCTAAAGTCAAAAGACCCTATATCCTAATAGACCCCACAAGAAGAATAAATTATTTTTATTATTATAAAAATATGTTAATTGAACATTCTGAAAAATGAAAATTCGAGTGCATAAATAAAAATTCTGTTAACTAGAAATTGAAATTAATTTTAACTTATAACTTCTGTCTAATATTCGTTTTCTTATTCGCAACTACACTTTAATTATGTAATACATAAATAAAAACTTATTTTTACACTCACCTGTTATTGATATGACATATTGTATATTCATTGTATTGGAGGTTAATAACATTTTTTCATTAAAACAAAATATCAAATTACAAAAAAAATTCATTAAATCCGTAAAAATAAATACAACTTTTAAACTTGATAATATAAATTGGAAGTAAAATCAAACTAAAAATATGAATAAAAATAATGAAAATCCATGAAAATGTAAACTCTGGTTCCGAATAACAAAATAGTGGGGAATGTATTTAAAAAGATATTTTTACACAAATTTATTAATGAAAATTGGACAACAACACAAACAAAACTTAGTTTTGAAATGAACTTTCGAATGGAATAAATAAAAACACAATTGATATAGACTTTGTGTAAAATAAACTATATATTGAACTTCATAATTCCTATGTAGAGAATTGATAAAAACATACTACGCACTCGATATTTAATTTTAAAAAAGTAGTAAAAAGTAGCTTCCAAACTAAGAAAAGTAGTAAAAAAAATAGCTATCGAAAAATTAAACAAGAATTCCATTCTATATTTTATTTTCCTGACTTTTTCCTACTTTTCATCAAAAATATTTACTTCTTTCTTATCCTGTTAATAAATTGAATTTCTGCAAACGAATTTTATTATTCATCAAAGAATTTAAATATTTAGAAAAATAATGTACTTCTTGCGAAGAATTTTATAAAAATTTTTAAATAATTGATTTGTTTAAACTAATTTTACGCAAATTCTAATTCCAATAAGGGGCCGTCCATAAATTACGTTACACGTTTTTAGTGAAATTTTGAACCCCCCCTCCCCCTATGTAACAAGTTGTAACAAAATCGTTTTACACCCCCCCCCCCTATCATTGTTACGTAATTTTTTAAAATATTTTTTTTACTAACGTTTTTCGAAACAAATTTGTTTATTACTGTTAGTTTTAGTAGTTATATCGTACAATACAAAATTAAGTTAAATATAAAAAACATTTAGAGGAATAATTTTATTAATCATACTGAACAACCAATATTGAAGTGTCGGCAAGGGACAGCTTTTTAAAAATTTATCCATTATAAAGAGATTAAGTTCCTTAAATCCTTATAAATATTACGTAACAATGATGATTGACCCCCCCTCCCATGTAACATATGATAACATTTTCTCGAACCCCCCCTCCCCCTAAACATGCTACGTAATTTATGGACGGCCCCTAATTAAATTCCAGAGAAATTTTTATTATTCATGAAAAGAATTGAATTCTTATGAAGCTTTTTACAAACAATTTTTAAAATAATTGAATTCTGTTTGGAAATTTTATGAAAGTAGTATATATAGATATTAAAAAATCATTGAATTGCGAAAAGTTTTTAAAAATAATTAAATTTTACAAAGAATTCTATTAATTTTTTTGAGAATAATTGAATGTCTGTGTGGCATTTTATTAAAATTTTTTTGAAAATAATTGAATTCCTAACAATTCTTGCCCACGATTTTATTAGAATTTTTTTAAATAATTGAATTTCCAAGAAAAAATGAATTACTTTTATTTTAAAAATAATTGAATTCTTGAGATGAATATTGTTATTTATAAAAATAATTGAATTTTATAAAGAATTTTATTTAAATCCCACAAAATAATTGAATTCCTGTGAAAAATTCTAATATTTTTGTAAATAATTGAATTCTTTCAAAGAATTATTTATGTAAATAATTGAATTCTTCGGAAGAATTTTATTAAAATCTAAAAGAATAATTGAATTATTTCAACAAAATTTATTTAAAATAATTGATTTCTTTCGAAGAATTTTATTAAAATATATGAAAATAATTGAAGTCCTGTGAAAATTCTAACATTTTTGTAAATAATTGAATTCTTCCAAAGAATTTAAAAAATAAAATTTCTTTAAGAATTGATTTTTTCTGGGAATTGAAATTGAATTTTTAAGAATAATTACATTTTTTGAGCAATTCCTGTAAAATTGTATTAAAAATAATTTGTAATTCTGCAATGAATTTTATTATTTATGAAAATAATTGAATAGTTACAAAAATAATTGAATTCCTGAGAAGAATTTTATTATATTTGAAAATAATTGAATTATTGCAAAAAATGTTATTAAAATGTTTAAAAAGAATTGAATTTCTGTAAAAAATTTTGCTATTTTTGAAAATAATTGAATTCTTTTGCGAAATTTGATGAAAATACTAAATATTGAAAATAATTGAATTTCGAATATTTTTCGAAAATAATTGAATCGTTTTAAAGAATTTGATTATCATTGGGTTTGGATTCTAGAGCACTAAATCGAAACCATAGCATTTCTATATTATTTAATAAGTGTGAAGAAGATGAAAAGAAACTTGTAGGAGATTACTTTTGAAACTTTATTTATTATTCGTGTGAATGCCTTAAACGTTACACAATAAATCATGTAAAATTTGATATATACAAATATACAATGTACAAAGGCACGATATATCTACATATTTCATATCATGTACAATAAAATGCAAATAATGTAACAAAATATAATTCTTGTGTATAAACAGCTATTAGTCGAGAAATTGGACAGCACTAATAAAAGGATTCACAATCCGATTTCTTAATAAACTATCCTTAAAATACCAATGTCAAAACTGTTTTATAACAATCGATAATACAAATTGTAAAAAATTTTCAAAATCTCCGGCCCAATTTTTTATGCGATTTTCGTTGAATAATACAATTTTTTTATTTTTTAAAAAATTTAATAAAAGACAGTATAAAATAGAGCTGTTTTCTTTTAAGAAATATCTAATTATTCTTAGTAAAAATTCTAATTTTCTTTATCAGTACATTCAATACTAAAATAATTATTAGCATGAAAAAAATGCTAAAGTTCCTATAACTTTACAAAAAAGTAAATTTCTCTTAAAATATTATATTATTTCAATCTGATGATGACAATTTAAAATACAAAGTATAAATATTACAAAAACGTCACGTCACTTTAATCCGGTAATAATAATACTTTACCAGAATATATGCTTACTGTCGCCGTCCAAAAAAGAATCAATAAAAATAAAATGTTTACACTGACGGAGACAGTAAACTTAATTCTAAACTATTACAATTTTTTTTTCATCATTATTATTATCAAACTTAAATCGTAAAAACTTTAATGATTATTTATGGGATATTTTTTGCGATAAGTTTACAAACATTAACCAAGTCTTTAATTATAAAGAATATATTCAACATAATATAAGAAAATTCCCATTATTAAAGAAAATTTTTTTTTTTTACAATACAATGACAATATTTTTACATAATAAAATCAACAATTTATAAGTATTTATAAAGCTTAGAACGAAATTAACATGTGAAGATTCTGAGAAAGCTGTGGATTCTATCGACTATCAGTAATTCAGATTTGTAACCTTTAAGTATCGATACTTGACATTTTAATCAGTTGCCACAAATAATTTCTTGTTGGCAAATTGTTGTAAAGTTTAACAATTAATTTTCAATTTTATTTTTCGTCGCTTCCATATAATTTCCCTCAATTCTCATAGAAATCATATTTTCTTTCTTTTACTTTATTTTACTTTATTTTAGGCCAATAATTTTAAATAACAATTAAATCACTTTCTTCTTTATAAACAATGAAAAAATACAACTCTCGAATACTTTAGGAATGTAAAATCTTATTATTAAAAAGGTACCAATTATAAAATGAAAGATTTTAACAAATTTTCTCTGGTACGTAAGGGATTAAACATTGGACAATTCCACACCATTATTTAGTTTTAAACACTTAAATAATATTATGTTTTATGTTTATACTATATGCAAGATAAATCAATTAAAAAGCGCTTATTATTATCATTATTATCAATATTATTATTATTATTAATATTATATATTATTATTGTTGTTGTTTAGTATTATTTTATTAGTATATTGAATTTAAATCACTCAGTAGCAAAGATCACTTGAAAGATGAAGAAATCAATCGTTTCAAGTCAGGCGAATCACTTTTTACGTTTGATTTTAACGATTGACTGGACCACAAGTTTCTTTCATTATATTTACAATTGTCATTTATTTTAAATAATTCATTTTCATTTCTAATAAGCGCAGCATAACTGTTGAAACGCAAAAGTGAGAAACGCATGAATAGTCTCGAAATCTTGTTTGAAATCAAACAATTTTACATAAATTTCATTTGACATGAAATTCATTTCATAAAAATGTCATTTGACATAAAATTCACTTCATAAAAATGTCATTTGACATAAAATTCATTTGACATAAAATTCACTTGATAAAAATATCATTTAACAAAAAATTTATTTAACATAATTTTCATTTAACATAAAATTCACTTGATAAAAATTTTATTTGTCATAAATTTTATTTAACATAAATTTCATTTTACATAAGAAAATGTACTTGAGATAAATTTCATTTGGCATAAGTTTAATTTGACATAAAATCGATTGTCAAAAAGTTCATTTGACATATAAAAGTTATTTAACATATTTCTCATTTGACATAAAATCGTAACCAATGACAATTTCCTTAATGATATCTTATTGGTTTTATGAACAATTTGCGCCGATATTTTTATGTCAAATAAATTGTATACCAAATGAAATTTATGTCATGTAATTTTTATGTCAAATGCAATTTATGTTAAAATAAAATCTATATCATATAAATTTCATGTCAAATGCCATTTATGTTAAACTGATTTACAATTTTACGTAAAATGAATTTTATGTCAAATGAAATTTACATCAATTGAAATGTATGTTAAATGAAATTTATGTACAATGATTCTTATATCAAAAGGGAATTATGATAATTAAATTTTATGTTAAATAAAATGTACGTCAAATGAATTTTATGTTAAATAAAATTTACACCAAATGAATTTTATGTGAAATAAATTATCGAAAAATGAATTTTATGTTAAATAACATTTACACCAAATGAATTTCATGTTAAAAAAAATTAACGTCTAATGAATTTTATGTTAAAATGAGATTCATGTCAAATAAATTACATATTAAATGAAAATGATGTGAAATGAATTTTAAACAAAATGTAATTTATGTTAAATGGTTTCATGTGAAATAAGAAGTCGGAAATTTTCATACATCCCAAAAGTGATTATAATCTCATTGAATTAATCTGACTCGGAGTGTTTGATTTTTTCATATTGCAAGTAAAAAGCACTTAATTAAAAGAAGGCTTACAACTATAAATTGTTCTTGCTTTGTATTATATTTGTTTTTATTTTTTCTTAATCTATAGATGCTTGTTTCTCTTTATGTAACAAATAATATCAGGAGAGTATTTATAAGAAATAAAATCTACAGGCAACAAATTTCGAGTCAAACAATGGAGAGGGATGGAAAATGTATACTAAAAGTAACAATAAGAAAAATAAAAGAACTTGGTTTAAACAATTAGAATAATTTAAAAGTAGGATAGAAAGAATTAGAATGACAATTTATTTGGAAATCGTCAGGAAATAAAAATATTTGCCTTTCGTTACTTCTTTCAAGAATATTCTTTTAAACATTAAAGTATAAATTTTATTTTTATATTCACTACTAGAGGTGCTCAAGAAGATGGAAACTCATCGAGTTTACATTATTACGATATTGAAAACAGATATTTGTTATAATTTTTTACTAATTTTGAATTTTATTTTTATAGATTTTGTAAGTCTTAGAAACATTAATTACAATACATTTCACACTATGAAATTGTAGTATGTAATATAAATTTTCTTAAGAAGAATAATTATTATTTTTCATAATTTGTATGAAATCTAATTTATAAATTAGCATAATATTTTTAACTTTAAAAATTGTGGGTAATATAATTATTAAAAATATAATATTTTATCTCATAATTTTTATGAAATCGAATTATTATCCGAAATAATTTTTTTATATATTTACAATTTTTTTAAATAATATAAATTTAAATCCTCGAATTATTAATTAATATAATTTTCCAATAATTCTTTCTTTGTTTCAAAAACAAAAAGATCAAAAAATTCTTATTCCCAAATACCAAAAGGTCCAATATTTTTTTCAAATTTATAAATGTTTTCGTGCTGTATTCCGTCACTTCTAAGAATTACGAGAAACAAAATGGCGGCGGACAAATAAAACAGCTGATTCACTTGAAATTTTACAATTTGTCTACATTCCAAATTAAACGGAATTAAATGACGATATTTTTTAAAAAAAATTTTTCCCAATGGCAAGAATGTGATTTGTGCGTAAATAATATTATTAAATATAATTCATGTAAATAATTTAATAGGATTATATTTAGTAAAAATTTACTATTTTATTAATATGTTTCATCATTTAATTATTAATAACATGTACTATAGAATTAATAATAATTATTATATATGTAATAATATATTTTTTATTTAGTGTAGGGGAGAGGTACGCACGTTGAGACGGTCCGCACGTTGAGGCACTTAGATATTATAACCTGTGTAACTGATAATACCAAAAATTTTATTGGCATTTTGTCGTATCATTAATACCAAACTTTTTATGCAAAAAAAGCGCAATAACTGCTGTTTTTTTCGGTAGAACTAGAGCGAACCAATTTTTTAGTTAAAAAAAGTGTTTTTCAGAATTTCTGTTTAGTGTATTTACCATGTATTTTTTAGTGGCAGAAAAAATTGCGGATAACATTTACATATCAATTTTGGTTCTACTTTAAAGTTCCGACGAAAATTTAGACATACGTTAACATCTACAAATAATTTCAAAGCTTTAAAAAAATAACGGCAAGGTCTGCACGTTGAGACACACTGTGGTACGCAGGTTAAAACGCTCACGATATGAAAATAGTACTGCCATTAAAATTGGTTTTGAATCCACAATTTTTAAGCGTTTTACATGTTCTTCACCTTTAAAAATTGCGAATATAAAAATTTCGATTAATTTTTTTTGTGCAAAATAAAATTTTATTTTTTGATTATTTTTTTAAGTTAATTTTTAATGTTTTAATTTTTTTTCTTTGAGCTAAGACCATCAAAATAAGTAAATAAACAACAAACAATTAGAATCTGACGTAATTATTCATTTTGTTTCAATTTAAAATAAATTACTATGGGTGTCTCAACGTGCGTACCACTTTTTTTTTGGTCAAAAATAACATGTTTAAAAAATCAGCTATAAATTTTTCAATTTTGTCCAAAAAAAATAACTTTCTTTGGCAATGTTGTAGCCCTGGATGATACTTTTAAGAAAGCATTTCGAATTTTTCGCTAAATTTTGTTTTTTAAAAATTATAACTGAAAAACAGAAGCCGTCTCAACGTGCGTACCTCTCCCCTACTGGAATTATTTTGATAATTAGAACTTTTGGATTGGAAATTTTGTCCTACAATAAAAAATTATGCTAATTTTTAATTAGTTTCCATACAAATTATAAAAAATAATGATTCTACTTAAAAAAGTATATATATATTACACACAATTTCATAGAGCAAAATTGATTGTAATTTATATTTATAATTTTTTTTTAATTTTTGATATCAGAGTAGTTTCAAATATATTTTTGTTCGTAGAACACAAGACATACGAAATAGAGGATTTAGAATTAAAGCCTGATTCGGAACGGATAGAATTTTTTAGAGCTTCTTGAACGTCTCTAATTTTTTCACAATATTAAGTCATTAAAAAGTTTAAAATTTTCATTAATTATATACAAATTGACTAAAACAAAACTGAAGTGTAAAAAATTATACAAAATTTAATCTCTATGGATATAACTTGAAATACCAAATATTATTGATTCAGAAAAAAATCAAAATGATGAATTTTTTTAAAATTTTTATGTTCATGCATTAAAAAGTAGTGTACTTTTGTTAAAAATTGAAAATTATACTTTTCAAAAAGAGATATTAGTGGAAAAAAGTTATATCATCATTAAAAATTGCAAAGAAAAGCCTGTTGGACTGAAATAACATTTTAATATTTCAAGTTCTACCTATTAGGATTAGTTTTTGCAAATTGGAATAAATTACATTTTTATAAGCTAATTATTTGTAAAATCCCTCATCACTTTAAGAGAAATTTTAAAACTTTTTTTTTCGTCATTTACAGTAATAAATACTGTTTGAAATTTTTCAAATTCTTATTTAAAACAATAATAATTTTTTAAAAGAACAAAACGCAACATGCACCGAATTAAATAATTTTTATTTGAATCGTTCGAGAGACAAAATTATTATCAGACTCTGTATATAGAAATTTAATTCTTTTCTAATATTCAAATAATATTTTTTTCTTTTTGCCCATTTTCGAATCTTAATGAAATATTTTTTATTACGCATTGGAAAAAAATTGTTAGGCAACAACTTGTTTGGATAAATGAATATTGAAGAAAAAATGAATCTTAATGAAACACGATTATTTTAAAAGAAAGACGAAATAATTTCTAATAATAAATTACATGTATGTAACGTGGGAATATTTACAAATATTTATAATTAATTTCACACTTTTAATTCCTGACAGAAATTGAAAGTCTTTAGACTTTTTTCCATGGCACGTTTACCTATTGGAAGAACTTAAATATTACTATACTCAAATATTGAGCTGCTATTTTAATATACATATTTTGATAAGAAATTAAAGGAAAACTTGCGTAGCATTTAAAAAGAAGCCGTAGTTTGAGGGAGAGAAAAGTAAGAGTTTAAATCGCTGGAATAAAGTTTTGTTCATTAGAAGTTGAACACAAACTGGTTAGTTTCATTTGGTTTTATGGCATGGATCTAGTATTTGGTTTCTTTGTTACGTAGCAATAGTTAACAAAGACAAAGCCTTAAGTAAGAAATAAATTATGTATTTGCAGATTTTCTTCGAACCATTGGCCCGTCTATTTATTCACGCGGATTAAATATTTATCATACAAAATGAATCCAAGCAACGCTTCTTCTTCTTCTTCTTCTTCTTCTTCTTTTAATAAGGTTTAATTCTTACAAGCATAAATACGTGTATAAATTCTTTATCAAAAATTATTGACAACGTGTAAAGTAAAATACAAATGACTATTTACATTTTATAATGAAATGCGGCCAATTTGCCGCGCCGCATTTAACTTTGCCATTACTTTAAATGTTCAAAATCTATTAAAACTACAGTACAAAGTCTCAACAGTAAAGTACTTTCGAAACGAAAGTTTTAATATATATTGACAGCAATATATATTAATTATAACACTTTTTGTAATGTAATTTTAATACAATGCCAATGACAATGACAATTTAAAGACATTTGTCCGTTCGACATATTTTTCACTAATAAATCTCTAAGCACAAATTTCCACCAATCAATGGCATCAAAAAAGAATAGAAGAATATTTCTTGAGTGTAAAAACTCAAATTTTTCAGTCTACACATTTTATAGGCAGTATGCTACCTCCCTAAACGGCTGTGAGAAAATTCAACATTTAAGGAGGTAAGATTCTTATTTTATAAAATTGTTAAATATATTGTCTTATTAAGTTACCTACTAATCAGTATTGTGGTGTTTGTAAAGAATTACAAAATGCCTCCTCGCAGTGTTCTTTGACAGTTAATTGGATGGCAGGCTTGACCGATCCACGAGAGTCAGCATTACTGCAGCATGAGTGATTGCAGATTACGATGGAGAATTGTATCCTTCACTGCATTGAAAACCACTTTAATGTTCTCCGTGTCGACTGCGGTTGTGAAATGATGGAAGAGTGGCTTCCTTGGGTCCCTTTTCACCGACACAAACATGTCCAATATGAAGCTCTGCACGTCTTTCATGGAATGTGAATCACCCTTGAATTGTGGAAAATACCAGTGAACGTCGGTATCCGGTGATCTCACTTTTTTGTCAAGAAGATCCGTTTTGTTCAGAAACAAAATAATTGAGACGTTGCCAAAAATCATATTGTTAACAATCGTGTCAAATATGTTCCTAGATTCCTCAAGTCTGTTGGTCCGCCTTTAAAAAAAACACATATTACTAAACTAAATAAAAAAGTTTACCAACATTTATTTTATCAGGGCTCGAACTAGGTCCGTGAATCCCGTAAAAGTCCGTAAAAGTCCGTTTTTTTAAAGAAAAGGTCCGTACAGTCCGTTAATTGTATGATATAATTTGGATAATTTTAGAGAAACTATAAATGATTGTAGAAATTAAATTATTTTCAAAAGTAATGAAATTCATCGCAAAAATTCAATTATGTTCAAAAATCTTTAAAAATTCTCGTCAAAATTTAATTATTTTCAAAAATTTTAATAAAATTCTTGTCAAAATTTCAATTATTTTCAAAAATTTTCCTCAATTCAATGATTTTTAATAGGTATCTACTATTTTAATAAAATTTTCCAAAAGAATTCAATTATTTAAAAAAAAAATTAATAAAATTCTACACAAACCTTTAATTATTTTCACAAAATAATAAAAATTTCTCAGAAATTCAATTATTTACAAATTTTATATAAATTTCTTAGCCATAATTCAATTACTTTCATAAATAATAAAATTTATGGCAGAATATTGATTATTTTTAATAAAATTTTATTCGAATTCTTCGAAAAATGTAATTATTTATAAAAAGAATTTAATTATTTAAAAATTTGTTGATAAAATTCTTTATGAGAATTTATTTTTAAGAAGTAATCAATTATTGTATTTAAATAATTGAATTCTCGTAGAATTTTCTAACCAAAACTGATTTAAAAATTAATTTTTTTTTAAATTTTAGATAATAATTGAATATATTAAAAGCATTGAAGCATGAATTTTTAGAAAAAATTGAATTTTGAAAAGGTTTTAAATTGAAATCTTGGAAAATCTAAATTTTTCATACTTTTCAACTAACAATTCTGTAGAATTAATTTTTTTTTAAAGTTGTCGTCAAAATTTCAATTATTATCTTTTCAAATAATAAAATTCTTGTTAAAATTTCAATTATCTTTAGAAATAATTAAATTCTTCTCCGAAATTCAATTACCCGTGTAGAAATCACCATGCTATGCCTAAAATGATTATTGGCCCTAGCTTGGACCTAACTTGGCAACCCCTTTTTATATATCCTGGGCTGGTCCTAACTTGGTACTAGCTAGATAGGAGATCCAGTTATGACTTAGAAAAATTTTTAGGAAAATAAAGTGTAAAAATTGATACATGAAAAACATGTAAAAATTGATAAATATTCTCAATTAATATTTATAAAATTAATTGATAATCATATTTGTTTAAACAATTTATTGTTTGACATAAATCAGAAAATTATACAAATACTATAAAATAAAGTTAATTTATTAATTTATTAATTCAGCAATTGTTTAAACAAATAATTGTTATTTACTAACTTTTTACACAATCAACCTAGAAACTAGCAGTTTTTTCTAATTTTGCAATAAGTAAATACTCAGATTAGTTAATTGCAAAATTTTAAAAGACTACAAGTGTCTAGACGCTTTATTGTCTTAAGAATTAATAAATAACAACAATTTTTTGTTTAAACAAATGCTGAATTGTTAAAATACATTAAAAAATTTTAATAAAATTCTTGGCAATTATTTTCAAAAATATTCCTCAATTCAATGATTTTTAATAGGCATCTACTAATCTAATAAAATTTTCCAAAAGAATTCAATTATTTAAAAAACAATTTAATAAAATTCTACACAAACATTTAATTATTTTCAAAAAATAATAAAAATTCCACAGGAATTTCATTATTTACAAATTTTTTTATAAATTCCTTCGCAATCATCCAATTATTTTCATAAATAATAAAATTTTTTACAGGGATTCAATTATTTTGGTAAATAATAAAATTGGTCCGAAATTTTTCATTTTTGGTCCGTAAAGTACGTATTTTTAAATACTTTCACTGGTTCGAGCCCTGTTTTATTCACCGTGGAGCTTCTAGTTTCCATCCACTTTTGCACAATTTTGGGTATTTGAATGTGAATAAATTTCTTTTACTGCGTTTCAGCATTGTTATCATAATATTTATAACAACTCCGGTTAAACCTATTTTTAATCTGAGCTCTTAATTTTTTCTATTCATGAAAGTATTCTATGTGATCTAGCTTATTTAACGTTGTACTATAATATCTTAGAAACGTATTTCCAATACTTAACCTCCTCTGGTAATGAAGTGTGGAGAATTTTCCACGATTTTCATTCAATGGAAAGTTGAAGTCTATAGCTTGATCAGGTTCATGTTTTACAAGAATTTGACCAGAATAATTGTTAACAACAACAAAAAATAATACAATTATTGTATCTTATTATAGGTATAACCAGGATCATTTAGGTTCTGTACTCGCTTAATTCGTATCATATAAAACGTGTAGAATGGCATCCAAATCACTGATAGATTTTCAAACAAGGATCTGACAAGTAAAAAACAGAACTTAAAACAGAGGTTACTATCAGTAGGACCAAAATCTCGTACATGATGAGTTCTCGAAAAGTCTTGATTAGAAAATTATATAATAGAGCTCTTTTCCATATTTAAGGACACTTACGTTCAATAAATCTTTATCATCTGGGTTTTTCCCAAGTGTATGGAAGAGAACAAGAGCGTGTCCTATTTTCAAGCAGAGAGATAGATCTGAAGTGACAAACTACCGTCCTATTTCTATTAAAAGTAATTTCTCCAAGATCTTCAAAATGTGCATTTATGAAATTATATTCGGCAAGTTATCAGGTGAAATTTCTACTTATCAGCATGGTTTCATCCCTAAAAGATCAGCAATTACTAATTTATTAATTTTCACGCAACATATTTATAATCTACTAAATGAGTATCCTCAAATTGATGTGATCTACACAGATCTCGGTAAAACATTTGATACGGTTGATCATCAACATAAATAAATTTATTCACTATAATGGATTTTAATCTAAACCTTTTTTCCCTTCATCAGGTGTTCCTCAGAGATCTAAACTTGGACCTTTACTTTTTACCGTCTACATGAACCACTTAACTCTCTCTTTAATTTGTTATCACCTACTTTATGCAGATGATGTAAAACTTTATCTTCCAATTACTGATGCACTGAAAAACTGTTGGTAGAGCTGTTCGCCCAATGCGGTGAACTGCTGCGTTAAAAAGAAACGCACAGCTCACTTTATTTTTGGGCGAGTTACTCTCCTTTTTGGGTGAGCAACTCTCCTTTTTGATAGAGCTGCTGACCTTTTTGTCAAGCAGCCGCTCGCCAACGCCATTGGTAGTCAAGTTTAAGAGAGCAGCTCGCCCAATTTTGATAGAGCTGTGAGTTTAAAGTCAAGTAGCGCTGCACAACAGTCAATAGCGGAACTGCTCTACCAACAGTTTTTCAGTGTGCCAATTCGTGTCAAATACTTCAAGATAATTTAAATAATTTTAATGATTGGTGTAAAAATAATAAATTAAATTTAAATATTGATAATTGTAAAGTTATGACATTTGTGAAGGGGAAAACTATGATCTCTTATCATTATTCTATTGATGGTAACTATGATGTTGAGAGGGTTAATGGGTTTCGTTTTCACCTAGATCATGTTTCAGATATGGTTAATAGTGCTAGTAAAACTCTTGGCTTTTTATTTACATCATTTAAACAATTTAAAAGAATATCAACTTTAACGGTTCTCTTTCAAGAATTTGTTGCATCAAAATTCTTATATTGTTATTTGGTCTCCATTTTTTCACTCAGAAAAAGAGTTGGCTGCCATAGCCAATTAAATAGTTGCTATAGCGCGATCCAATTAATTGGATGGGGCAACTATTTCTTGGTTGATACATCCAACTTTTTAGCTGCATTACCTTAGCTGCATTACATACATAGCTGGGGTACCTTTTCGCATGGAAACAGTATCCAATAGTTGGATGTGCTAACCAATTAATTGGATCGCGCTATAGCAACTATTTAATTGGTTATGGCAGCCAACTCTTTTTCTGAGTGTTCAAAAGTACTCTGATGCAATTGACAATTGTCATAAGCAAGTTTTAACATTTTTAGCTTGGCGAGAAGACAAAGTCTATCCTCCTAGAGGAACTGAATTTAAGGTTCTCCAAGCTAAATTTGTCGTGTGGTCTCTGGGAGAAAGACGAGAATTTGCTCATATAATCTTTCTTTTTAAACTCATTAGAGGCATGATTGAATGTCGTTTTGTTTTGGAGATGGTACCTTTCAATGTACCTACTTACGCAATATAAGAAATACGGCTCCTTTTTACATTCCGTCTGTACTTAATATTCATTCTACACCTTATCGAATGTGTTCTTATATTAATAACATGTTTCTTTAATTTGATAATGTAAATTTGGACTTTAACCCTTTAACGCCCAAATGGACAAAATTTTGGTATGAAGTTTGAGGACTTATTTCGGTATCTTCGGAATCTGAAGTCTAATTTTAAAAATTCAAAATGGCGGATCCAATATGGCCGACAAATTTTCAAAAATTCATTAGATTAGCTTAAAATTTGTTATTCGGGGGTTTTAGGGGTCGCTGATCACGAATCTGATGTCCAATTTTGAAAATTTGAAATGGCGGATCCAATATGGCGGACAATTTTTCTTAAAAATTATTAGATTTGCTTGAAACTTGTTACTCGAGGGTTTTTGGGGTGGCTGATTACGATTATAATGTCCATTTTTTTAAATTAAACATGGCCGCTCCAGTGACATACAAATTTTCAGTTGAAATTCGATAATCACGTTCTTCAGCCATTAAAATACTTGAAATATTTTTAATGTTTTCCAACTTTTACTACGTGAAACCATAAAAGTTTTTGTTTTAGGGTTTCGTGGCCAAGGGCCAAAACCCTTATAGCGAGACTTTGGTGTCCGTCTGTAGTTCTTATGTCTTAAGTGTCAAGTCTTATGCAAGCTGGAGATAAAAAAAATTGTTTTTTTCAATTTGACCTTGAAATAAGTAATGATTAAAATAAAACATATACATTTCCATTTTTTGACCTTTAAATTCAAAAATTATAATAACAAATAAAAAGAAGAAAAATACACAAAAAAATAAAAAAGAAAAAAAACATAAAAAATAAAAAAGTAAAAAAAATATAAAATTTAAAAATATGAAAAAGACTTTCCAGTTCACGTTTACCTCCACGTGGTTAAAGTTGGAAAACATGAAAAATATTTTAAGTATTTTAATGGCTAAAGAACGTGATTATCCAATTTCAACTGAAGATTCGTCTGTTATATTGGAGCGGCCATTTTGAATTTTGAGAATTGGATTTCAGATTCAAAATCAGCGACTCCAAAAACCCCCGAATAACAAGTTTCAAGCAAATTTAATGAGTTTTTAAAAAAATTGGCCGTCATATTGGATCCGCCATTTTGAATTTTTAAAATTAGACTTCAGATTCGTGATCAGCGACCCCAAAACCCCCGAGTAACAAATTTCAAGCTGATCTAAACACTTTTAACAATTTCGTACTTTCGAATCAAATTTTGAAAAAAATTGAACTTCAAACTCCATTTTTGAGCCGCCATTTTAATTTTTAATTTTCTTTATAGTTCTATCTTCTAGGTTATATATCTATGTCACGTTATTTGTAACATTTAGAAATATTTTTCCGCTATTTGATAGTAGAAAAAATTGAAAATTAAACAAAAATTGGAAAAAAATCGGACTTTTTTTATAAAAAACATTAATAACTTTTTTGTTTATAAATTTTTGACTTTTTTTTAACGCCATTCGATAGAGCGCATATGAAAACATAAGAAATGATGATTCGTGAATTGTTCTATTGATTTTTAAATACCGAAGTAAGTCCTCAAACTTCATGCTAAAATTTTGCCCATTTGGGCGTTAAAGGGTTAAGTAATCTGTATTGGCAGTTTCTTTTCAGCGACAATTTGATTTTTAGTCTTAGTAGCCCTGTTAATGGTTTTTACTGTTGAGCTTTGTTATAAATAAATAAAAAAATATAGTATTAACTATAGGATATTATACATTACCTGTCTTCGAGTAGAACTTGATCAAACTCTGATGAAGAGACAAGAAACAATATCGATGTTACGCAATCGAAACATTGATACCACTTTTGTCTCTGAGACCTTTGACCTCCAACATCAACGAATAGAAATGGGATGTTATTGATGGGCACAACAAATTCTGATATTCCTTTAGTTGCCTTTCTACAGTGCAAAATATCCTGGTGAGTGGGTGTATACTCCTAAAAGTAAGTTGATATGTATTGTAATATAAATGCAATTTTCAGAACAACATTCTTTAAATAAGGGTGAATTTTCTTCAACATACCACTCGAGCAATCCTGTCTAGGTTATCCAGAAAGTATTGTACGGAGTCGCTCTGAAAATAAAATATCAATATAAAATAAGGACCTATGCAGCTGATCAATATGTACGATTTTTTATGATTTGTTATGTTTTGCTCACATCTGAAAATTTGATATAAGAATATGTGATATGTAAACCGGAAGTTCGTCCAAAACCGAAAGGTATGGACTATGAATAAATAAAAACTAAGGACCTATGCAAAGAAGGATTATTTTTTCTTAGAGGTCTTTGAGTTGCATTATTGGTACACTTCTTCAGTACGCTTTTTGATTTAAAGTGTTTTAAGAAGTAGGATACTTATTTTTAGTAACTGCTTTAATTTAAGGCCAGATTGAAAGTTAGTTTATTTACATTTTAGTATGTATAACAACTGTTTTCTTCATTATGATAATTACCAACAATAATTGATTATTTATGTGCTTAGTGAGACTTATGAAGAATATTATAAAAAATTTACCAGCTGAAATTCTCTTCGTCTGTCAAATGCCCGTCTAATAGAACTGTCTTTCCAGAGGCTCTGCAAAGATGGTACGTAGTGAAGAAATAATCTGGCATCTAGAATCATTGTGTTTTCAAACTTCAGCAATTGATAACCGATATCGTAGTTCTTTGCATTTTCCCAAGGGATGTTTAATTTATCACGAGCATCTACCAAAACCTTCATTCCTTTGATAATGTTTTGATAAATAATGTGTTGATACTCTTTTATAAGTTCAGGCTGAAATCAGAATACAAAATAATAATATTAAAATGCAATAATCTTTAAAAAAAAAAGCAGGGTTTATGATTATATGAAAATTGAATAGAGGTCGATAGTGGTCAACCTTAATGCAACTCCTTTTACATATGTCAATGTTTATGATTGTCACAAGATTTCTGATATTCCTCCATTAATGTAGAGTTCCTGTATTTGTCCTCACTTCAAGTATGTTCTGACTTGGGTGATTTTCAAATAACGTCATATTTGCATGACCCCATAGATAAATAACTAATAAAATTATTTTTTTGACAATCACTTCATAAATCCCTTAATGGAAGTCTCTTCTTAAAGATATTTAATATTCAGTTCATTAACGAATCATTATCATGGTTAAAATTAAGATAATAGGGTAAAATTATTATCAGATCCGTGGCTGTTGGTTCTCAAAGTTGTTCCGAAGCCAAATAATAATTGTGGAGCCCATGTCTGTACTTGGAGTTATCTACTGTATTTCGGAAGGAAATATAACATTAATTAATGACTACAGACATGGAATAAATCAAACCTTGGATAATGAAACAATTCTAAGTACCAGTATTACAGACAATCGAAAATCATTACTAAGGAAAAAAAAACAAAATCGTAAATTCCCAAAGATGTTTAAGACCATCCAAAAGAATACAACTTATAAAAACACCACAAATGGGATTTAATAACCCATTTGAATATTAAATATAAAATAAATAAAATTAAATATAAAATTATACGATGGTAAGAATTTTTTTACATATAGAGCTCATTCCCAAAAAATTACCAACAGACTCGCCCGAAAGCCATCAGCCAATACGTTTTCATACCATTGACTTCAATTGTATTATTAAAAATTACCGTTTCATTTAACTATAATTTGTTTTAAAAAATAGTCAGCAGACTCCCTCAAGAGCCACCAGAATCTCTTATTTATACCATTGATTTGAAATGTGTCGTTAATAATTAAAACAATAGTGACATTCTTTCTGAACCGTGCCACCCCAATTCTTCATTTCAAATTTTAAGGAAAACATTTAATAATAGCTTAAATTAAAGCTAGAAGTGTCACCTTTTCAATGCAGGTGTGGCCTCTTCTGAAATTTTAAAATCCAAACAAAATAAGGATGATTAACCAACACAAATCGTTGTTATAGATATTACTTCTTTGTGAAAAAAGAAGAAACACTGAATTTTTAAACTTCTATGAGGTCTCCAACAATTAGTGTTGATTCAGCCTTAAAAATTAAGATATTCTTAAAATTCAAAATGTCGGATCCAATATGGCGGACATTGGATTTAAAAAATGTTGGTATCTAAGGTATTTAAAGACCACTGATTAAGAATTTAACATCAGTTTTCAAAAATTCAAAATGGCGGCCAGCTTTGAGCCGAGAATGTAATCAAGTTAAATTTACAATCATCGCTTTTTTCCTTTGGCGCTATATATTAGGTCAAACGGGTCAAACCAGAAACTTGCTAGAAATTAGTAATCTGAAGCCATTATAATCCTTAGCGACTAAATTTCTTTGAAAATTGATCAATTTTTCAACTTTCATGTCCCAATTTGAATTTTTAAAAACTGACGTTAAATTCGTAATCAGTGGCCTTTAAAACCCTTAGCTTAGATACCGAATTTTTTTTAAATTATTCAATTTTTGGTCCGCCAAATTGGATCCGACATTTTGAATTTATTTATTTATTTATTTAAAGAAATCAAGTTCCTAGGGCTGTTAGCCCACTAAGGAACAATGTACATAATATTAATATTAATTACATAGTCCTAAAACTAAGATAACCAACATAATAAAAATACAAATAATATAATAGCAAAGATAACATAATAGAGGTATACATCATTCTCATTAACATTCATAAGAAAAATATATACAAAAAGAAAAAACAATAAACCAAAAAATAAAACAATGTAAGAAAAAAAAATAACAAAATCATAGGGTTACCAATAAGTAATATCAAAAAATCCACCGCTCCTTTTACTTAAATACTCAAAAAATAGTTTCTTAAACAAAAATTGGTTAGGCGCTTCTCTAATACTGTTCGGCAGTTTCCAGTTTGTTCCAAAGCCTTGAGCCTCTTACAATAAATGATCTTTGCATCTTACAAGTACGATGAGAAGGTATTTTTAAAACATTATTCCTCTCTCGAAGTCTAGTACAACTAAATTCATTATTATTAATAAGATCAAAAAATTCAAAGAGATAAGATGGAGTTTTGCTATTAATGATAGAATTTAAAGAATATCTTAATTTTTTTACACTAAAAATCAAAAAGGTTGTAATTTTTGTCAAGGCTGATACTTAACATAACCCTTTATAAATGTCAAAATAAATAAAGAATAATTGAAAATTTGGATTCGGATTGACGTCTTATAACTTCAGGTTCTGCTTAATTACCTGCATTAAGTAATACATACTTTTATTTTTTATATTTATAGTAAAATCTAATAAGTATTTGGGAAAATAAGTTTTAAAAAGTAATTAAAATAAGAAAAAGGTTAAAATTATTATAATTTAAGTAATTTTTTTGTACAAAAATAATCTCTAAAAATAAAAAACGTCTAATAACGTTAAAAGGTATTTATTTTCAAAATAAATTTTAGTTTACATGAAACATTAAAAAGTTTAAAAAAATTTCACAACAGAAACACATTAGATCTAATATTTTGTTTATTTGTGTATAAAATACATTATCTTTAACATTTACAACATATACAATAAACAAAATTACAACGCTTGTAATTATTTAGTTTTGTTTTGCTTTTAATTGCAATTAGAAATTTTTGAAAATATTCACATCGTCAAAAATTTCCGTTCATTTTAACCTTAAAAACTTAAGCATCAAATATCCTTGACAATTTGCATGTATGCACCCTATGCAAAATAATTATTTTTTACTTCATTTACATTTGACAGATTATATTTTTTTCTTCATATTTAAAAATTATAAAGTTTAAAACACACTAATAGGAGTGGCAATCTTTTTATTTTATCAATATAAATAAAAATGAGAAATAAATAAAATTTTGATTATTTGAATTGTAGATTCTTTGAAATACGAAGCATTATGTTCCTAAAGTTCTAAAAATTTAAATTAACGAAATTTATTTATTACTTTTTTAAATTCAAATCTTATTTTATAATATGATATTGCGTCATGTTTGAAAAAACAAATTATAAACTTTGAAAACGTTTAATTTTGCTTTTTGATTTTTAATTGAAATCAATAATTTTTAAAAATATTTTGTTTATTTAAACGCTCAGAATTTTTGGAAAACACATAAATTGAAATAAATGATTGAATTTGAGATCTACTAAGATTAGAATTTGAAATTTATAGTGCTTAACATTGGGAGAAATTAAAATTAAAGTCAACTGAATTTGCCCTTAATTATAAGAATAAGATGAACTGTAATTCCAAAGATTATAAATTTTCACGAATTAAATTCAGGGTCAACTAAGATTTTAATGGATGAAAGTTTTAACAAATTAAAAATAATATTTATTAAAATATAAATTAAATAACAATTTTTTATTGAAAATGTTTTAAAAATTTAGAAAATAGGTGAAATATAGGGTAGGAGACAAAAAAAAGTTTGTGAAATTATTATTTATCTAAAAAGCATTCTGTCAAAAAATTCATTCCTTTTCCTTTTTAATTTTTTAAGTACAACTTCCAGACAGGAAACATTCATTTGTTGTTATTTCTAGTGTACATTCACATTTTACATCCGACCTTAGGTACTTAAATTTTAGTGTCTTTTATATTTTAGTTAAATTATAAATTTTAGTTGTATTTTAAAATTTCTACAATTTTTTATTACTTTATAAGAATAATTTAAATGTTTTCCTTTTTTCTACACGGAAAGAAATTTTATTCCAAAATTTAAGAAATAGATTATTAAGTCTGTGTTATTCGATGTTTGCTATAGAAAATATTAATAGAGTCACTAGAAATATAAAATTTAATTGTTTTTAGCAAAATATAATAATAATAATGAACATTGACATTTTCTTATTGTCTAAGTTCATAGATTTCAGAAAAATAAAACACTTGTGAAAAATGCAATTTTTAGAAAATAATTGAATTTCTTAAAAGAATTTTTGTAAAATTGAAAAAAATAATAAATTTTTTTAAGAATTTTAATGAAAAATTATGTACATGATTATTTTCTCCAACATGTTGAAAATAATCCTAAAAAATTTTAATATTATTTTTTGCATGTATTTGAATTTTCGGAAATATGTAATTGAAAATAATTGAATTTTAAAAAATTAGAATAAAAAAAATTCTAGGAATCACTATTTTTAAAAATAGGATAAACGTACCAATTTTCGTGGATGTACCTATTTTTCGAGTCAACAAATTCTGTTTTCGACTTAAACATGGTTGTTTAAAAATTGGTAAAATTGATTTTACTATTTTCAGGGCTGTTAAAAATCATGATTTAAAAAAAACAAAATAATCCGATTTTTTTATTTAAATCAATTTTTTTGACACTATTTTTTAAATATTTATTTTTAAGTCGTTCGTTTTTTAATATTAAAAATTAAAAAATAAAAATAATAAGGTGGCTGCAAAGTTTCATTTTCAAATTCCCTGACTAATTTCTCATTTTCCCTGATTAATAAATTTTTTAATTATTTAATCTTCTACATTGCTGATTAAAAATTTAATAATGTTTTTTAAGTAACAATTTAATTTATAGAGAAAAACATAAGATAATTAAAACTAATTTGTTAAAAAATTTTTATTGTGTTTAAAACTTTTATTATAAAAAAAGTAAATGCAAATTTACAATATTTAAATTGTTCTTAATGAGCTATATTATACAAAAAAAAGTTTAAATACAATAACTAAATTGACATTTATCAAAGTTTTATAATTTGTGATTTCTTTCGATTTTAATTCTATGACTTTTGAAGAATCTTTAAAAATTCCATAACTTTCCTCTCACTAAATAAACAAAAACTAATAATTATTACATTCTGAAATTCATTATATTATCTCTGTAACGTATTCTTTTTGACTTTTTTTTAATTCAAAATTTTTAACAAAAATACTAATTTTGCAGCTTTTTAGGTTCCTGATGCATTTCGCAGTTTGATTTAAATCATTATTAAAATGGCAAGATTTAAATCATAGTTCTTACTATTTAAAGTATAAATTGTAACATTCTTTAAAAAGAAGGTATTTATTTGTTTTATATTTAAAACTTAAAAAAATTAACAATTGTTATTTTCTGAAGGAGATGAAAATTTGTATAAATTAAATGAACAACGGGATACTTGATACGAAACGCTGTTATAATTTAGGTAATTGGTGATAATAATAATGAAAGGAATTAGTTTTATTGAATAATAAAAGAAAAAAAGATTTCTGAAGCGGGGATTAAATAACCTAAATTCGTCGCTGGTGGGGTAAATAATAAATAATAAAGCGGAACCACGTTGTATTCCGCCCTGCACTGTCATTTGGTTCACAGCCACTTTGAGATATTTAAAGGGAGCGTAGAAGTCTGGGAATGAATTTGATAAGAATTAGGACTCACCTCGAATTTGATCCCGTGAATAATCCGCATTTGCTTGAGGAAGGTGGACTTGCCACTCTCCCCGGCCCCGAGGAGCAGCAACTTGACCTGCCTGCGGAAGGCCTGCCGATCCTTCTCCAGCATGCGATCTATTTCCTGGCTCTTGTACCGCTGCTCGATCTCCTCGGGGCTGAACTTGAACCGCAGGCAACAAGTACACGACCACGTTAGGGACCCCGCCATCTTGCTACCCGGTGCAGCTCCTCCTGGACCCTCAATAACAACGCGAAATTGGCACACACGCGACGACTCGCGACGACTCACGACACAACCTGTTCCAAGCGATTCAGGGCACTTCGCATGGCATGATTAAATAACTTATAGGACCCGACCCGCCTCACTTCACTGTTGACTGTTGTAATCCAAAGATCTCGCAAACAATGCAATTTCAACAATAACTGTATTTTTATTACGATACGCGTCAGCGAAAGTACTCTGCTGAACTACATGATAACACGTCCAGGCGCAAAAAATCCTACGCCGTCAACGAGGAAACGGGCAAAACTCTGCTCCCTCCACATCGATGTACACAAACACACACGGACGAACATCACAAAACCACCGAGATTTTCCGATCCGTCAGAAAAGAACACACTACCTGCTGGCCAATAGGTATCTCAGCAGTATCTCAGCAGTCATGTCTCTCCCCTCGACAATGGCTAAACATTTCCACGGGCAGCCGACGAGTACGAGACATTCATTCTTTCCTTCGCTATCAGCACGACACATACACTGTGCATGTTAGAAAATACAGTCATTTTTTATGTGGCGAATGGCGATCACCTTCTAACGAGTAGAAACTGACATCTTGTGCTTTCATTCTATTATTCTATTCATTGCTTCAGTTGATATTTCTACATCAAGGAATCTTCCTTACCGATATTGCAGGAAGAAAAAACAAAGAAGAGGAAAATATTGTCGTTTAATTTAGAGTACGGGCAACGTCCGAAATGAGACAGTTTAATGCTGATTCTACACTCACTGAGTCGCCCCGACTTTCCGGAACGACTAGCATGAGATAGACAAAGACGGAGTCGACTCAGTGAGTGTAGAATCAGCATTAGGTTGAGTCATAGACTAATATTTTATAAGGCGAAAGTCGTTCGCGAACAAGATGCATGAGATATATATATCTCATATGCATGAGATATATATATATATATATATATATATATATATATATATATATATATATATCTAACTCATACTTTGCGTTCGCGAACAACATTCGCAAAGCAGTGTGCTTAGGCCTTATAGGGAATCCACACTTCGGTCTAAGATGCATATGCTGATTCCACCCTTAAGCCCTAAATGTGCTTCTATACCTCCGGTGGATTGGTCAAGCAATCGGCTTGATGAATTTTCACGGTCGGAAAATGTACTTTCATGGCGGGTATTTTTGAATAAGTAAATGTTGAAAAGGTTTTTACTTGAAAATTTATTTAAAAAAATGATTTTATCATAGAAATTCTTTTGAAAGTAATGTTAAAAAATATGTTTTATTTTAAAAGTTATCAAATTTTAATTCAAAATGTTTTAATTTTCCAAAGAAGTGTAAAAAGCCTAATGTTTTTGAAATACTAGTACAGACGGTACAGACTGTTTGTTATGAATGTACATAACCTAGCGTTGTGTTGTCGTGCTTGTGATATTATTATATTCTAAATTTAATGATTTAATTATTATTATATTAAATAATAATAAACAGACAACACAACGCTAGGTTATGTACATTCATAACAAACAGTCTGTACCGTCTGTACTAGCATTTCAAAAACATTAGGCTTTTTACACTTCTTTGGAAAATTAAAACATTTTGAATTAAAATTTGATAACTTTTAAAATAAAACATATTTTTTAACATTACTTTCAAAAGAATTTCTATGATAAAATCATTTTTTTAAATAAATTTTTAAGTAAAAACCTTTTCAACATTTACTTATTCAAAAATACCCGCCATGAAAGTACATTTTCCGACCGTGAAAATTCATCAAGCCGATTGCTTGACCAATCCACCGGAGGTATAGAAGCACCTTAAGCACAACTGAGTCGGGTGCGGGAGACGACTTCGGGATATGGGCTTCCTAAAGGTGCCGTCCCATGTCGGCGTAAAAACGTCAAAGCGTTGAAGCGTCGGCGTTAAAGTATGAGAGTGAACGAGATAGAGATATAAGGTTGTTTCTTTCACTCTCATGCATTTACGTTTTGACGCCGACGCTTTGACGTTTTTACGCCGACATGGGACGGCACCTTGAAGGCCAACGCAGAATAGATCTGTAACCGGAACCGCAATCGTAAGCGTAACCGTAAGAATGAGTTAAAGAAGGATAGGTATATTGTTTATCCTTCTCTAACTCATTTTTACGCTTAAGGTGCTTCTATACCTCCGGTGGATTGGTCAAGCAATCGGCTCGATGAATTTTCACGGTCGGAAAATGTACTTTCATGGCGGGTATTTTTGAATAAGTAAATGTTGAAAAGGTTTTTACTTGAAAATTTATTTAAAAAAATGATTTTATCATAGAAATTCTTTTGAAAGTAATGTTAAAAAATATGTTTTATTTTAAAAGTTATCAAATTTTAATTCAAAATGTTTTAATTTTCCAAAGAAGTGTAAAAAGCCTAATGTTTTTGAAATGCTAGTACAGACGGTACAGACTGTTTGTTATGAATGTACATAACCTAGCGTTGTGTTGTCTGTTTATTATTATTTAATATAATAATAATTAAATCATTAAATTTAGAATATAATAATATCACAAGCACGACAACACAACGCTAGGTTATGTACATTCATAACAAACAGTCTGTACCGTCTGTACTAGTATTTCAAAAACATTAGGCTTTTTACACTTCTTTGGAAAATTAAAACATTTTGAATTAAAATTTGATAACTTTTAAAATAAAACATATTTTTTAACATTACTTTCAAAAGAATTTCTATGATAAAATCATTTTTTTAAATAAATTTTCAAGTAAAAACCTTTTCAACATTTACTTATTCAAAAATACCCGCCATGAAAGTACATTTTCCGACCGTGAAAATTCATCAAGCCGATTGCTTGACCAATCCACCGGAGGTATAGAAGCACCTTTACGGTTACGATTGCGGTTCCGGTTACAGATCTATTCTGCGTTGGCCTTAACTTCAAAATGTATGTAAATTTTACATATCCCGAAACCGAACAGTTGTGCTTAGGCCTTTACCCAGCGCTCCGCTTTTCGTGACGCTATAGTCCCTGTCTTTTTCTATCTCACGCAATGCGCCACGGAAAAGCGGAGCGCTGGGTAGAGAGCAAGAAGAGTTGAATTTCTCTTTCTCGCTCACATTGATGCGCCCCATTGTCCACAGGAGCCAGACACAGAGCTGTGAACATACCATAATGTTTACAAAGTACGCACAAAACTTGTTTTGAAAGCAGCCTCCCCCACCACTTGAGTTACCAAGACTGCGGTTTTGAAAACAGCTGTCCCTCTTTTACTGTAAACAGCTTCATATCTTTACGTTTGATGGTAGTAGACCAATAACGTGAAACCACGATTGCAATGATACTAAAAGACGATGTGGATCGTGGATGATGGTTGTTTACAATTTGACACAACTGTTCAATTTTCGACGTCAAGATAGATGTCTTTTTTAATTGTCAAGTCAACTTTCGAATTATAAATTTTAGTGTGTCATTTCTTTGTAAAATTGCTAAATTCATTTTGGTGGAAGATATGTTGAACTATGCTATATTGTTAATTTTATTAGATATAGTTTTTGATGGTTTGTATTTTTAACCTTTCTAAAATTATAAGTTAATCGTTAATAAAAAGATTATACATCATAATGTATGAGCAAATTTTTTGTAAATTACCTTAAAACTTGTTAGATGTATTAAGTAATAAAAATATTGACTTTAATGGAGAATTGCAATTTAAGTTTGGTTATGATATTTGCATTTTACCTTTATAAGTAATGATCTCTAATGTTATCTTCGTGTATTCTTTTAACTTAGCCGTTGGAGGAATATCTCAGTCGGAGATTGAGAAGCATTTGGAGCTTGGTAATGAATTTCTTGCTCAAGGGAAACTCGAAGAATCACTTACAAATTACCATGCGGCCATAGGTATGTGTCAATCATATTATTTTCATCATCATTACACAATTCTTGAAGACAGTCAAAAGTATCTAAGGTTTATTTACAGAATTGTATTCTTTTAAAATTATCACTTACTTTAATGACAATGTGATTATTTTATTAGATATCTGTCAATTTAAGGGGAGGAACCGGTGAAATTTTAACTCATCTAAATTTTTTTTTATGGTTAGTCAATTGTTTTCTGAAAATTTTCAGTAACAATAAAAAACAATTGAAGCGTTGGGTGCAAGAATTAAATTAAAATTTAAAAACAATTGAAAATTGATTCTTCAGACCAGAACATTTTTATTTGTTCATAAAAATTAATTCGATTAATTAAGTTTATTTGGTTTGTTAGATTTTATAAATTCTTTTTTTCTCAATAATTAATAAATTTTGTATCATTTAAAAACTAAAAAAATGTTTTTAAAAATTTTAATTTTGAAAAAATTAAAAAATAGTCCTGATGATTCATGTTCATAGAGAAATGCATAGAAAAATTCTAAAATGCATTTATTCACTTATAGATAAAACAACTAATTTTCATAACTTCAAATCTTGGATACAAAGCTAATTATTCATTACGAATCTTTTTCCCATAAACATTTTCTTGATTAAACATAAATTATATCTGTTACCACAATGAAGCACGGACAAAACATAAATAAATAAAGGTTAATAATATCAATTGTTTCTTAATAAGTAAGGTTAATAAAAAGAAATATTTTCAATCATAATTTTTGAGAATGTGAAAGTAAAATCTATTAGGTATAACAGTTAGTAATTTTTTCCGAAAATATGTACATTTTTTTTAATAATCTATATAACTTTACAATACTTCATTTTGAAATTTGTTTATGCGAATTCCTATTAAAAAAGTGAATAAAATCCGTGCGTCACAAACTCAAGTCCGTGCGACACGTTGGTTAAATGCTAAAAAATACTGCAAAATTTATTAAAATATTAAAGAATCACTTGCAGTTGCTTCTATGTATCCTATTGTTTATGTCAGTGTAGGGGAGGGTAGGCTACATTGAACCGGGTATTTTATAAAGTCCAAGAACTAATAAAATTTTACTAATTTCGATCAGGTTTTTGTATCAAAATTAAGCTGAAGTACTCCTTTAGTTAATACACACGTTACAAACACAAATTATTATGATTAAATAATTAAATTTAATTTTTTTCTAACAAGTCACACTTTTCTTATTTTGAAGGATGTGTGTCTACATTGAACCACCTCTAATAAAACACTACAATTTACTTCAAAAATAATATTTCCACTTACACATTGTAAAAAATCTTATTTTCCACTCAAAAAAATAGAAAATTGTTATTTAATTGTTATTACTTGTTAATATAGGAGATTAATGTATTTTAATGTCAGGTTAGGTAGGTAAAGTGACAGTTTGAGTTTATCTCGTTCACAATTGTGATGAAAGCATGTCTTCCAGTATTTTGCTTACTAATTAGTAGAGCAGACAATTTTACAACTCTTAAAATTGAAAATTCTTTGCTTTTTCGGGTGGTTCAATGATGCCGCACTCACTGTATTCACATGACATTCACAACAAAAATTGTTTATAATAAATTTGTGTAAGATTTAAAGTTCTTTATCACATCGGAATATTGAAGTTGACACCCTAAGCGAAATAAATCGCAAGTTTACTAATTTTTAAAACTTCCTATTTCAATAAAAAAACGTCATTATAATTCCACCAAATTTTTTGTTTTGTACGTGAAAAACAGTTTTTTTAGTTTTTCTTTGTAAATAATAAACCTACGTGCCCGAAATTTTTGGACATAGTTTGTTTCAGTAAAACTAACTTATATATTAAATATGAAAAAATTTCACTCAGTCATTTCTCAGAAAATTGAAGTGGTTCACTGTTGACGCTGGTTCAATGTAGCCTACTCTCCCCTACATTAAATAGTTTTAAGACTTCAAAATTCGAAGAATATTTGTATATTATATCAAGGTGTTGAATAGTGTGTCCTGAAAATCTCCGTGGGTCACTCTAAATAAATTAAGAAAAAGAGAGATGTAGAGAAACGAAAAACTATTTTTAATATAGGCTTTAGAATGATCTACTAATTAGATTTAAGGTATACAATTTTATTTTGTAAATTAAGTATATTTGAAAGTTTCAGAAAAGTTAGAACATTAAAAAATGTGGTATTTTTTTATACAATTGAGATTTTTTACAAGAATTTATCTACATACATACATACATACCTTTAGAATTTCAAGTCACGAAAATTGAATGAAAAAAGTATAAAAATTTTCAAAGTTCTTTTACAACTGAAAAATAATTTTTAAAAATTAAATATAGGCTTAATGCAAAACATTATTCGAAGTTTAAACATTTTTTTTAAACAATGTATTTTAATAATACCTTTTTAGCATTTTAATATTAATTTTAACTTTTCGAATTTTTATTATACAACTTTTAATGACTTACCATTTTCTAAAAAAACACAATTCTACAAAAAAAATACGATTCAAATGATCCTATGAACGTTAAAAAATGTTCATTTCTTCGGAAGATATAAAGAAATTAGACAAATCACTTCAAGTGTTATTTTTTTAGAATTTTATCAGTTTTTCGAAAATAAAAAGAAAAAATTTTTAGATAGGTATTATTTCTTTCACGTTAAATGTTATTTAATAATAGTTATTAAAAATTAATATTTAAAAAAATATTTAATTTAATTTTTAAAAACTATGCAAATGCACATCAGCACATTCTGTTGGTTTAAATTATTTTTATTTATATCATAATTAGCATAAAAAGTCACTTCTTATTTGAAATTATATCAATGAGTTGAACATCTTCAAAATTTTAACTTACATAGATTTTCTGTATGTTAAAGTTCAAATTAAACTAGGTTATGTTTGTAATTTTGACATTATGTAAATTGTAAACACTAAAAAAAATGAATGAAGAATCTTAAAAGTGGGGATTTTTCATTTCTCCTCTTGCGCTCATAATAGAGGAAGACTTGACTCCCGACCTTCTCGTTATAGCGAAATTCGAGTGTACTGTTGATTCATATAGCTCTGGCTGTAATAGTATGTTTTTAAAAACTTTTACGAAATGGCATTTTTTACAACCCAAGTAACGATTTCTTGAATTATGCTTCAAAAACAATGTTGAAGATCGATGACAGTTTCTTCTGATGCCATTTTAACAAAAATGTTGTTATTGAAAGTTGTAGAGTTCGGAGTAAAAAAACCTTTAAAATAACGGGTCATAAATTAAAAATGGTCCATTTGTTTGTTTGCAAATGAATTTAAACCAGTCAACATGGCATATTTTTAGTTGCAATCTGTTACTAGTTTTTTAAATTGTAAACATCAATTATAAAAAATTATATATAATGTGTTACGCACCATGTTAAGTGAATGGCGCGTAACACATTATAGCATCCAGCCCCTCAATTAGTAAAAAGTCAAGAAAAGTCATTTTTTTCTCAATCCTTGTTAGACACCCTGTAAAAAAATTTTGTTTTAAATGGTTTTTTCGGACATGGATACACTACTGGTCAAAATTGAGAGACCACCCATTTTCAGGTGATTGAAGAACATTTTAAAACATAAAATGTATGTAAACTAAAATTTTTTTCTTTTTATTTTTTGAAAGATGATAAAATTTTGAAAAGAACAAGATCTTTTAGAAGTCGTTTGGCCAATATTTTATTTAGATTTATGTATTTTTAAAAAATCGTCATTTTCAATGTTTTACAAAAATTTGAATAACTTCTAAAATAATGAACGCATTTTAATGATCTTAGGCTTATTTTAAAGGTCATTTGCTACACTATAAGAATTACTTATAGGCATTAACGTATAATTTTTTTCTTAGAAAATTTAGGCCGTCAAACTTGGATCAAAAAAATTCAAAACAATTTTTCTGTACTAAAAACTATTTTAGAAAACATATAAAACATCATATGGTGTAGATATTTCAAGAAAATTTACTTAAAAAAATACGTTTGAATTTTAAAAATTATTTTTCAGTTAATAAAATTGTTTCAAATTTTTTGAATTTTTTTGGTCCAAGTTTGACGGACTGCATTTTCTAAAAAAAATTACACGTTAATGCCTATAAGTAATTCTTATAGTGTAGCAAATGACCTTTAAAATAAGCCTAAGATGATTAAAATACGTTCATTATTTTAGGAGTTATTCAAATTTTTGTAAAACATTGAACATGATGATTTTTTTAAAATATCTAAATAAATTATTGGCCAAACGACTTTTCAAATATCTTGTACTTTTCAAAATTTTATCATCTTTCAAAAAAAGAGACAGAACAAAATTTTAGTTTTAATAAATTTTATGTTTTAAAATGCTTTTCATTTTCCTGAAAATGGGTGGTCTTTCAATGTTGACCGGTAGTGCATTTAGGAAATTTAAATTTAATTAAATAAAATAAATTAAAATATTAATTTCTAAGTGTTTATTACTTTTAGTATTTGGTCAAAAGAAATGTCCACATAGACCCAGTAAAATTTAATTTTATCCCTTTTATTTTTTTAAATTTTTAAAGGATTTGTTATCAAAAGAGTTATTTTTAGTTGCAAACATCGTAAATATTTTTTAGTGCTTCCACATAGAGGAAGGATTGTATTGGCAAAATTTTTGATTGTGATTCCGAATAAGCCGCTCTCCCCGATTTCAATGAAACTTGATATACTCACGTATTTTGGTGCGCTGATTACGAAAATCATAGTGAAAATTGGCGCAAATTTGCATTTCATAGTAAAAACCATAAAAAAGTGGTTTTTTGCATTTAACTCATAAAAATGCAGAATTAAAAAAAAGGTTTCCAACAAAAGTTGCAGGTTTTAACAAAACGCCGTATTTTCCTCTCCGTTGGGCACGTTAAAAATGAGAGAGCTTTTTTTGATAAGTCTCCTCACATTCATGCACATAAACATAATTGTAAAAAGAGATAAAATGGAAGCTTTACGAGCAGTAGTAATAAATATATTATTGTACACCAACGGTAACTTGTTAAGGTAGATCGTCTAGAAGAAGACGTTCAAGCTTGAAGCTTGAACTAGAATATAAATGCTGTGGCCGAAGTTTTTGGTGAATATGAAGTAATAGTGAGATTCCTTTAGTTCAGCTGATTCCTTTGTTTGCAGATGGTGATCCTAACAATTATTTGACTTATTTCAAACGAGGAACTGTATATTTAGCTTTAGGAAAAGCCAAGTTTGCTCTACTTGATTTTGAAAGACTGCTAGAACTTAAACCTGATTTTACTGTTGCAAGGTTGCAGCATGGTAATATTTTATTAAAACAAGCATTATTTGATGAAGCGGAGCATGACTTTACGAATGTGGTAAATATTCCTTTACAAACAAACCTATTCATTTTTTATCCTACATGCTTGACGAATGGCGCTTTTTGATGACAGGAAGTAAAGCCATTCATTTGTTCGGCCATTTTATCCCAAGGGCAAAAAACTGAATGATTTTTTACTTCCTGTCGTAAGGTAACATTGGTTATTCATCCTCTCAATTAATTTCTTATAGCTTGCGTTAGAACCAAATCATCATGAAGCCTTAAATGGAATTTCAAAGGTGGATGCTTTAAGAAACCAATTAGAGAGAATAGAGTTTTTAGTAAGTAAACGAGAATATAGTGCAGCAGTCGAACTTATCACTGCTGTCATTGAAGACTGTCCGTGGTCTCCATATCTTCGACAACTCAGATCTGAATGCAATGTTGCTCTCGGCGAATTTATGAAGGCAATTGCAGACATTCGATCTACGACTAAGTTAGTGTCGGACAATACACAAGGTTTTTACAGCCTCTCGCTATTACTTTATCAGATTGGAAATGTCGACGAAGCTTTAACGTAAGTATTTATTTGCCAAGTATTCCAGTTTCTGTTTATAATTCCTCAATTTATTATATGTTTATTTTATAAAACGAACGTATAATTTACAGAGAGATTAGGGAATGTCTCAAGCTGGATCATGAGCATAAAGATTGCTTTCCACTTTATAAAAAAATTAAGAAAATTGCAGCAACTTTGAACAAGGCAAAGAATGCGCGAGAAGTAAACGATCATGAAGAGTGCATTACTTTAGCTAATCGAGTGCTTAAGGAGGAAAGCAAAGAGTCGAATGTAAGATTTTTGGCCATGGATTTACTTTGTGTATGTTACACTGGTAATAACGAAATTAGTGAAGCAATTTCAAGCTGTAATGACGCTTACGATATACGAAAAGAGCCTGAAAATATTTGCAATAGAGCTGATGCTTATCTTGCCGGGGAAATGTTTGACGATGGTAAGTGTTTTATTTTAATAATTCCAAAAGTATTTCGTGTAGAATTTACACGAATTATTACACTACGTTTCTTGTACAGGATTGCCACAAATATTTCATTTTATTTTTCCCTGACTTTTCCCTGATTTCCAGACAAAATTTTCACTTTTTTCCTGACTCTGAAGAATATTCTGATTCACTCCAAAAATTATTAGATACGAAAAAATATCTTTTATTACATTTATTTACAAATTTCTTCAAAAGTCAAATTATTCAAAAACATCAATAACTTAATTTCCAAATAAATATTTAATCATTATTATTTTTCCATACGAATTAAAATTCTTCAAAAGATTCAAATTCAAACCTTTTTCAAATTACATAACAACTTATCAAAATTTTATTGTAAAACATGAAGATATCGATCACTCCAAGTCTTCGACTCGGAATGATCAATTTCTTCGTGTTTCACAATAATTTAAATTGCCATAAAATTTTTCAAAAAGAATTTTATTTATTATTAATTATTTTTATTTATTATTACTTTTATTATTTTTTATTAGATACTTATTTACAAAAACCCTAATAAAATTCTTCGCAAGAATTCAATTATTTTTACAAGTAGTAAAATTTTTCAAAAGAATTAAATTATTTTAAAAAAATTTAATAAAATTCGTTGCAAGAATTCAATTATTTTTATAAATAGTAAATCGATTATTCGGAAATTCATCTTTAAATCAATTTTTATTCGAAAATTCTACGAAAATTCAATTATTTAAATTCAAACATAAATAATTTACTGAATAATTGGATTTTTATTAAAATTGAATTCTTTTGACGAATTTGAATAAGATTTTTAAGAATAATCACATTTTTTAATGAATTCGATTAAAATTGTATAAAACAAATAATAAAAATCCTACGATGAGTTTTATTGTTTATAATTAAATTCGTGAGAACACTTTTATTATTTATTCTTCGCAGAAATTCAATTATATTCAAAAATTTAAAGAAATTTTCGTCAAAATTTCAATTCTCTTTATCAATTATAAGATTCTTTGAAATTTAATTATTTTCAGAAATTGTAATAAAATTCATGTTAAAATTTCATTTATTTTCAAAAATTTTGTTCAATTAAATGATTTTCAATATCTATTGATTTAATGAACATTTCCAAAAGAATTCAATTATTTAAAAACAATTTTAATAAAATTCTACGCAAACATTTATTAAATATTTTCAAAAATAATATAAAATTGATTTTAGGAAATCAATTATTTTCATAAATGATAAAACTCATCGCAGAATTTCAAATATTTTTAATACAATTTTAAATAAATTCCTTGAAAAATGCAATTATTATTAAAAATTTTATTAAAACTTGAGGAAAGAATTCAATTTTAAGAAACATTCAATTATTTAATAATTAATTCCTCGCAGAAAATCAATTATTTTCAAAAATTTTTAAGTAATTTTGCAAAAGAATTCAATTAGCTTGATAAACAACAGAATCGCATAAATTCTTCCCATAAAATCAATTATTCTAAGGAATTTTAATAAAATTCTTTTCCAAAATTCAATTATTTTGATAAATATCAAAATTCATCACAAGAATTTAATTCTTTTGAAAAATAATAAAATACTTTGCAGAAATTAAATTATTTTCAAAATGTTTTAAAAATTCTCGTCAAGAATTAAATTATCTAATTATGAATAGATAGGCAAATTCTTCTCAAGAATTAAATTATTTTCAAATTTTTTTTTAAAATTCTTCACAAGAAGTCAATTATTTTAAAATTTTTCAATAAAGTTCTTCTCATGAATTCAATTGTTTTCAAAAATTATTATTTAAATTCTTCTCAGGAATTCAATTATTTTTAAAAAATTTAATAAAATTATTGAAAATGCAGAGAGAAACTGAGAGTGGTTATGTCCATAGTAAAGGTAACTATTAAGTTAGTAGCGCCACCGTGGTCGCTGGGCGAAACGATGTCCGTAGAATAGATAATTACCTAAATTTTTCCAGTTTTCTGCATTATCGCGATTACGTTGCAGACATCATCCATCTGATTTCGATCACTCACACAGACGCGATGTCCGCGTAAACAATCGGAGCGATTCGTGAAACTTCGGTTATGGTCGAAGATCGACAAAAAATCCAATGCATAGTATAAAGCTGGAGAGAATTCTAATCTCACGTGTTCGACATCGCGTGTCAATTTTGCATTAATGGAAATTTATGGTGGTCACAAGTTTCAGTTAATAAATATCCCTGACAATTTACAGACATTAAAATTATGATTTTTCCTGACAAAATTCTTTAAACAAACAAAATTCAAAAAACAAAATATGAAAGTTTATGGAAAATGAGTAAAATTTATGAAATTGAATAATTTCTTATAATTATAATCATAACCCTTCCTGAATTTATTTTCAATAATTTTTAACTCACCTTCACCTCTAAATCAATTATTTTCAATTAATTTTTTAAAAGTTCTTTTGAAGAATTTTAATTATAAATATGACTATGATTTAGCAAAAATTGTATTAAGTCAAAAAAGTTAATTTTTATTGCTTTATTCGAAGATCATTAAATATTAAAAAATCCTAAGAATTAAGTGGTTTTTAAAAAGATTTTAATGTAATTTTTCGAAAATAATTGAATTTCTTAAAAGAGTTTTTGTATATTATTTTTAAAAAAATAAATAATTTTTTAATGAATTTTAATTAAATACTAGAAACAATTCGCGAGCCGACTTCTCACTCACTTTTTAAGATGAAATTAGCGATTTTAGAAATTATAGAACGTAAAAATTTGTAATTCAAATTTTTCTTTATAAAAATAAAATATGAATTGGAATATATAGTTTTAATATTACAATAATTAAAATAATCATATATTCTGACATACTAAATTAAAGCAAAAGTCAGAAATTTATATTAAAAGTACTGAAAAAATTAAATTTTTAGAATTCATAAAAATTTTTGAATTTTTGTGTTTTTTTGTTTAGACTCATAAACGATAAATATTACGAATTCTAATACAAAACCTTAAATTTTTTAATTTCTGACAAAAATATATTTTTAAATAACTTAAATCTTGAACAATTATCATAAAATAAATAAATTATTTATTGAATAATTTTACTTAAATATCTCAAAATTAATTCAATTTTAAAAGAGATATAAATAAAATTTTAAACGGTTTCAATTTGAAATTTTATAAAATTTCAATGTTAAATAAATTTAATTATAAATTTTAATGAATCATTTTTGAACAATCTTAATAATTCAAAATCTTCTAAAATTAGTTAAATTTATCAATATATATTTAATTAATTATTAAAAATAATGGATTAATAGAAGAATTTTAGTTAAAAACACTAAAAAAATTGAATTTTGAAGAAGTTACAAATGATCGCAGGAATTCAATTATTTTCAAAAGTTATACAATTCTTATCCCAAAATTCAATTATGTTCAAAATTTACAAAAAATCACGACAAAATCCCAATTATTCTCTTTAAAAATAAAAAAATTTCTCTTCAAATTTCAATATTATTTTCAAAAAATTTTCTCATATTTCAATATCTACTATTTTAATAAAATTACCTAAAAGAATTCAATTTAAAAACAATTTTAATAAAATTGTACGCAATTTTATTTTTTCACAGGAAATTTTTTCATAGGAATTTAAATATTTACAAATTTTCTATAAGTTTCTTCTCAATAATTCAATTATTTTCAGAAATAATAAAACTCATCGCAGAATTTCAATTATTTTTAATACAATTTTAATCAAATTTTTTGAAAAATGTAACTATTCCAAAAAATTTTATTTAAATTCGTCAAAAGAATTTAATTTTTTTCAAAATTTGTTAATAAAATTCTTTATAAGAATTAAATTTTAAGAAATGTGCAATTATTCAATAAATAATTTACTTTTGTATTTTAATAATTAAATTCTCGTAGAATTATCTAATAAAAATTGATTTGAAAATGAATTTTATTTTAAATTTTAGATAATAATAGTAGAATAAAAAAAAAGTTTTTTATAAGTTACAGTAACAATATTCTTATAATATGAAAATTTTAATTAAATTTTTTAATTGACAAATATAATTTATAAACATTTTTTTTTATTTATGTTTAAAAAACTTTGAATTTTAATAAAACAATTAAATTTCAGAAATAGAATTGATGCAAATTATTTCCTTATACAAATTGAGAATTTTCTAGAAAAATATTAAGAAATGGGAATATCTAATGTTTTTCTTGACAAAAGAAAAAATGAGTTTGTAAACAATATTCTTATTTATAAATAAGAATATATTTATAGAATAAGAATATATTTTGCTAAATCATAGTCATATTTATAATTAAAATTCTTCAAAAGAACTTTTAAAAAATTAATTGAAAATAATTGATTTAGAGGTGAAGGTGAGTTAAAAATTATTGAAAATAAATTCAGGAAGGGTTATGATTATAATTATAAGAAATTATTCAATTTCATAAATTTTACTCATTTTCCATAAACTTTCATATTTTGTTTTTTGAATTTTGTTTGTTTAAAGAATTTTGTCAGGAAAAATCATAATTTTAATGTCTGTAAATTGTCAGGGATATTTATTAACTGAAACTTGTGACCACCATAAATTTCCATTAATGCAAAATTGACACGCGATGTCGAACACGTGAGATTAGAATTCTCTCCAGCTTTATACTATGCATTGGATTTTTTGTCGATCTTCGACCATAACCGAAGTTTCACGAATCGCTCCGATTGTTTACGCGGACATCGCGTCTGTGTGAGTGATCGAAATCAGATGGATGATGTCTGCAACGTAATCGCGATAATGCAGAAAACTGGAAAAATTTAGGTAATTATCTATTCTACGGACATCGTTTCGCCCAGCGACCACGGTGGCGCTACTAACTTAATAGTTACCTTTACTATTGGCGATTCAAACAGCTAAACTAGCGCCTCCGGTGGCCGAGTTTAAACTAATATATACACGACTCCCTGCATGGTGTTCAATGTAAATATCAACGTTTTTATAGTTTTTCAGTTTTATTTTCACTATTAAATCAAGTTTTTTTTTAATTGTTCTACTTGTTTAAATATTTATTAAATATATTATAATAATTTTGAAAAAGCATCGTTACTCGCGGACAGAAAGAAAAGAAAAAACGGGAACGAAACAAATGTTGTTCGCTCTGAATTGAAAAAAAACAGAAAATCTTTATCAGCTTCCAAAAAATGTTGTAAGACGTAAACAGTAGGCTATTGCATTTAAAACAGGAAAAAAATTAACCGACAAAATGAAAGTTTGCAGTACAAATTTTAAATCTAAAGATTACATATCAACTAGAAAGAACATTTTTTGGTTATGTTTTTATATGTTTGACAAAAATTCTAATTTTATATTACTTCTAATTATATATTATTAATTTAATCTCTATAGACATTAAATTAATAATATAAAATTAGAATTTTAGATTATTAGAAATATAATATTATTAATATTAGAATTAGAGCGGAACATAATAATTGTTTCGATCCCGTTTTTTCTTTTCTTCTGTTCATGAGTAACGATGCTCTTATCCATATTTATTATAATTTATTTAATAAATATTTAATAAGGTTAACAATTTAGAAAAAAATTGATTTAATATAATGAAAATAAAACTGAAAAACTTTAAAAATGTTGATATTTACATTGAACACCATGCAGGGAGTCGTGTATATATTAGTTTAAACTCGGCCACCAGATGCGCTAGTTTAGCTGTTTGAATCGCCAATGGACATAACCACTCTCAGTTTCTCTCTGGAAAATGTTTTTAATTATTTTCAAAAATTGTTATAAAATTCTTCAATATAATAAATTTCATTAAAATTTTAATTAAATTCTTTAAAAGAAATTAAATATTTTCAAAAGTTGTTAATACAATTTTTCGTAAAAATTAAATTTTAAGAAACATTCAATATTATTCATTTTTGTATTAAATAGGTAATTGATATCTCGTAGAAATAATTTTTTTGAAAGAGTTTAATTGAATAATAATTGATGTTAATGATTTAAAGTTGAATTTTAGTTAAAAATTCTAGAAAATGTTAATTGAATTGAAATGATACAAATAATTGTGAAGAAATTGGAGTAACAATATTCTTATAATAATAAAATAATGATTTTGTCAGTCGGTCATTTTTATGTTTTATAATAATATTCTTATTCAATTTGAAAAGGTTTGAATTTGAAATTTTTGAACATCTTAATTCCAATGAAAAAAAATGATTAAATATTTATTTTAAATAAAACTATTGATGTTTTCGAATAATTTTACTTTTGAAGAAATTTGTAAATAAATGTAATAGAACATTTTTTTGAGTATCTAATAATGGAATTTTGAAAAGATTTTGTAGAAATAATAATTTATTTTGAAAAATTAATTGAATTTTGTTTTGAAATTATTTGAAGTTTTTATTTTCTAATATATATATAAATATTTACCTAATTGAAGAATTTTTTTGAATAATCGAAATTTCGTAAAATTGAATTGTAAACGAATGAATTTGAAAATTCTCAAAGAACTTTTTTATAGAAGCTATATGATCAAAAATTTGAATTATATATGCAAGTTGTATAAACAAATAAATTTTTGTCCCTTTTTGAAGAAAAAAATGCACCTTTTTTGAGGATAAAAAGTACTGTGATGCCTGTAAGTTCTTTAAAATTTTGAATTATTGAATTCGTTGAAAATTGAGAGTTTTCTTATGAATTTTAAAAATAAAATTTTTTTCAGTACTTTTACTCAAAATCCCTGACTTTTCCCTGACCTGTGGCAACCCTGTTGTAATATAACTCATGTTTCATCATATTCATTCACTGTAAAATTCCACTTGCTTTCATTTTAGCTATTCGAGATTTTAAGGAGGCATTAGACATCGATCCGAATATGCAAAGAGCAAAAGATGGCCTTCAACTAGCACAACAACGCCAAAAGTTGTCCGAGACACGGGACTACTATAAAATTCTCAATGTTCCACGAACAGCGTCCAAGAGAGATATTACCAAAGCTTACAGAAAAGCGGCGCAAAAGTGGCATCCGGATAATTTCCAAGATGGCGACGAAAAGAAGAAAGCGGAGAAAAAATTTATAGACATTGCCGCAGCTAAAGAGGTTTTGACAGATGACGAGAAGCGAGAAAAGTTTGATAGGGGCGAGGATCCTCTAGACCCAGAGTCAGCAAAACATTCTGGATCAAATCCTTTCCGTGAATTCCATCAGTTCCATGGTTCACCATTTCAATTCAAATTCCATTTTAACTAAATTAAATAAATGGCATCAATTTTTTATTGCTCATCGCAAAGTTATAAGAACTTTGCCAACTAATCGAAGCATTCTGATCTTACTTTTTCTTCACTCGCACAGGACTTTTATACAATTGAACAAAAAGTTGGATTAGAATTTCTTCACAAATAAAGCAACATGGTTTTTATAATTAAAATGTTAACGTATTTTACAAGGCAGAAAAGACCATTTTTCTAAGCTATAGAGATTCAAATTCTAATACAATTGTAAAAATAGTTAAATTTCTTTTCATTTCAGTAGTTACGTCTTTAATTTTTTTCTTTTTTTTTGAATGAATTGAATAAAAGATATATGTATTGCATAGAAATGATCACAAATGATAATTCTTATCTGCAGCGCTCTGGAAAATTAATTTGAGTAATTAGAATTTTTTTGAATTCATCAAATTTTAAATATTGTCTGTTAAATATTTTTTTAGTTTATTTTTTAGTAATGCTAACATGCTACAAGTAATTCGTAATATTCTTAATTAATTAATTAATTATTACTGTTAAAGCTAGTATATTGATTTTTATAATCCTTAATAATTAATATTCATGTGAACGCATTTTATAAATAATTTTTGTATCAAAAATTAGAAAGAAAGAACTATACTATAAATATGAACTGTAAAACATGGGTGTGGCAAAATTATGGAAGCCTTTTAATATTTTTAGATATAATTTTTAAGCCAAATAAATTTTATTTGCACATTTCGCTCCAAAATGCACACTTCCTAAATATTTCAGGAGTTCCATACTTTTGCTATACCCTGTTATTTGCGAGAAATGTAAGTAAAATTATGTGGTTTGTACAAAATTTTACGTTAATTTTCAGATTTCAGTTTTTATAAAATTTAAATATTCTAAAAGTAATTAGAGGTATTAATAGAGATAGGAACTTTGTGCTCGAGCATAAAAGCACAAATTTCGAAAATATTATCTTGCGTGAAAATTCACATTAAACATATTTTTCAACAATAATAATTGCAATTTGCAAAGGACTCGAAAACAGGGTTTCTACTAGCCGGGAATTTTTTCACTAAATTATAAAAAAAAAATTATTATTTTAATTTGTTTTTAAAAAATCGCTTTTTATTTGAATTTTTATAGATATTTATACTGTTCTCTAAATTTAAATTAGTTAAAAATAATTAATTTGATAGTAAAAAATCAGTCACTGATTCAAATATACAATATAAATAAATTTTTAAAAAATAATCGAATTAATAGAAATTTTGTGTAATTCAACTGCAAATAATTAAATTTGTTAATGAATTTGATTAGAACCAGAAACTTTTTAACAAATCGAATTTTCAGAGTATTTTAATTTAATAATTGAATTTTTTAAAGAGTCATATTATTTAATGTATTCATGTTTCTTAGTGCGAAGATTAATAATTAAAATTTTTATTAGTTAATTTAAAAAAAGATACACACTTCAAATTTTTTAATAAAATTGAATTTTTGCAAAGTTTTTTTGAAAATTCTGAAAAATAAGATTTTTGAAATTTTTCAATTCTATTGTTTCAATATAATTGAATTTTTATAAAGAAATAATTACAAAATTTTTAAATAATTGAAATTTCTTTACATTCTATTAAAAATAATTGAATTCTTTTAAGGAATTTTATTAAAATTTTTCGAAAATAATCAAAGAAAGTTAATCACTTATTGTTTTAAAAATTTTTAATAAAATTCTTTGCATGAATTCAATTATTTTTATAAATAATAACCTTTTTTTGAAAGGATTCAATTACTTTTATAAATAGTAAAATTTTTTGCAGAAATTTAATTATTATCAATACAATTTTAATAAAATTGAATAATCAAATTTTCAATTATAATTATAAACAGAAAAGATTATTTTAAAAAATTGAAAAAATTCTTTGTTTTATTCAATTATTTTCCAAATTTTCAATTAAAATTTTAAAAAAAAAACATTATTTTCAAAAAATTTAAAGAAATTTGTCAAAAAAATTTATTAATAAAAATTTTTGAAGCTATTTGTAGATTTAATTATGTTTAAAATCAAATAAATTTAAATTTGATGAGAAAAAAAGTGGAAAAAATTAAGATAAAGCCGGGAGAAAACGGGGAATTTTGTTGATCGAAAATAGTAGACACCCTGGAAAAGCACAATTCTGTTTGTAAAGCAGCAGAATCTAGTCCAAGCATATACATACTGCATAATTCAATAAATTTAAGCAATTTGTATTATTAAATATTATATTTATAAAAAATTGTCAATTCTGTATCAGCACAGAAAAGTTTCAAATCATAAATTCATTTTTAAAATTAAGTAGGTACATTTTTTATATAAATTTATAATGTTTTATAAAAACAGTTTTAAGAGCGTAATTATAGCATAAAGTTCCTATCGCTAGATATTTATTGTTACGTAAAAGTTGTTCACTGAAATGTTTGTAAGGATTTATTAGTCCAGGGAGATAAGTATGCTTCATAGATGACCAAGCTATTAAAATATCCAATCTTGCAAAATTTTGCTCATTATTTGATTATCTTTAGGATTTATTATTGTTTTTTCTTCCTCCTTTATAGCTGATAATCAAATGATGGCTTGAAATTTGCAGATTTTATATTGAAATGTACATCAATGTAAGATATCAATTTGTACACAATTTGCAAACTTACCTCTCTGAAACCGTTAGTTTAAAATTGATCAAAAAACGAATGGATTACAAACTTCTATCCCAAGTAGCACAATAATTTTTTGAAATATTTTGCAGCAAGTTTGCAGAAAATTTGTGCCATATAACAAAATGTCCCCCTGGTTGCAACTTTTCAGTAGACATCACAATTTCCGATCTTTGTGTTGCAAACTTGTAAACTTTATAAAAAAATATCGTTCTATCTGGGATAGTATTTAAATTTTATCATGAAAATTAAAAAGCAACTAACTTTTTTTTGTTGGTATGAAATTTGTATTCCATTGTACACGCATTTGTACATGCATTTGATAATGTTAATCTTTCAATTCTGCTAGTACATTAGCAGTGACAAAGTCTTTTAAAGATTCAATAATTTATTGTATAATAATACAGCTTCAATTATCAATTACATTTTACTTTTCCTTGAATGCTCTATTCTTAAGTGTATAATTTCTGCAGTGCATGTGTGTTTCTCTGAATGTGAGTAAATTTCTTGTACATAATGTAACTCTAAAATGTAATTAAGAATAAATTTGAGTGCTATATATATTTCTGAACTTATAATGTTTTTATGAATAGATATAATTATTTTTCTCTTCTGATTCTAATTATTTATATTTATACAATATATATAATTCTTATACATTATAAAGAATTAATGATAATTGAAATCAAATTTAACCCAATGCTTGCGGTTTGAGATATTATTGTACAGTTTTTGAAATAAAAAGTTTTCTTAATAAATTTTAAATATCTATTATGCATTATTATAGATATAAAAACTTATTCTAATTAATTTTAATAGAATTTTTTTTTAAAAACAATTTGTTATAAACAAATTTAAAAAAATTGATATATGCAGGCTAATTGTTTATAACATTTTTATAACAATAGGTCTTTTTTTTAAAATTATGTAATATATGTTCTCCTAGTAGTTTTTCGCGTAGAATCGAATGGTGCTATTAGTTTTCTAAGAAAATGAATTTTTATTCATTTGTTTAAAAAAATTTTTTTAAACAAAATTTTTAACGTCAAGAATTATTATTAGACCCTATATGCCAGGATGCCAGAATATGAATCTTATTGTTAGAATATTTCCTACTTAATTTAAGTGTGGCCACTTAATTAACTTCTAAAATATAAATAACTTTCTTCTGTAGATAGAATAAAGGAGTGAACATTAAATTAAGTACGTAAATTGCATTTTCTAAGATTTTTATTACTAAAACGCGTATCGTAACAATGACTCTTTGATCCAATCCATATAATTATGAACATTGGTATACACATCCGGAACTCCTCGAGCACATGGTTTCCCGAAGGAAACGACACCAACTTGAACGCTGTCCACGACAAGCGGTCCTCCGGAGTCTCCCTATAAAGAAACAATAAAATTATTATTAGAGGCCATGCTTAAATTACGTAACGCTTTTTTTTTGACATTTTATACCCCCCCCCCCCCCTCCCCATGTAACAAATTTTGTCATACATTAGCGCCATTTTTATGCTGAGTGTAACAAATATCTTGCCACCCCCCCACTCCCTGAAGCGTTACCAGGGTTGCCACGGGTCAGGGAAATCAGGGAAAAGTCAGGGAAAAACGAAACTAAATTTTTGTGGCAACCTTGGTTATGTAATTGAAGTATGGCCCCATTATGCGTTGTGTTACATTTCACATATTTCTTTAATAAGATTTTAACAGAATTAAAAATACTTACAAAACATGCACCTTCTCCTTCTTTATTCAAGGTACATATGTGTGATGTTTTCACATTATTTATTTTTGATTGGCAATCTTCATTTGATATAATTTTTAATTTAATTACTTGTAAACGTATAGGCGCGCTACTTGTAAGCTGAAAAAGAAAATATTATCAGTATTTAAGGAATTACAATAATCTTTCAAAATTTTATTTGCGCACTTGTTTAAATTTTTGCTTGTCTACTATCTGACACATTATATAAAATATACGTACGGAAGTTCTTCCCCATCCCGTCAATGTTGCAATGTATCCTCCTCCTTCTAATTCATTAGATAGTAACTTGATAGGCTGAACTTCATCGTTGAAATTGATGTCTGATATTACTTTTAATAGACCAATATCATTCTCATGTTCGTATCTATCATAGTCTTCGTGTATAATTTTCAAATCTCCTATATAAGCATCCCCAAAGCCGTCCAGGTCTGTGATTCCAGTCATCACAGTTATACTACTAGAGTACCTTCTATAAAAAGTATATAATAAATATAATAATAAATATAAAAGTGAATATATTAATATAAACGTAGAAATTATTATTTATTACAAAGACCTGTGAAATTTAAATTTTTTCTAACTAAAAATTACAGGGTGATTTTTGTATTTTTTTCATGCAGAACTGATCTCCAAAAATCGACTATAGTCATGTTATCAGTTTCATGAAGTATTTCTATTAAAAGAAAAGTTGCATTTTAAGGCTAAAATAAGGAAATTAAAAAGTTTTACTGATCCACCACTAGAGCACCTACCCTACAGATTAGAAAAGTTGTTTAATTAAAAAATAATATGAAGAATAAATTCTTGTTACCCTCTCAGGCAATGCGCAGCTGTTAAAATCCAACGTTCATTTAAAATTGAGCCTCCGCAGAAATGACGCCCATTTCGTTGTAGCGATACCTGATATGGAAACTGACCTTCTTCAGCGTCAATTCCACCAACAATACGAGTGAAGTTTTGAGCTGAAAAATATTTTATTTATTCTTACAATCCCATATGCGAATTAAGTGTAAAGAGATTGTCCATAATACAGTTTTCTTGAAAATGTCAAATTGATACACTAAAGGGTTTCAAATTGATGTCAAACATTTGGATCAATTTTTGATTTGATCCATATTTTTGGTATCAATTCGTTGCAATTTGATAGTTTTAAGTTAACAGTGAAATTATGTGACTTAAAAGAGGGGTGAGGGTTTAGAAAAATTATTATTTAAAATATATAATATTTTAAAAAATGTGATTGACAATGTCGCCCTCGAATCTTCTTTTTAATTATCAAAATAGAATTATAAATTGTTTATATTTTGAAAAAGGATACTTTGTTTTTTAAAAAAAGAAAAATTTTGTGCATTGTTTTAATCTATAATAGTCTTGTTTTGAATTAAAACTCCGAAGAGGTTCTGCGTCGCGGAGCGAAACCCAGTAAAAAAAAACTAATTCAAATGAATTGAAACGAATTAACATTTTTGGTAGGCTCCAATTCGTATTTGTCACAAAGCGGGATTCACTCAAGCTCTTTGTATATTCAATTGAATTTAATTCAATATGTACCAATTTGTCCAAACGAATTCGCATTCGAAAGAAATGGCCAAGGAATGCATTGAATTCGTGCTAAGGAATTGAAAAAAATTAAAGGCTCAAAACTTGTCCAGTGAATTGGTACGGATAGAAGGTTCGGAAGTTCAATACAGTTTCACGAATTCGGGAAAATTGCATCATGGCTCCAATTCGTATTTGTCACAAAGCGGGATTCACGAAAGCTCTTTGTGAATTCTTTTTAATTCATTTCAATTAGTTTTCGTTTACTGGGAAGCTAAGGATTTTTATATAAATTTTTTATGATCAGACAAATAAAATAAGACAAAAAAAAACATATCTATGACTAATCAACATTTAACTTCGAAATTAAAACCTAAGCCAATTTTTAGAATTCTCTCTTATAAAACTTTTTCAATTTTTCCCAAATTTTGCCAAAATAAGCCATATGAAAAGGGACACATATTTTTTAAAATAATTATTTAAAGAATTAATATTTACTTACCTGTATATAAAATTTTAATGTAATGTATTTATAATATTCAAAAAATTACGAAATTATTGCAAACCATGTTCAATGTTTGGAAGCTCTCGATATTATTTATTTTTAAAAATTAAATAAAAGCTATATGTAAAATCAATTAGAAGCAGGTGCAAATCTCATTAAAAAAATTAGAAATTTCTCAAAATCGCACAAATCCAAGACTTTCTCATTTTTTATGAGAATGTAAAAAATATAAATATTGAAAATATATATCACATTATTAGAGCAGAGTTTTTATTAAGAAATATAAAGTAAAAAAATATTAAAGACTTTTTTTTTAAATTAATTAATAAATTTAAATTATTAAAAAAAATTGAATATTTTCAGTATTGCAGTTTTAAAAATTTGAAATAACAAAATAGTCACTCACCTGATGAACTGAAAATAAAACCCATAACAATGGCTAATAGGAGTTGCATTGTGACTGAGTAAGATTTGTCTAAGTGAAAGTTATATACTTATGCCAGCTGCTTTTACAATTTCTTAACTGTATCCACTTTTTTACAACCGATTGCATTAATCAATAAATTTAAAAATGTCTTTCTATATCTGTTTAGAAATTATTTATCTTGATTTTATATTTGTCCTAAATATACAATAATGTTCATGATCATTCTGTATAGCACAAAACATTATTGAAAAATTTACCTTTTAAGTCCCAATATATGAGTTGTAACGAATTTTAAGATTTCTCAAGATTTAAAAAAGTTTATAAAAAATAATTAGTTAGCTAATCAATGACTTTTTTTATTGCCATAAAAATGAAAATCACGAAATATTGAAAAAAATTCTTTAATAGATGTATCTATTATTTATAATTCGGATAAATATTTTAATTATTGATTATGATTTTTCAGTAATTATTCTTCAAAATATTAAAGAAATAATTATAATATATATATATATATATATATATATATATATATATATATATATATGATAGACATAATTTTAATTAAAAGAAATATTCTTAATGCAATTTGAATAATATATGTGGACGTCCGCATGAAAAGGGACCACTTTGTCGGTTCTAGATTCCGAGATATTCGCAATTTACTAATTTTGAAGAAAAATATCGAAATTTTTTTTATCTTTTTTTCTTAATCTACAGGGTCTACCACGTCGATTCATGCAGTTTTTATTAATTTATTGACACTCTAAGTATTTTATTTCGTTGTTAGAAAAAAAAATGAAAAGATACCACTTTGTCGGAAATCTGTTATTTTTTCATTGTTTCAAAACGAAGGAAGGGAAAAATTCGAAACCTATTGATTTTCAATCTTAAGGGTGTACTAGACTTAAAACAACTCTTATCTGAATAACTTCCCAGAAGATCCACAGATATTCATATTACAATCTTTGATTTCGTTTTTCTCGAAATGACGTATTTGATACTCCAAACTTTAAAATTCTGTAACTCATCGAATTTTTCACCAAAAAGGTTGTAAGACCACTCAAAATTTTCCAAATTTTGTCAGGAATTCGCCCATATAGATAAGTCCAATAGTGCCAAAGTGGTCCCTTTTCATGCGGACGTCCACATATATTAGCTTCTGAAATATTTAATTTAATAACAAACCTACAATTTTAAAGAAATGTCTTCAAAAAATTTTATATTAAAGATTCTAAATTGATTTTCTTTGTTGGCTGAAATGCAAACATATTATGGCTCATGTTATAAATTATTTTTTCAAGGTACATCTGGGACCTTTCATTTGATATACAATAGTATATTTTTAAAAAAATCAACTTGAAGGTAGTTAAATATTTAAATTGTTTTTAACATATTTTTTATTTAACATATTTTAACATATTTAATAATTTTTTATTTTTATTTTACATATTATTTACATAAATTGATATATATGAAAGCGACAGGATGCGATAAATAACATTTGTTTCGTGTCGTGTCAAGCCGCAAACACGTGTGAGTAATTATATATGTATTGTCTTCATGTTCGACGACAATGCGATAAATCAAAATGTTTTCATATCCAAAACAGATAGATTAACAACAGTCAATTTTGCATATGATGTTTAAAATATTTAATCCAATTTAAATCACGTTATTATTTTAATTTTTAACATTGCCACTTTTTTAAACATTATATTTATTTGGTCCTTTGTTTTTCGTATACTCTGGTATAATTATGATAATCTTTAGAAAGTTTGCTCTGCTGCAACATTTAGTCATCACCCCCTGTCATGACTTCCATAAATTCTGAAACATTCAAATTTATTAAATTTTAGTGACTTCGATTCTGAGAAAATGTCCTATAGGAATTGAAGCAGGCTTATGTCTCGAAGATCATTAGATACAATGTTATTATCATTAGATAGGATTTAAGTAAGTTTGAAAAAATTAGTACCATCAAAGTCAAGGGTTCCAGAGCCATCTGCATCAATTTCTTCAATCATCAGGTCCAGTTCTTCAGGTGATAATTTATCATCTAATTCATGGAGAATGTCTCTAAAAACATCTGTTGTTATGTAACCATTTCCTTCTTTATCATACAATCGGAAAGCTTCTCTTAACTCTTGTTGCATTGCTTCAGTATCTTCTTCGACAAGAAATCTGGCAGCCAGGGTGCAAAACTCTTCAAATTCTAATTCACCGGATCCTAATAAATAAATCCGTTTTAATTGAGACATACTTAATATCTAATAATAGATAATCTTTGCTAAATAAAATTTTAATAATAATATAACATATTTTATTGAAACAATGTTAATTTTATTTAATGGCAGAAGTTCGTAACTACTGAAGTTGAAGGTAATTTGACTGTAACTAAATAATTTAGTGATCAGAATGACATTTTCTGACTGGGCAGCTCTTTTTATAACATGTTATATAATTATTAAATAAATAACTTCTTACCATCTTCATCGACTTCCGCGATAATTTCTGCTAATGTAGATTCGCTTAGTTCATATCCTAACATAGAAAGAATAGTTCCAACCATGTCTGTTCCAATGCATCCTTTTTTCTCGTGATCAAAAGCATCGAATGCTTTCTTCAGCACTTATAAAAAGAAAAGAAAAAAATTAATATTTACTTCACAGTAGCATGAAAAAACATTTTCTAAGCTTTAACACAAAATAAAACAAAAGCTGTCTAAATTATTTTATTAATGTTTCATTTTTATGAAATTATTATCTTAATCCACCGCTACACACACATAACACTACTAACAAGTGATATTCTTTTTCGATTATATTAGAGCCACAGTCGTGAAAAAACTTCTCAGTTCATAAATTTAGTAACTTTTTATTATGTTTATTTCTTTCACAAGACATTTTACTTTCATGACAATTAATTTTTTATGTTTAGTAATACTTACGAACAATTTGATCTTTTGTTAGGTCATCCTGGAACAAAAAATTATTTAGAATCAAAAGAAATTAAAATTATTTAATTTCTATATAACTTCACTGTAATATTGTAGGTAATATCACGAATATCCAATGTAATATTACAGATATACAGAGATATCATTTCGTACAGCTTCGAAAGTAAAGAATAGATTTTTAGTAAAAGATAAGATAAAACTTTATGTTAACATATATTTTCTTGACGAAAAGAATCATTATATATCAGGGATGGCAACCGAAACCGTTAACCGAAGAAACAGAATTTTTTAAAAAACTAAAAACCAGAAACCAAAACCGAAAAAAAATTATCTGAAACAGAAAACCGTAAACCGAAACACGTATTATAAAAATTTAAAACCCTTTATTTCTAAACCTAAATTTCGTTTACAAGGTAATGTTACAATAATGCACTAATAATATTAGATATATTACTATAAGATTAAAAAGTTTATAAATTGTTTTTATATAGAATTACACCAATTTTTTTTGCAATATATTACTATAATCTCACACAGCACCAAAACTTTTCTAAAAATTTATTAAAGATTTACTTGCAAACTTCAAAGTATTTACTTGCAAAGTTTAGTGAAAATTGTGTAAAGATTTAAATGCCTTACTTCAATAAATGTTTATTGTCAAAGCAGGAAAGTTTAACGCTACATTTTCGCACTTGTAATAGAGTAGTAGTCAAAAGTGTAATTTAAATGTTCAGAAAAGTTAATTTCAAGCTAAATTTTCAGAAAAGTTTGACAATAAACATTTATTGAAGTGAGACATTTAAATCTTTACACAATTTTCACTAAACTTTGCAAGTAAATTCTTCCAAGTTCACAAATAAATCTTTAATAAATTTTAAGGAAATTTTCAGTGCTGTGTGGGATATTTCTGCAGTATTATTTCCAAAATAATATAGATATAACAATATTACATTGAGGTGAACATCTTAATATTACTGTAATGTTACAATTATGTTCTACATATGGGAAATAATTTAATCTATTTTGTTCTACTTACCATTGTCAGATATTTTTTTGCAATAATAAGTTTAGATGTCTGTACTTTTTATGCAGAAAATAGTAAATGTTTCAAAGCTTTGTAAAGCATAGGCAAATTTTGGCACGAGATTTCGTATTTAAGTATCTTCCAATTCTAGCCGTTTACAGATTTTCTCAAAGGCCATTCTCTGTTCGGTCTAATCATCTCGAACATCTCAAACACCTATTTCAATCAATATAAATTTACTTGATTTGCAATGTTTGCATACTTACTTAGCTGCAATTAATTTTTAGTCTAAAAATCAAATTTAAATTTAATAATTTAACTTTTATTTACAAAATCAAATACCAATGAAAGATTATATGAGAGAAGTAAATTATTAACAAGCAAATGCAGTAAAATTTATATGTTATAATTTTGCAAAATTTATGAAATTAAACGATTCAAGAATTTAAAAGTTAACATAGTGGTTTGAATGTTACCTAAAACTATTTGTTATTATTTATAGTCGGCATTTTATCAGGTTTAATGTTATCTGATATTTTATAATTAATGTAAGACATGCCCTTCCAATATATTTTTAAGAATTCAGATAGGTGCTTAATCATTTATAGAAAATATAGAAATTAGTCACCCCTGCTAAGTAGCAGTTTGAAACAAAACGAACTTCTCTAAATCGTTATTGATTAGTATTTATGACGTCATCAGTTTATAAATACAGTAGAACCCGGTTAATGCGATCCCGTTTAATACGATTTCCCACTTAAGACGCTCATTTATGCCCAGTGGGCAAAAAACCATCATTGTTTTAAAAACGTTCCAAAAACGTTTTTAGAACGTTTCATGTCTGCTAAATAATGTTCCAAAAACGTTCCATTGCTTTTAAAACGTTTTAGAACCATATAACATTTTTGGGACATTATTTAGCAGACATGAAACGTTCTAAAAACGTTTTTGGAACGTTTTTAAAACAATGATGGTTTTTTGCCCACTGGGCATAAATGTCGAGACTAACAATAATTGATGGGAAATGCGAATTTACTGTTGTGATGAGAGAGTCCATTATTGGATCCGTACTGTTTTGTGAACTATCCAGAACAAATACAACCTGGTGCAATTTTGAATCCTCCTTTAAATACTTCATTAATCCATCAAAAATCGAACTATTCCAATTCTTCGAATGTCCACTATTCGGACCCTCACAGCACCGGGATATTCAGGATATCCCAGAGACGTCCTGGGGATATCGATTTGTTTTCGGAAGTTTGGATATCCCTGGATTATCCTCTGGATATCCATGGACGTCCCTAGGATATCCCAGAGATATCCAAACTTCCGAAAACAAATCGATATCCCCAGGACGTCTCTGGGATATCCTGAATATCCCGGTGCTGTGAGGGGAGACATTCCTTCTATTTTACTCCGAGAAATATAACTCTTCCAATTCCTTCTCTCCATGTTGTCAAATATTTCCATTAATGTTTCCCACTCAGGGTCAATAACCGCAGACAATCCTAGTATTTCACTCCAGGAAATGTAAAAGAAGAGAAATATTCCTACAAACTTCATTGTGCGCAACCACTTTCTTCACTAGTCAAAAACAGACTGTCTAAAAAATTACAGTTCGGAGTAATGTAGTCTACTCAGTAATCAATTGAATTGAATTAATATTGGACACTTTCGAAGAATAATGATATAATAACTTGACTAATCAAGTATATGGGATATTTTAATCAGAAAAGTTCAAAAGTAAATACATTTTGAACACTCAGGAATTGAAAAGAGTTTTTATTACGCAATGTATTAGTAACTAATAATGATTCACTAACGCAAAACCTCTCTATTAAAATAGTCCAGAAAATTATTGTCCAAAGTGTATTATTACTATACTCGGTAATAAATTCAAATGTATTAATATTGCTCGCACCTATGAAGACTAACGATATAATAATTTCACCAATCAAGTTTATATTAGAATAAAATGGATTTAAAAAATTGGAACTTAAAATTATTACCATAATGATAAATTAATATTGATTTTTGAAAATCCCGTCAGGAGACTCATATTCTAGGATGTTATATAACAGGCCTCAGATATTATGACTAATTTTTACGACTTTTTTAAAAAAAAAAGACTTTAAAAAGACATTCTTTCAAAAAATTTTTGAATAATTTTATATAATTCAATTTTTGAAATGTACAGTTCAAAAGATTTTGAATAATTGAAATTTTGTAAAATTTAATTGAAAATAATTGATTACTTTCCAAGTATTTTATTAAAATTTTTAAAAATCAACTTTTGAAGAATTTCAATTGCAAATATTGAATATAATAGAATTCTCAAGTTTTAATCAATAATTTTTAAGTGCAAAATTTAAACACGAAAATAAATGACAATAAACTTTTAAAAATTAGTATATACTTATACAATTTCTAAGTTCGCATAACTAAACGGAATGTTATCACAGGAATGCCGTTAACTCATTGCTTATTGGTTTGAAAATCTATCTGGATCGAATTTTAATGGATCGGGCCAAATTTTTTCGCACTGAAAAAAAATATTCTTATTTGGAAAGGAAAATTCCTCTTGCAAAAATCCTCTTGATTCAAGAATATTACTCTTAATCGAAGAGTATTTTCTTCTCATTATAATAGGAATAATCCTCTTAAAATAAATAAAATAAAATAAAGTCTGTCACTGAAGGCGTGCGCAAGGAGCTAGGCAAAACGCATGACATCGCATGAAATTGTAAAAATCTGTCAAGCAATGTTTAAATGAATCTAGCGGAATTTTAAGTGAGAAACCCCTCGTCAAAAAACTCAAAAATCCTAAAATAACGCTAAAAATAAAAATTTCTTCAAAGGGAAAAAAGTCTGTCCATTAATTTCTACATATTCTTACTTCAATACACTCGACAAACATAGTAACAAAAGAATCGCAATTTAACCATTGTACAGTAGTTTTCAATTATGCCTTCCAAGTTTGAACGTGTCGCACTCATATGTTTCCATGGGAACATATGAGTGCGACACGTTCAAACTATGAAGGCATAATTGAAAAGTACTGTACACTTGTGTTAATCGATGCCTTTGTCGAATGAACGTGTTGGACTCATAGAAATATATGAGTGCAACACGTTCGTCCGAGGAAGGCATGGATGAACACAAGTGTACATAATAGGCTATTCCATATGAAAAGTATGAAATACCTATTTCTTTATTTTTGTTTAATTGTCCAAATTTTTGAGTTATGAATCTTCAAATAAGATAATAAATAGTAAACCATAAAATTATTTTTGTATATTTCTTTATTATTATATTATTTATAAATTTATATCAGTAATTTAAATAGTATTTTATTAATATTAATTAATAATTAACATTATTTAATATATTAACTGTTAATAATATATTTTTTTATATTTTGGAATAAGTAATATAATTTTAATTTAAACTTTACATAAATAAAAACGTCATAATAATGTGGATCTTCCTTGTTTTAGTTTTAAATGTTGGATCCTTGATATATGTTTTTAACTTTTTCCTGGTTTTCCACCAGCTGGCGGTTTTCCACCTCCTCCTGATTTTCCACCTGGTGGTTTATCACCTCCTCCTGATTTTCCACCTGGTGGTGGTCCATCTCCTCCTGGTCCATCTCCTCCTGGTGGTCCACCTCCCGAGCCTCCTGGTGGTGGTCCACCTCCACCTCCTCCGCCCCCACCACCGCCACCTCTCTGCTGAGCCAGACAGGCTTTTAATTCCTTCCTATTGATCCTTGCTAAAAAAAATAATGACAAAACATCAGAAAAATAATCAGAATTTCTGTCTTTTTTTTAATTATCACCCAAACCTTATAATTTATTTTAACAACTGTTTTTTAAAATAAATTTTAGATATTTGGAATCGTAAAATACCATAGATTCTAAATTTTTATGTTACAAAGTTGAATTAGTTAAAATCAGGTTAAAATGCAGAATTTTAAAGTTATAAAATTCTTGTTTTAAAACCATCACAATAGATTCGGAAAATCTATTGTTAAAGAAAGGTGCGTATCAAATTGGTCATAGTGACTGAGTTGAGTCGAGTGGGCAAAAAAAGGCATTGTTCTGAAGGTTTATTCCAAATATCTAAAATTTATTCTAAGAAACTTCATTTTGAAGAAATTAAAAGATACGCTTCAAGTTAGTATGGTCAGCCTGGTTTGTGAAGTGAAGTGAGAAGCTGATAGAGTTCTCACAAAACATTAAATCCATGCTAAAAATTCTGTCAGAAATAATCAGAAAAATGACAAATCATCAGAGTCAAGAAGAAGCATCAGAAAATCTGACGAATAATCAGAACTCTGATGTTTTGTCATGATTCCTCATTATTTTTATAGTAGGGATAGCTGCAAATGTTTATATATTTAGTATATAATCACATTATAAGAGTTTCGTAGAAACAAATTAATTGAATTTACTAATTAAATATGAAAATATAAATTTATTATTATTAACATGCTAAAACCACGGTGTCCAGACCCGAAATTATTATTTATTATTTTTGAATTGTTTATACATCTAGGGTGTTTTCAGCGTGCTCACGGGTTAAGATCCGGATCACTGATAAGAATCGATCAAAATTCGTGTTTTTTCCTTTATGGAGGTGGGTTTTTATATGGTTTTCGACATAGTGTCCCATGTATCCTAGGTAAAAGTGATTCGGACGAATTTCATTTATAGAATTCCTATCGAATTGCGAATTCATATGAAATTACTATAGTGAAATCCGTGTGGCGATTTTAAACGTTATTGCGCACCAATATTCGTGCAAATAACACCCGAATTTTTAATCTGCATTTTCAAAAAATTGTGTCGCTCAGAAATTGGTATGGAAATTCGCACGAAATTTATTTACACAGTTTTATAAAAAAATTTTCGGACAAATTTCGGAACGAAATTCGAGCGAATTACTAACAAATTTTTTATTTAAAATTTTTAAAATACCTTGCTCTGAAATTCGTATAGAATTTCGGGGCCGTTCAAAAAATACGTAACGCTTTTTGGGGGGAAGAGGGGTCAGCTATTTGTTACGGTCAGCAGAAAAAATGGCGCTAATGTATACAATATTGCGTTACATGGGGGGAAAACATTTTTTGAAAATCTAGATTAAAAATTCGGGTTATATTAAAAACTTGAAAAATATTATTTATTCAAAGACCGAGTAACAACTTTTATTTTGGTTAATGAACCAAATATTTCATGTATTGCAGACTAAGACTATTGAAAATTTGTAGTTTTAAAGATAATAAAGTTTTTTATTTATAAATTCAGTGATTCCCCAAAAAATGTTTCTTTCAATTAAATTTGTATCTGTTTACTATAATTTATTTAAAATTACTTTAATCTTTAATATCTGAATAATTTTCTATTTGAAGTCATAAATTTTTAAATAATGAAATATAGTGTATTTTTACAACTATTATAACATTATCAGGACAAGATGATCGTCCTTTACTCCCAGCAGAAGATTTTATTATAAGAATGTTAAAAGAGCAAAAAGTCAATGTCGCAAGTTCTTATTAGATTTTGTTTCTAAAAAAGTTACTGAGAACGCAACAATGGATATGTACAGTTATAATTTTTAATTCAGGTAATAATAAATTTTTATTCTAGCAAATAATAGTAAATTTACTTTGCAGTTTCTTACCTAATTTTTTCGCCTCCACTGCAGCAAAATATATGCAAAGAATAAATAATAACTTTAGAGTTAAGGAAAACATTTCCGATTTATTTATGTTAAGTGAAATATTTAGTTCCCAAGTTATTGTATTTATAAAATGTTATGAAGTTTCACATCGTTTTATATACCTCGAAATAATGTATAATCTAACTAAAAGTAATTTATCTGTCATGTTAATTATACAATTCTGAAAACTTATTGGACTAAATTATTGCGTATGCATGTAACTGTTCTAAGATAATCTGTATGTTTATATTGTTGACTGTCAGAGAGCAAAATAATAAAGAATATGATTTATTGCGATTTATTGCGTATGAACAAATTTTTGAAAAAACTTTAAAGAATAGGCTTTTTGCTTTTAAATATTTAAAATAGAATATATTTATATAGAATATTTAAAATAACCTCGAGTAACACATTTAAAAAACCGATTAGACTCAAGGAATCTAATGTTATTGGTTTCGAGAAAAATGGGTGGTTTAACTTACCCAAAAATAATCTTTCTAATCCATTCACTGAAGTAAAATATGTAGCAATGAATCTCGAACAAAATCTGTTTAGGGCTAAAAGTACATTAAATTTGTAATATGTAAGATTGACTGTTCTTCTGAATCATAGTAGTTGACACGGTAACGAATTTCATAAAAATTCAAAATGTTTTAAAAATTCGTAAATTTGAACAATTTATAATTCTTTTCAAACATCAAATTTTAGATACTTTCCGGTATAAATGCTTGAAGCCTTCTTTTTACTGAAGAAAAAGCACCAAAATTGAATGAAAAATATTAATTTTGTTTATAGATATTGAGCTTTCTGCAGATGTGACACATATGTCCGAAGGGCTTTAAAGTATTAAAGTTGTTCGTGAGATATCTTAAATATATTACAAATGCTGTTAGGATTGGAGTAAAATACGCTTGCGGTTCTTTAAAGTAATTATCTTTATTTATAAGTTAAATACATTTAGCAAAAAATGTTTAATGCTTTGTTTCTTTGTAGTAAATATAATAGAAAATATTACAAATTAAAATTCTTTTTCCTCTTTAATTTATCATTTTTTTCAAAAATATTTAGTTATCACTTTAACTTTTTCAAGTCCAAGTTTTTATCTGTATTAGTTTGGAATTATAAAAACAATTTCTCTATAATTTAAATTCTTTATAATAATACTTATTATTTAACTTAATCCACGAAATTACAATTTTTAGACTATTGCTAAAATGTAAGTTCTTTTAATGCACAATCGTCAAAGCCGTCCGTGTAATTTTGCAAGAATTTCGCATTTTGCAGATGAAATTTGAGTAGATGTACTGTGGTCTTTTATTTTGTCATAGCATCAATGAATTCTGAAATTGAAAAGAGAAACAAGATTTAAAAAAAATTAATAACAAGGTTAACAGTTTAATAACAATTAACAGTTATTTACTTCATTTTTTAGATACTTTTTAATTATTAGAAGTAAAGTTATGTAAAAATAGATTGATGAAATGCCTAACTATTTAAATAAATTATCATATTTAGGATGTGAAAAATTAATATTTTACCATCGAAATCAAGAGTTCCAGATCCATCAGCATCAATTTCTTCTATCATCATATCCAATTCTTCAGGAGACAAATTCTCATCTAATTCATGAAGGATTTCCCGAAAAACTTCTGTACTTATATAACCATTTCCTTCTCTGTCATAAAGCCTAAATGCTTCCTTTAACTCCGCTACTGTTGCTTGCTCATCTTGATCTTCTTCCATGAACTTTGCTGCTAGGGTACAAAATTCTTCAAACTCTAACTCACCAGCACCTAGTAAAAAATGGCTTGTGAGATATAGCACATATTATATAACTAAATATTATACCCTGCTTAAAAAATCTTCCAACTTGGACGATTCTTAAACTTTATCCCTTAAAAACCTTTTAAGTACAGAAAGCTAAAACTAAAAAAGACAGCTCTACTAAAAACATGATATCTTTGAGAAAAATAAAGAAAAAAAAATTCTGGATAAGATAAGTTTTGGTTAATTTTTTTAACGTTTAAAACATGTCATATTATTTAATTATTTGAGGAACTAAAAAAAACAAAGCTTTCCAAATCTGCAAGATTCAAGTCTCTATTATTATTTTTGTCAAAGATATTATGATTTTAGTGGAGCTGTGTTTTTTCAATTCACTTCTGTCGATCGGACCGACAATTTTCGACGATAGTGTATTCATAAGCAAAAATGAATTTGATTGTATAATAAATTCAACAATACCAAAGGGATCAACTTCTGCAATAGCGTCATTTAGAACATCAGCATTAATCGTCTTTCCCATCATACTGAAAATTGTGTTAATTTGATCTGTTTTAATTGCTCCTTTCTTCTCAGGATCGAAAGCGTTGAATCCCATTTTAAGCTCTAAAAAAAATAAGAATCAATTATGAATATTAACTTTTGGCTCCCAATTATACATTTAGGTACATAATTAATTGTAATTGTAAGGTAATTGTTTAAAAAAAGGTTCCTATTAAAGAAATGTGTTGTAAGGGAGACCGAGGTGAGTTGTAACAGAGGTGAGTTGTAACAAAGCCGATTTCTCGAAAGCTATGACCTTTTAAAAATTTTGAAAAGCGTGAATTTATTACATTTTTGATTCACTATTTGATGCAAATTTACTTGACCACCTGAGAAAAGTTTATGAGATGTATGTAATATGTGTGCAAAAAAATTGCTAAAAGTAAGTTTTCGGCCGAAATTTTGATACTTTATTATTCGACACATATTAGATTTTTGTTATTCTAATATTTACCTTAATAACTGTTGGATATCCTAGTTTCATGAAATGGTTTTGTTTTTTGTGTCAGTCTCAAAATTTAAGATAAAAAATAATTATTCGAACCGATGCACAAATTTTCGTAAACCTAGGCGAGTTGTAACAGGCTGTTTCAACTCACCTAGGTTTACGAAAATTTGTGCTTGATCGAATAGAGACTGTTTTGATTTTTGCTTAAGTATATTGTTTTATATTATGGCTTTAAAAGTATTTAGAATTTTACAAATTTTCGTGTAAATCACTTTCATATTTTCCAAAGGAAAAAAATATTAATAAAAACATTTTTCGAGTTGCTCTTTCATATACAAAAGTAAAAAATAATTTCTACTTTTAGGTTTTTTTGTTATAATTGACCTTGTTACTCATTTTTAATTTAGTTTTTGGTTTAATTTGATTTATATTGATCCCATAAATTTTCTTACTCTAATTACTCCTTAATTATTTAAAAATTCGCAGACAAAATTTTATTATTCTTAAATTTCTATAAAATATATTATATAATATTATTTTTAGCTTTTATAAAGCTCAAATTGTTATTATAGATTGTAATTAAATACCAAAGATTGGTTTAAAATATCTAATTAGTGTTAAAGAAAACAAAATATGTGATAACATAATTCCAAAAGTAAATAAATGTATTAAAACGAGTGTTTTATTCGTTGCTATTAATAAGATGTCTTTACTAACTAAAGGAAGCATTAAAAATGATTTTTTTTCATTAAAATCACAAAATTTGCAACTGTTACAACTAACGTCGACATGTGTTACAACTTACCTTGGTACTAGGTGAGTTGTAACACCGGGAACAGTTTTAGATTTTGCAATCTTTTAGTAAACCCTTACAACTTTTTGAATTTTTTATTTTTGATTCACATACTACACAAAATTACCTATCCAAAAATACAAAACTCATAAAAATAGGACAATTTTTGGCTGAGTTATACTGGATAATGTAAAAATCGTTTCAACTCACCTCGGTCTCCCCTAGTTAAAATGTTAAAAAAAAATTAATGCATTATTTTGACTAAACTCGTGTCAGACTTTGAAAAATGTTTGTATTTATTGTAAAATATGAATTCAAATTGTAAGAAATCAGGATAGTAACAATTTTTTAATACATTTTTAAACAATTGTTGCTTTTCTTATTGTTCACAGTTTGATCATACTAATGATGTTTATTGAGTATCAAAATTTTATTTACTTCAACTTACGTGCAATTAGATCCTTACTCAGTGATTCCTGAAATAATAATAATAATTCAAACTTTATTGTATTTTTGAGTAGAAAGAACACATTAATAATTTAATCATAAAACTACTGCAGTTACAGGTAAACAGAAATATCTATGAAATATATCTAAATTTTGAACGAACTATTTAATGAAGAAATTAAACATTACTATTGCTTTAAAAACATCAAAAATTTCCTCTCTTTTAGTTTGATACAACGTTTCTTAATTTAAGAAATAAAAAACATTTAATTTCACTATTGTAATGTCAGAAAAAATTCCATTAAATGTATCTTAAATTTCTTTGAAGTAAAAAACTTGTCCACACTAAACAATGATCTTGAGTGTAACATATTTAAACTAGTGTTCTTAGTAACATTAATTTTAAACATTGGGGTAAATTAATTTTTAATTATTTATCTAAATTCAATAATTCATACTGTCATTGTCTCTGCTGTGGATAATACTCGCTGTTTCAAGGAATCACAAAGAGACCGTTACACGTCAACTGTTTATGTTCATAAAATTATATGAAAGTTAATAAATTAACTAATGCACAAGAAGCAAATTAGTGCAAGTTGATAGTTAATCCGTAATCACTTAAATGTCAATACGTATTCATCGCTCATTTAACTCTTTAGCGTCTCTACTATAAAAAGAATTGTCATTGACCCAATAGTGTTGCATGAGATTTTTTTTACCTTTACTATTGCATGAACTATAAATTTTTAAATTTAATAATAGAATTTTACAAATGAATTTTGAATATTATTGTACCTGCTGTAAACAGTAAATATAAAAAATATACTTACTTATCAAATTACTTAAAATTTAGAAAACATTTAGGTTCACTTTATCATATATATGCGTCTTAAATATAAATATATTTTATTTTTATAATATTTTTGTTATGCAAGACAATTTTTTATTCTGTCCAGTTTTAATCTAAATTGGAATGAGAAACGATTGTCATAATGCTAGGATTCCATAAACGATCTCTTGAAAGTTCTAGCGTGTATTCTACGAAATAAAAAAACAAAATATCAAAACATTCGTACCTATATAAATTTTCAAAAAAATGACAAAATTAAAAATTTATATTTTTGTGTTTTCTATAGTGGATTAAAGACGCTTCCCAGTGGGCAAAAATCCATCATTGTTTTAAAAACGTTCCAAAAACGTTTTTAGAACGTTTCATGTCTGCTAAATAATGTTCCAAAAACGTTCCATTGCTTTTAAAACGTTTTAGAACCATATAACGTTTTTGGGACGCTATTTAGCAGACATGAAACGTTCTAAAAACGTTTTTGGAACGTTTTTAAAACAATGATGGTTTTTTGCCCACTGGGTTACGTCTGCGTAAGCGTAAGTAATTTTATTATTGAAACAGTGAAATAGACTAAATTTTTCGGTCGCAGCGGTTATTAATGTTTTTATGGTCGCTGATCATAAATCTGATGTCAAAATTTTAAAATTCAAAATAAAGTAGAATAAAAAAAAAATTTAAACTGAAATCGATTGATTCTAGTATTGTTTTGTGTTATCGTTTGTAATTTACTTGAGTTGTGATATTAAAAACTCCCGAGTAACAAATTTCAAGCCAATCCAACAAGTTTTAAAAAACCAGCCGCCATATTGGATCCGACATTTTGAATGTGTAAAATCCTGACATCATATTTATCATCATCATATTCGACTAAAATTCAAATAGTCAACAATTATTATGTCTTTTTTGAAAACAGTGCCATGTATTACAAATAATTGTGACTAAGAAATAAACATTATCCGTAACTCTCTTGTTTAAAGTATAGAAATTTTCTAATGCTTGTTAATGATAAATTAATATTTTAATTTTTATCTAAAATTTTAAAAAAGTTCAATATTCAATTTTCACGTAATTTAGAAAAGCTTTTAAATTCATTAAAATTTGTTATTGTATTTTAGAGATTTATTTCTTTTTTATAATAATTCAAAAAATATAATTTTTTTCCAAAAGAAAGGAAGATTTGATTAATGGATTTACTTCTGAATCACAAAGCTTCAATAAATGTATTTTTCTTTACCGCAACTATTCAAAATATTTAAAGTTTTTGTAGACTTAGAAAAAAAATTTGCTGAATATTTATTAATTAATATTAATATGTTTATTATATATTTGTAGAAAAAGTATTAACAATTCTAATGCTGTTATATATAGGAAAAATATGTTTTTAATCAATTTTACCATGAAATTCAATAAAAATTATGTATTTATCAATTTGACAAAAGGTTATTATGAAATAATTGTTTTAAAATTATAGTTACATAAAAAACTTGTATATACAGATACACGCATTATCAAAAATAAATTTTTGCATACGAGTACATGATGTAGATAACGCCATCTTTTGAATTCTGCCATCGGGATCGGATAATTTACCGCCAAATAGTATATAACCACGCAATAAATTTCGATAGCAGTTTTACTCGGTCTCTGACAACCACAAATTAACTTCTAAAAATTTTTTATTTGCATGTAATTAATACCCTATAAGAAAGTATTTCAAAAAAAATTTTTTAAGTTAATTTACGGATTTTAGGGTCCAATTAAAATGACCATCAGAATTTTATGCACTCTGATAACATCCGAATATTTCGGATATCCTATGGATGTACGGGAAATAATTATAATAATAATGTATGAAAATAATTGAATCCCTGTAGTACAAAAGTTTATTATTTAAGAAAATAATTAAATTATTGCGAATTATTTGCTGATAAGAATTTTTATCGCAAGGAATTATTTAATAAACTTGAGAATTGTAAAGATTCTCGTCAATTTTCGAAAATTGTAAATTCAAAAAGAATTAATTTTTCGCAAATTTGTAATGTTAATTTATCTGAATGACAAAATTTCCTCTATGATAACTAACAGTTCTCAGTTAATAATTTATTGATCTCTATAACTAATAGGATATCCCACCCTATTTTACACTGTGACATTATTATTGACGAAATTTTGTTTTCTTTGTCAAAATGTAAAAATGGCAAGGCTCCCGGAGTAGATGAGATAAGCTAGGAATTTTACGAAAACCTACTGCAAAATTTGATTTTATATATTCACAGGCTTCACAGTGCCCCTAAAAAGTATTTTAGGGGAAATAGAGGACTTTTATGGAACCATTAAAAATTGGTTAAATAAAGATAAAAATATAATTTATTCATACAGGGTTGCCACAAAAATTTAAATTTATTTTTTCCTCACTTTTCCCTCATTTCCAAACACAACTTTCACTTTTTCCCTCACCCTAAAGGATATTCTGATTCACTCTCAAAATTATTAGATACTCAAAATAATGTTTTATTAAATTTATTTACAAATTTCTTCAAAAGTAAAATTATTCGAAAACATCAACAACTTCTTTTTTAAATAAATATTTCATCACTTTTTTTTCATTGGAATTAAGATGTTCAAAAATTTCAAATTCAAACCTTTTCAAATTGAACAACTTATAATAATTAAAGATATTAATAATTACAGTTACAATATTTGTAACTGTAATTTCTTCAAAATTATTCGTATCATTTCAATTCAATTAACATTTTCTAGAATTTTTAACTTTAATTTTTTAACTTTTTAATTTTTAACTTTAACAGAATAATTGTTAGTTAAAAGTACGAAAAATAATAATTTAATTCTACGAAATTTAATTATTGTATTAACAACTTTTGAAAATATTTAATTTCTTTTAAGGAATTTAATTAAAATTTTAATGAAATTTATTATATTGAAGAATTTTATAACAATTTTAGAAAATAATTGAAAACTTTTTGAAGAATCTTATTAAATTTTTTAAAAATAATTGAATTCCTGAGAAGAATTTAAATAATAATTTTTGAAAACAATTGAATTCATGAGAAGAATTTTATTAATATTTTTGAACATAATTGACTTCTTGAGAAGAATTTTTAAAAAATTTTTGACAATAATTTAATTCTTGAGAAGAATTTCCCTATCTATTTATAAAGATAATTTAATTCTTGACGAGAATTTTTAAAAATAATTTAATTTCTGCTAAGTATTTTATTACTTTTCAAAAGAATTGAATTCTTGAGATGAATTTTGATATTTATCGAAATAATTGAATTTTGGAAAAGAATTTTATTAAAATTCCTCAAAATAATTGATTTTATGGGAAGAATTTATGCGATTTTGTTGTTTATTAAGCTAATTGAATTTTTTTGCAAAATTAATTAAAAATTTTTGAAAATAATATATTTTCTGCGACGAATTAAATGTTATTTATGAAAATATTTGAATTATTGCAACGAATTTTATTGTTTTATTGAATAATTGACTGTTTCTTAAAATTGAATTCTTTCCTCAAGTTTTAATAAGATTTTTAATAATAATTGCATTTTTCAAGGAATTTATTTTAAATTGTATTAAAAATATTTGAAATTCTGCGATGATTCAATTGAAAATAATTGAATTCGTAAATGAAATTTTATTATTTATAAAAATAATTGAATCTTTTCGTAGAATTCTATCAAAAAGTTTTTTCTATAATTAAATCTGTTGATAAATTTTATGAAAATAGTAAATATTGAAATTCGTTGAATTGCGATAAACTTTTGAAAATATAATTGAGAAAGAAAGAAAGAATTGCAAAGAACTTATTTAAATTTTTGAAAATAATTGAATTTTTGGCGAAAAATTTTGCTATTTATAAAAATAATTGAATTCGTGCAAAGTATTTTATTTGTTTAAATAATTGAAATTTTGACAAAAATTTAATTAAAATTTTTGACAATAATTGAATTCTTGAGAAGAATTTTGATATTTACCAAAATAATTGAATTTTGGAACAGAATTTCATTAAAAATCCTTAAAATAATTGGTTTTATAGGGAGAATATTGTTGGTTATCAAGATAATTGAATAATTGTTTTGCAGAATTACTTAAAAATTATTGAAAATAATTGATTTCCTGCGACGAAAAAATAGGGGAAATTTTGAAAATAGGGTACGTTTAGGGGCCAAAATTAAAAAAGGGGACTTTTAGGGAAATAGGGGGCAGACTGTGAAGCCTGTATTCACCACTTTTTAATTTAACTCTATATCGACAAATATTCTCTCAAATCATCTGTAATCGGTTATTAACTTGGGCATCAGACCTTAATTTGATTCCGAAGTTCCAGTCGGAATTTAGAAAGGGCAGAAGTGTCTCGATAATATCTTTTTACACTTTTATCATTAATTCAAATTCATCCAGTGGCGGTGATTTATGCTACTTTCATTGACTTGAAGGGGGCTTTCCCGTCTGTTCCGCATTCTTTATTGTGGGAGAAATTACATATAATCTCGGATTGAATACGAAACTGATTAATATTATGAATAGTTTTTATTCGGGGGCTGTTACATGTGTCAATTAAGACATATTAGGGTCCTACAGATTATGTTAAAGTTACACAAGGGGTACTTCAGAGGGAGGTTTTGAGTCCATATTTGTTTTTGCTGTTCATTTCTGATTTTGATGATTTTCTTTTGAAAAATAATTATAGAGGCCTTTCAATTGACAGTAAAAATGAGGTATTATAGTTCTTGGTCATGCTGACGACTACGTCAGCTTCCGGGTACCCAAATATCCTGCCTTTCTTCACGGTTATCTTTATTTTCTAAAAGAGTCTTTTCTCAGATCAGGATACTAAACAAATATATATATTTCTGGAATTAATTTTGGACAGTTTTCGTATTCTTTTCCTTCAGATTTTATTTGTCCTTTTTGTCGCCGTGAGGAGGAGAGCTTTTTTCATATTTTATTAGAATGCCCTTCTTGTGAGCATCTATGGAATGAATTTTTTACTCAGGTCTTCAATACTTTGGATCAGTTTGATGTTTGTCTATCTATTCTACATTCCTCTGAATGCTCACGTATTAAGTCTTTTGTAAATCTTTTAATATGAATTATGAAATTAAAGTAACTTAAAAACTACTTTTTGACATAAAAAGATAAAAATCTATTTTTTCCGCATTAGGTGCTTTTCAACTCAATTCTATTAAAATTCAATTAATTTTGAAATATTTAAGTAAAATTATTCATTAAATAATTTCTAAGTCATAATTTTATGATAGTTCTTTAAGAATTAAGATATTAAAAAAGAAATTATTATCAGAAATTGTAAATTGTAGGTTTTGTATTAATTATAATTATATTAAAATTCTATATTCCAATTCATATTTTATTTTTTTGAAAAAAAATTGAATTAAAAATTTGTACATTCTATTATTTTTAAAATTGCTAATTTTCTTTTAAAAAGTGAGTAAGAAGCTATAGTCACGCGCAAATTCTCGCTAGTTAATAATAAACTATAAAACAATGCATGAAATTAGTTATATTTGATTTAGTTTTAATGCTATTTATATGGAGAGAAAATATGATTTTAATTAATTTTACCATGAAATTCAATAAAAATTATGTATTTATCAATTTGACAAAAGGTTATTATGAAATAATTGTTTAAAAATTATAGTTACATAAAAAACTTGTATATACAGATATGCGCATTGTCTAAAATAAATTTTTGCATATACGAGTAAATAATTTAGATAACGACATTTTTTGAATTCTGACATCGGATTCGGATAATTTACCGCCAAATAGTATATAACCACGCAATAAATTTCGATAGCAGTTTTACTCGGTCTCTGACAACCACAAATTAACTTCTAAAAATTTTTTATTTGCATGTAATTAATACCCTATAAGAAAGTATTTCAAAAAAAATTTTTTAAGTTAATTTACGGAATTTAGGGGCCAATTAAAATGACTATCAAAATTTTATGCACCCTCATAGCATTATTATATTTAAAATGAAAATACAAAATTTCTAAATTAATTTACTACTCGAATTAACCTTGTGATTAAATTTTAAAGCATTATGATGTTAAAATTTTGCTATTTATAATACTCGGGAACCAATCGTAGAATTATATTATTGCCGTACTGCACTGGCAGTAAAATTACGATGAAACAAATCTAAAAATAAATTTTAATGATACACCTAGTTGCAAGCAACTGCGCTTCTATAAAGTGATAAAAATAGGTAAATATGTACTATATATTCAAATTATGCTCATTAAAGACAAGATACAATTAGGTAATTTAATGTAGCCAAATTTGATTGGGGGGACCATAAGTATTTTTTTAAAAAGTATGACCATATTATTTTAATATAGAGGACAAACCCGGACATTATTGCAGTTATGGTGGAAGTCAATAATCATATTTTGTTTTGAACAAAATACAAGTTTTAAATAGCCGGGAATTTATTTTGACTTGGAAGAACTAATAATTAGTTACCATTAACTATTTCATTAGGACAATATTCCTATTTGCATCAGTGACAGACTTTCTACTATAAAATTAGTTATTTTTAACTTATTCAAATTCTGAGAACAGTTTTTGTCAACTTATATAGTACTTTATGCGTTTGTAGTACTTCAATTAATGTATTGAAATCAGGGCTTAAATTTTAACTCGGGTCTGTTTACATAAATATTATATCAATAAAAATTAAAGTAAAAAGCAATTTTTTAAAAACATCAATCCTAGGCTTTAAGCTAAACGCGGGCAAATAGGAAAATGATCAATTAAATGACAATTATTCTTTTAATCGCCTGAATTCTTTAGGCATTTAGCTTGATGCCTAGGCGTTAAGCTAAACGCCTAAAGAGTGACAGGCTAATAGAAAAAATTCAAATTATAGACAAAAATATTTTTCACAAAATTGCAATAATTTATTGTAATTAATTCAAGTCAATTGCAAAGGAAAAAAATTACATTTTATTTATTGCAGCAAGTTAAGCTTTGGTGGCATCGCGAGCTGCAAATTATTTTTAATTTAAAGCTTCTAACAATTTTGGAAAAAATTCAACTAAGAATATTTAAAAACAAAGATTCATAAACAAAAATTTAGAAACGCTTCTTAACTCAAAATACCTGCAATATATTATTAATTGAAATTTCATTTCAATGTTTATTATTCATCAATCGAGACCAATTTCTCTATTCGCCTGGCGCTCTTTGGGCGTTTAGCTTAACGCCTAGGCATCAAGCTAAATGCCTAAAGAATTCAGGCGATTAAAAGAATAATTGAGCCCGCGCGCACTTGCTGTTATTGCACGCGCGGGCTCAATTGTCATTTACTTGAACATTTTCCTATTTGCCCGCGTTTAGCTCAAAGCCTAGGAATTAAGCTAAACGACGGATTTTTCTATTCGCCTACGACATATATAAACTTAAAAAAGAGTATTTTCCGAGGGGGTATTTACTTGTGTATTAGCGTGTACGCTCCTCCCGTAATACCCACGTAATAGAGCATTATTACGTCAGTGTAATACCACATAATATAGAGGTAATATTCTGTAATAATCAGTAATACGCTGTAATAGTTCTGTAATAGTTCTGAAATACCCTGTAATACTGGATAATACGCGTAATAGCAGGAAAATTTAGTGTATTAGAGTGTACACCATTTTAACCAGTAATTACCCCCTCGGTATTTTCATATAATAAGTAAATTTTTGTAGCCACCTGTAAATTTTTGAATTTTTCGAAAACATTTTTATACTTACATCTTAGTGAAAAGACATTATTTTTGACAAAATTATCCTAAAATGTGACTAAATAACAAGTAATACTCAATTATAAAAAGTTTAAAAGCAGTTTTTAAAAAAACGTAACATTTGAAAATTTTTGAAAAAATTGAATATTTCTCGTTCTAATTAATGTTTTTCAAATCTGTAAATTTATAAACCTAATCTGGGTCAAGATCTAAGACTCTGCTAAATTTTGTTTCAAATGGTTCAGCCGTTTTCAAGTGATGCGCGGTCGAAATTTTGGGGACATACATGCATGCATACATACAGACATTTTTTTATTGTTGTCATTTTTGGATTTCTTAGTGTACAAGAAGAAAAAATATGTTAAAAATTTTGAATCCTGTGCAATGTACATCAGACAAAAGTCTGATTATATATATGGGACATTCCATGTCAACCAGATCAGTAGTCTGTCCAAAATTCTATGGGACCGATCTGAATGGTTAAGGTCTTAACATGATCGTGTTAATGTCCTCTATCAAAAACAATCTGGTCTTTTGAAAAATCCAATATGGCGGATTCTTTTTGCGAGTGCTATGTTTCGCGGAATCACACAAGATTCAAACCAAAATTTTATTTTTAATCAGTTTGGGCGCCATATTTGTTCCGCCATATAGGATTTTTCAAAAGGCCAGATTGTTTTTGATAGAGGACATTCACACGATCATTTTAAGACCTTAACCTTTGAGATCGGCCCCATAGAATTTTGGACAGCCTACTGATTCGGTTGACGTGGAATGTTCCATATATATGGAGCCATCCATAAACCACGTTACCAATTTAGGGGGGAGGGGGTCCAAAAATTGAAATTTTTACATGTAACGCAATGGTAACGAGGGAGGGAGGGGGGGGGGTCTAAAAAGTCTGAGAAATTGGTAACGTAGTTTATGGATGGCCCCTATAGATATTAGAAAATTAATAAGTAGATAGACCTTTTCAACTACCAATTGTTAATACAACGAGTGACTTCTGTGCTCTCATATACTTCGCATGTTTTCATATCAATCAAATGTTTATAACGATGATATATATTTTATCTTTGCGTGAATGTTGAGTACATCTGTCACTTTTTTATATTAATCTGTCTTATAATATTTTTTATGTATTTCAATTACACCAGTATAATTTTGTATATTTTAGTTGCGGTAGGACAAAAAACCTAGGGAAAGGTTGTCCCACTTGCGTTATTTTTTATTTTAGAAGTACCATAATTAAAAACGCGACTGATATTTTTGTCAAATGATTAGTTATTACTTTTTATGCTCCTTTAGAGCAAAAAGAATCAATAAAAATGATTATTCCCCAAATATCATTTGACCGAACTTTCATTTTACCGAATTGCATTTATCCGAACTGTTATTTTAATAAAATGTCACTTTTGCGAATCGACATTTTTACGAATTGACACTTTTGCGAAAAATCATTTTTACGAATTGTAATTTTAACGAATAGTTATTGTTCCGAAATGTCATTTTTCGAATTGTCATTTTTACGAAATGTTATTTTTATGAATTGACACTTTTGCGAAAAGTCATTTTTATGAATTGCCACTTTTGCGAAAAGTCATTTTTACAAATAGTCATTTATGCGAACTGCCATTTTTACGAAAAGTTATTTTTTCGAATTGTCATTTATGCGAAAATAGCTATAGTAAACTTGTACGTATATATAGATTTACTATATTAATTTTCGCAAAAATGACAATTCGCAACAGTGACATTTCGTAAAAATGACAATTCGAAAAAATGACAGTTCGCATAAATGATAATTCGTAAAAATGACATTTCATAAAAATGATCCAGATTTCAGTGTATTATAATCACCCAAAAAGTGAAAATCAATTCTCCGAACGTAAAGTCTCTTTAACTGTCCAGGTCACATACAATTTGTAATAAATAAAGGATCAAAGAAGTTTAAAACTATAAAGTTTATTGATAATCTGTATTAATAATAATATATCTCTAATTATTACGCTTGTTGATTTACTTAAATAATAAAATGCTTAATGTAACGAAACATATGGTTATAATACAATGCTCTAATAGTTTTCTGTAGTCAGTTTATTGAGAAATGAAACATGTGAAAAGGTGGAAAAATCTATTCTTACACATTTTATGCGTACAAGTCTTCACGGTCTGCGCCAACGCCATCGCCCTCCTCGAGGCTGGCAAAATTCAAGAAGTGAGCAGGACGATGTACTTCGTGATAGAATTCCTTAGGATTCGCCAACTGCAGTTCGTATTTCATGTTCGGATCGTGACGCACACCCATGAAATTATAATTCCAAGATCCTTGATTTGGAACCATGAAGTAGCCGAGGAAGCGGTCGGAGAGGAGCATCTGGACCTTTTCGTAGTGACTGGGCAGATAGCCCTTCGGATTGTTGCCTTTGTCGGTGTTCTGCTTGCCCCAGTCGATTCCACTGGGTGTCAGTTTGTAAGCCGTGAGCGAGCAGGAGCCTGGAGTGAAACTGCAAGTGATCACAATAGTCTTTTCTCCATCCCATGTGACTTCGCTCGGATTCTGGTTTTGGTCGATGATTATTTTCGCGTGGCTCGTCACATCTTGAGGGGAGAGTTGTGGCAATTCATTCGGCTGGGTGTGAATCCATCCCAAGGGTTCCATTTCCTGGAGATACTGATGAGCTGGCAGGAAACTTGGAAGGTGGACGGTTTGATGCGTCCCCCACTGTGGAGGCATGACTATGCAGCGGATCTCCTTCACCTGCGGATTGTCGGGCGGACTGCATCCGTAGAGGTAGCCTGCGATTTGCGCCCTCAAGTCCGAGATGGTGACGAATTTCTTGAGTACGTTCTTTGGTAAAATGTAAGTGAAGCCCGTCTCCTTGATGTCATCAGAGGAAACGTAAATGTGATTCGTCCTGAGGTGGAGGTTCGTAGCGGAAATTGCTCGCACCCGCCACTCCGTTTTGGAGGCGAACGTTTGCGTCTCATAGTTGGAAGTCGTCGCTGTTATGATTTCATCTCCGTGTTTATTGACAGTTCTCGTGGTCGTGGCAGTCAGCTGGGACTGTTCCTTCGTCTGCTTCTCGATTTCTGCAATTTGTTGCCTCTGAGCGGACGGGGCACTGATTTCCATGCCGAGGATAATGTCCCGAATTTCGGACTGAGTGAGGGAGGCAACGTTGACATTGTTCTTCTTGCCATAATCGGCGAGGATCAAGTCTTTCAGCTGCACTTCGACCTTGAGCCATTCGTCGTCGGTGAGAGTGGGCCAAATGTGATGCGGTTCGGTGACGGTAGTTTTGTCGGGTTTGAGAATGACCTTCGTGCGTTCGGTGTTGACGTGAAGGGCTCTCAGGATAAGAACCAATCGCGAAAAGGCTGTGTAGGATGAGATGGTTTTCAACCAGTCGTCGTAGAGGTTGAAGAGAACCATTTGTGGTTCTGTTGCTTTCAGAATGAGATCGCCGAACTTCTCCACCTTCAGACACGCCTGGAATGGTAGTTGAAGTTCCGAGCCTTTGATAACAATATTGGGGAAGTCGAGTAAATGAACTTCTAGCGGGTCCAACATTCCTTTTCTGGTGACAATAATTTGCTTCGGTTGTTCCTCAACTGGCAGGGATCGAATTAGAGCCGCAACTTCTTCGGCAGTTTTCCACTTTGCCAGCTGACCAAGACGTTTTTGTCCCGCCCAAACGGAAGTGTGAATGATTTTCAAGAACAGTTGTCCAGTTCGGGGATTGAAAATGAAAATCGCACCGTTGATGGGTTTGGTGGTCAAGTTTCCTTCGAATGTTTTGTGAATGGTGACGCGGTACACGTTTGTGTCGTCGACGAACCAAATAATCTGGTTCGAGAAAAGCTCTCCATAGTTCTGCGACGAGAGATAAGGCTCCGTTGGTTCCGACGAGTAGAGCTGCAAGGCTTTCCGGATACGTTCTCGTAAAACGTACAAAGCCGGATTGGCTTTCATTATCTTCGCCATGGCTTGTTGAATAAGCGATTTACAACCCGGGAACCAATTTCCATAGGCGCTGTGCAGATTGTAGGCCAGGTCGATAGCGATCAGCAGCCCAGTCGGCGACGGATATATCGACATATTGTCAGTCGTGTAGTCGAGGAACTTGGCTCTCGCATAACGTTCAATGTCGTGCGAGTCGTAGTCACCCCACCGCAGTTGCACGTCTATCCAGTACTTTTGCGTTGTCGTGTTGTCCATCACGTCCTTGGAGTCGGCGAGTAAAGAAGGTCTCGAAACCGTCCATTTGTAAGCAGAGAAGAGTAAAATATCTGCGCAGGAAGAATTCATCTTGTAAGACTTCCTCGGGTGAATTGTCTCCTTCTGCACAGTCTCAATTTCCAGAGCATCCAATTCTTGATCGAACACTTGACACAGATCCATGACAATTGACTCATGAACCTTCTGCCACAAGTGAGCTCTGAAAATCTGAATCAAGGAAATCTTGAGTGTTGGAATTTTGCCGTGCATGAAGATTCCCGTCAAGTCCAGTTGCACCTGGAAACCAACGTACACGTTGGCTCTGTTGATCGTCGGCGACCACCACAAAGTAAATCGCCGATTGGGAATTTGATTCAAACCCGACCTCTGCGCGTTTGTCAGTTTCTTGTACTTCATCGATTCCTCGAATCCAGACGCTTTCTCCCAGAAGAGACCCTCCCAAGTCGGGAAGTAGGTGCCTTTGAAGAGCGTGTGCTCGAGGATTCCCTCCACACCTCCGAGAGCTTGAATCATGTCAGTTCGGTAATTATTCAAGTTCCACAGTTTACCGTCATGCCGTTGATGAGTCCACCAAAAGGGATTTTGCTTGAGAACTTGGTACTGCTTAAACTCGGTTCGAATCCTCCAGCCCTTGTCATAGGCAAGCGCGTGGCGATCCTTCTGGAACAGAGTGTTGATCCTGGGAATTCCTCTGTCCCAACTGTCCTCCAGATCCTCGAGGGTCAGCCGCCGATTCTGAGCGTTGGCTTCCTGGCGCTTCAAGGCATACTCCGCCCACACGCGCTGCGAGTCGATGAACTCCGATTCCCAGGGCTGAATGTATCTGTACAAATTGGGAATCAACTGGTCCTCGTCGTGGCTCATACCCGATCTGAAGTGAGTAATTCCAACGTCAGTCTGCTTCGACCATCTTAAATCCGACTGGGGAATAAGCACATGTCCCATCGACAACATGCCCAAGCCCCCGAGTTCTTTCGGTGTATAAAACACAACTGGTGGAAATCTGGAAGGCATTTTTGAATTCAGCCCGATTTTTATCCGGGTTTGAATTTTGTTTTCGCACTTCACTAGCAGGTCCAAGAGTTCCTGTGTGTTGACAACAGCTTCACGGAAGTAAGTCATCAAGCCAATGAGGGCGGTGTTCCACTTGTTGACAATCTTTGTGAATGTCGTGGAACCCGAAGCCATGAGAATCTGTCTCACTCGGTTGTGGAATCTCTGAAGACTCTCGTCGTCCACTCGCAGGTAGCACTGGGCAGTTCTCTCCTTGGTGATCTCGTGCTGCAAATTCCAGACACCGTCCTTGTTCAAACTCTCCTCGTGCGACGTCCTCGTCTTGGGCAGAATTCTGCACTCGAAGCCACTCATGTTGAAGAGCAAGTTTGGATTGTCCTTGCTGTAGACACTCACGAAACTGTTTTCCCACTGAATTGTCGTTGTGGACCTCGGCAGCCGATTCTTGATGTCCCAGAACACGGCCCGTCCGAGATTCACGTCGTGTTTCATCAGTCGCATTCGAGCATCGCGCGGCCAGCACTTCTTGTTGTTATAGCCGACTATGTTCTCATTGTTCGGATCCGGATGTTCGGTGAGGTATCGTTGGATCAAATCTCTCGCCTCGTCAGCAGAAAACCTGAGGAACAGATGAATCCTATCGACATACCTGCAGTAAAGTCGGATCGGATGGGCAGTTTCCGAGGCGATGTCTTGAAAAGTGAGAAACTCGTTGGGCATTTGCGGCGGGCCAGCCATCTCACTTGCCCTTTGCAAGCCCAGCACGAGCAAGTCGAGTATCAGCCCGTAGTACTGGGAAATGAAGGAAGCAAACTGCAAGCCTCTGATGACTCCGTAACTGTTGGTGTGATTCATGTCCTTGTAGTTGATGACAACGTTATTCTTCGCAGTCATGTAATCGGCGATATTGTGATCGACAATTAACCTGAGCAGTCTGTTCAGCAAGGTAAGATCGATCTTCTCATAAAGCTTTTCGAACTTGGACTCCAGTAGCACGTTACACTCGCCTTCGTTCACGTCCCAGACGTCCTGCAGATTGTTGATGCCTTGACACCACTTGTAGACAAGGAGAGGAGGCGGTTCAGCGTCTGAGGGTTTCACCCACGGTGGGAAGAGTCTGCGTTTGTCGGCTTCATACCACAAGTACTGGTCCAAGTAGGCGTCTGTTATTTTCTCAAGCGGCTCGACGTCGTACACTGGAATTAGGTGACTGTACAGATCCATGAACTCGATGCCCACTTCTTTGAAGGACCGTTGAGTCAGCAGATGACGCTTAATTCTCGACAGAGCTTCATGAGGGTTGTCATAAGCCTGTTCGATTAGACCAAGCTCCTCGCGTTGGCTTTGGTTCAGTCGAGACTTCACGCTGTAAGCTTCTTTCAATCTCTCCAGACCTAATGTCATGAGCTTCGTGTCGTGTTTGTAGGACAAAGGAGGAAATGGAATTGGGGCAAATCTTCTCGATTCGAGCCAATGAACTGTCGTTGTATAGATCGCAACTGCTTCCTCCGGCGAAATGTACGGACCGTCCTGGAAAAGTAAAGTTGATCACTTTAATTTCGTGTAAATAACAATGCTTCCATTAACAATTAATGACAACTAACAACAATTCTAGCTGACTTCTCACTCTCTTTTTTAAATAAAATTAGCAATTTTAAAAATAATAGAACGTAAAAATTTTTAATTCAAATTTTTTTTATAAAAATAAAATATGAATTGGAATATATAGTTTTAATATTATTATAATTATAGTAATCATATATTCTGACATATAGAGAATTCAGGGAAAAGTCAGGAATTTTTATTAAAAGTACTGAAAAAAATTAATTTTTTAGATTTCAGAAAAGAAAATTCCAGATTTTTGTGTCTTTTTTGTTTGACTCATAAACTATAAAATTACCACGAATTCTAATACAAAACCTTCAATTTTTTCAATTTCTGCCAAAAATTTCTTTTTAAATACCTTAATTTTTGAAGAACTATCATAAAATAAATTCATTATTTAATGAATAATTTTACTTAAATATCTCAAAATTAATTCAATTTTAAAAGAGTTGCGTTCACAATTTTCATAAATAAATAAACTTCAAACGGTTTCAATTTGAAATTTTATGAAATTTTAATGTTGAATGAATTTAACCCTTTGAGGGGCACATTATTCATATGGACGGATTTTCTTTACAACTCATGTCCTAATATTTTTGGGGTCGCTGATTACGAATCTAACATTAGTTTTCCAAAATTCAAAATGGCGGATCCAATATGGCGGACATTTTTTATCAATTAATCGGATTTGCTTGAAAATGTTTACTCGGGGGTTTTTGGGGTCGCTGATTACGAATCTGATGTTAATTTTTGAAAATTCAAAATGGCAAATCTAACATGGCGGTCAATTTTGTTTTAAATTAATTGGATTTACTTAAAAATTGTTATTTGGGAATTTTCAAAGTCACTGATTTGAAAATTTCTCCGCTAATTATTAATCCACAATCTAAATTTAAAAATAAACTAAACATTAGTAAACAGGGACTACAACAACCTTCTAGTAACAAGTATCGTGACAATCTAATAAATTTTTATATTTGTCATCTGACATATTGGATCCGCCATTTTGAATTTTTAAGAACTAACATCAGATTAGATACCGGAAAATTAAACTTGACGACCAAAAAAACTCGTTTTAGACACTTCACAAAACTGACAAAAATCCCATTCTATATTTTATTTTCCTGGTCTTTTTTCTAATTTTCATCAAAAATATTTCTTTTAGAGCTGTGCAAAATAATTCGAACCGAACTGTTCGAATTTTTTCGCCTAGTTCGAATGTCGAAAATTCGACATTCGACATTTCGGCGCCCAAAAACCGAACAAAACTCGGTTCGGTTCGAATTTTTCACAGCTCTAATTTCTTTCTTATCCTGTTAATAAATTCAATTCCTGCAACGAATTTTATTATTCATGACAGAATTTAAATATTTATAAAAATAATTTAATTCTTGCGAAGAAATAATTAAATTTTGCAAATAATTTTATTAAAATGTCTCAAAATTGAAATTAAATTTTTAAGAATAATTACATTTTTGAGCAATTCCTGTAAAATTGTATTAAAAATAATTGAAATTCTTCTAAGAATTTTATTATTTATGAAACTAATTGAATTATTGCGAAAAAATTTATTAAAATGTTTAAAAAGAATTGAATTTCTGTGAAAAAATTTTGTTATTTTTGAAAATAATATTGAATTCTTCATATGAATTTTATAAACGCATTGTTTTAAAAAATTAATTTTTATTGAATATAATAAATATTATGAAAATTTTATTTTAAATAATTGAATTCTTGTAGAAAACTTTATTTGTAAAAATAATTGAATTTTCGAATAGTTTTATCAATTTTTGTTTAAATAATTGAATTCTTTTGCGAAATTCTATGAAAATACTAGACACTGAAAGTAACTGAATTTCAAATATTTTTTGAAAGTAATTGAATCGTTTTAAAGAATTTGATTATAATTTTGGAGAATAGTTTTTTAATTTCTATTATTAGCGAATTTAAAGCAGTGGAAATTCTCAAGAAAAACATAAATAGTAGCTTTTAGTGACTGAGATCTAAAATAAATATCCAAATAGTGGCATAACGTAAAAAATAGTAAATAGTAGGTTTTAGTAAAAGAGTGCGAAGCTTGATTTAATTAATTCTCGTCTTCCACTTGAGATAACGAAAGAATGAATATTTACCTTCAGGTAGTTGTGTTGTCTCTCTTGTTCAGCCTTCAGGTACAATCGCGTTAAACGTCCTAGATTCTTCTTACAAACTGTCTTGTCAACCGTTGCTCCGCGTCGAATACGCTCTCGATTGTAATGAGCCGTGTTTGTCCACCAGTCGGCCTTCATTTTGACGTAGCGTAAAATCATACTCTCGATTGGAATCGGCAGTCCGGGGACTTTCCAGGGAATATTTGCCTTCCAACATCTCCAAGCTTCGCTGAGATGCTGAAGGATCGTTCTCGCCTTGTTCTGCTTAATGCCCTCCGGCATCATGTCAACAATGTCATGCATGACCGACGCTCTGAGCTCCAAATCAAAGTGAGATTCAACTCTTTGTTTAGTAACAGTTTTAGCCACTCCTTTCGAGTGTCGTCCTTCGAACTGTCTGGACAAAAGGTTGCCAAGCCAGCGTTCCAACAAGGGTGTAATGCCTCTCATAAAGAACAACCACACTCTCCATCCAGGGGCCCAGAAACCACAGCCAGGGCCTTTCCCAACAGGACCCTGGAAAACAAAAATTTTCAAATTTTCTTTTAAAAATCAAAAGAAAGAATTAGACTTGATGAACTCACAACTCAATAAAAATATAAAATGAAATCCATAATAAAATTAATTTACAATACTTACAGTGTTAAATCGATAGTAGATTAAGTGCTTCAAATCTTTACACATTCGAATTTGCCTCATGAGTTTGTACTTGTACCTGTACATTCCGGTAAGTTGGCCGACGTGAGCAAAAATATATTGTAAACCATCAGCAAGTTGGAAAGCATCGACATTATTTAATCGATACTGGACGTGAGAATCAATGATCAATTTTGTTAAACGTAAAATTTCTCGACACAAATGGAAAGCTGAAAAAAGTGAAAAGTTAAGAAAAATATCTCATTACAATCTTGAACCGAAGATTGAATCTCGATTGTACATAGAAATAAAATCGCGGTATATTTTTAAAATATTACCATTTCCAAAACGAGACTTTTTCCTCTCTTTAGTTGTCAGTGTTTTCACGGGTTTTAGATTAAAATTGTAATCTAAATGAAGATAATTGAGATTTTTTCGATGGATCAGTAGATTCAACATGTTGTATCCCTGACGACAAACTTGTAGACCGGCTTCAACCCAGTCGACGGTTGTTGTTTGGAAAAACTTTGTCGCTTTGAAAGATCGGAAGAGGTAGCGTTTCTTTTGAGGTTTAGGATGTCTGTGCTTCAAGGCATTCAACACCAAGTATTTCAACAGCTTCTGGTAACTGACACGAACTTTCACGGGCTGACCCGGTGGACAGTGCTCTCGATACCAGGTCTTCACTAGAGGCACGTCTATTGCCCTTCGTGTTCTTCCTGATCGGGTATTGAATGGTCTGGGAGCCCAAAGTAAGGCAATGCCATTTGCAGTGTTATCCGTGAATAAAGGAGTTTCTTGTAGGAAAGGTTCAATGTCTTCACAAAGAAGGAAATCTTCATCCTCTTCTGTTTGAGGCTCTACTGTCTGTAATAAACAAAAAGTAAAGAACATGAAATTATTATTTATCTTTTAACTAAAAGGATTATAGGTAAATTGGTCATGCAAAATTTTATCGTCACTTGTGATAATTCTACTGAGTAAAATTAACGTGATGTTCTATTTATTATTATTATGCAAATAACAAAACTTTTTATTTTCAAACATAAAGTTTTAAATAATTTTAAAATCAAAATTTAAAAAATTAATTTATTAAGAACATAATTATTTGTTTATATTTTCAAAAATTTTAATATAATTCTTCGCAAGAATTCAATTATTTTCATAAATAATAAAATTCTTCGGAAAAATTCAACTATTTTTATAAATAGTACCTAACATTTTTTTCAAAAATTCAATTATTTTCAACAAAATTTTAATAAAATTTCACGAAAGAATTCAATTATTTTCTAAAATTTTAATAAATCCTTCGAAACAATTCAATTATTTTCAATGCAATTTTAATAAACTTCAATAAATAATCAAATATTTAATTATAATTATTTACAGACACAACTATTTTAAAAGGTTGAAAAAATTTTTTTTTTAATTCAATTAATTTCAAAATTTTCAATTAAAATAAATTATTCAAAAACTACATTATTTAAAAAATTTTTTTTTTAATTCTTCAAAAGAATTTAATTATTTACAAAAACTCTAACAAAATTGTATAAAAGAATTTAATTTTCTATCAACAATTTTAATAAAATTTTAATAGTAAAATTATTTATTACCATTATTAACAAAATCGATTTTATATTTAATAAATTAAAAAATTTTTTTGAAATAATTGAATCATTGTGATTGTAAAAATTCAATTATAAAATTTGTATAAAATTTCATGAAAGAATTCAATTTTTTTCTTAATTAGTTATAAAATTTTCCAAACGAATTCAATTATTTTCTAAAATAATAAAATTCTTTGAAGGAATTCAATTATTTTCAAATTTTTTGATAAAATTCTTTGCAAGAGTTCAATGATTTTCAATACATACATTATAATAATCGTCAGTTTCCTTTCCGTTAGCAAATGATCTGCATTCATTTGTTTGTTTTGAATATTAATTTTTGTGGGTTATTTTTATTTTTTTTTAATGTCAAAAAAAACGAAAAAAAACTCGTTTTATTCACTTCACAAAATTGACAAAAATTCCATTCCATATTTTTTATTTTCCTGATTTTTTCCTAATTTTCATCAAAAATATTTACTTTTTTCTTATCCTGCTTATAAATTGAATTTCTGCTACGAATTTTATTATTCATGAAATTTAAAATAATTTAATTCTTGCGAAGAATTTTATACAAATTTTTAAATAAGTCATTTCTTTCAAATAATTTTATGCAAATTCTAATTTAAATAATTGAATTGATGAAAATTTTTATTATTCATGAAAAGAATTGGATTTTTACAAACCATTTTTTAAATAATTGAATTCTATTTGGAAATTTTATGAAAATAGTAGATATTGAAAATCATTGAATTGCGAAAATTGTTTAAAGATAATTAAATTTTACAAAGAATTCTATTAAAAAATTTGTCAATAATTGAATGTCTGTGGGAAATTTCATCAAATTTTTTTAACTTAGAATGTTTTCAGGACCTTAAAAATTTTCAATGTTTTCAGGACAAATTTATTTGATTAAATTTTGTTGAAAATAATTAAATTTCTAAAAAACATTTTATTATTTATGAAAATAATTGAATTCTTGCAAACGATTTACTAGAACTTTTTAAAATAATGGAATTTTCAAGAAGAAATTTATTATTTTTAAAAGTAATTGAATTATTGTGATGAATAGTATTGTTCTTTATGAAAATAATTGAATTTTGAACAAAATTTTATTAAAATACCTCAAAATAATTGAATTTTCGGGAGTAATTTTTTTATTTATCTTTAATAATTGAATTCTTTCGAAAAATTATTTGTGTAAATAATTGAATTCTTAGAAAAAATGTTATTAAAATTTTAAAAAATTGAATTATTTCAAAACAATTTAATTAAAATTGTATTTAAAACAATTTCATTCGAACAATTTTATTAAATTTTTGAAAATAATTATTCAATTCTTCCATAGAATTTAAAAAAAACATTTTTTTAAATAATTTATTTTTGTTGAGAAATTAAAATTAAGTTTTTAAGAATAATTAAATTTTTGAGCAATTCAATTGTATTAAAAATAATTGAAATCCTGCTATAAATTTTATTATTTATGAAAATAATTGAATAGTTTTTAATTTGAATAGAATTTTATTATAATTCTCAAAAATAATTGAATTACAGAGAAGAATTTTATTATTTTTGAAAATAATTGAATTATTGCGGAAAAGCTTATTAAAATATTTAAAAAGTATTGAATTTCTGTAAAAAAATTTATTATTCTTGAAAGTGAGTGAATTCTTCATTAGAATTTTATAAACATTGTTTTAAATAATTATTTTTTTTCGAAATATAATAAATATTATGAAAATTTTATTATTTAAAATAATTGAATTCTTGTGTGAAAACTTTATTTGTGAAAATAACTGAATTTTTCGATTATTAATTTAAAATAGTAATGAAAATAATTGAAATTCTTCGATGAGTTTTATTATTTATGAAAATAATTAAATTCTTGCTTAGAATTTAATCAAAACTTTTTTTTTAAATTGATTTTTCATGAAAAATTTTATTATTAGTGAAAGTAATTAAATTATTGTGAAAAATAAATTGCATAAAATTTTGTTAAATAATTGATTTTTTCGAAATTTTTTTTAAAATTAGCGAATTTAAAATAGTGGAAATTCTCTAAAAAAATATAATTTATATTGTTTGTTCAGAAAGTTGAAGATTATTTTTAATTTAGGTATCAAATATCAATTTTTGCGAAATTCAATTTACTTCGTACAAGAAAGTTTAATTATTTCCAATTTTGAAAATCTGATGTAAAATTTGAAATTAGTATTAAAATTTGTTAAAGTTTTTTATGTACTTTGAAGTTTAAAAATATAATATAATTTGAAAATTTAATTCTAATTAGTTTTTCAGTTATGTGTCATAATAAGTATTTCTTTAAAAATTACTTAAATTAAAATGACTTGAAATTGTTTACAATAAACAGTGTAATACAACATTCCCGCGCGGATAGTTTGGCTAGTACAATAATAAATTTAAAAATTGAAAATATTTAAAAAGAAAAATGATTGAAAAATGAGAAAACAAAAAAGCAAACAACAACTAACTTCAAACTGCAAACATATTATCAAAATACGACGATTATTAATATAGATTGTTTTTGACATCGTTAATTACGAATTTAATGATAGTTTTATAAAATTCAAAATGGTGGATCTAATATGGCGTACGCATTAATTAAAAATAATGGTCAAGTTTATAATTTTTAAATTAATATACTATTAAATGTATTATTATAATACCGTAAAAGAAAGCATCTTTAAATAAAAAATTATTTCAAAAAAAACATTGCTTACCTTAAGAGCAGTTCTGTGGGATATCGGATTAATTAAGGGATCAAAATAGAAAGCTGGTAAGTCTGGATCCTCCGTTTTTATGTACACGACATTTGGAGCGTGATACCTAGAAAAAGAAAATGTTTAATGTGAAGAAATTACTTTTAAATAAATTTCTGTTCACATATAAAATGTTTGTAGGTAGCATCAGCAGTTTTCTTATTCTCTTGCAAAGATTACGAATAACTTCTACCAATTTATGTACCACACTGCTAGTAAGATTAAACAGACTTAATGTCAATCTTAAAACTAGTGTGACGTCTGAGTTATTTCATTTAACATAATTTTAATTTACAAAGTTTACGATTTCAGTACTTGAAAGAATGTTATCTTTTATTGAAATTGACTTAGTAAGATGCAGTAAAGAAATATTCTTACCAAGAAAGATGCACATAATGTGGTAGATTATTGTACAAATAAGGAAACGCAATTCGGTATTCCGTTCTTATTGGTTGCCGTATAATGATTTTGTTTATATCGTTGAATTCATTCCAATCTTCATCAGCAGAATTGCTGTCTTTCACAAGAGGTTCGAATTTCGGCCCACCTGGAATGGCCATGTTTAACGCCTTTGCCGTGAAGAAGGATTTTATGTCGAAGAGATAAAAGAAATTCTGATCTACTAAATCCGTCAACAGTGGATTAGCTAGTCGGTAAAGTGTTGCCATCTGAGGTAACGTCAGATTCCATTTTCTGTAGGTCGATCCGTTGATGTACCTGAAAACATTATTCTTTTAACATTTCCAAGATTTATAAATTCCAGTCATACGCGATTTGAGGTAACTTCAGCTTAGCGTTTAATCCAACCACAACACCCCACTAAACTCATCTCAGACAAATCAGTAAGCATGTTGCAGCCGTCAACCCACATTTGTGATTGATTTCAGGACCCCTACGCTTTTCATCATATCAATCATTTTTAACAATCAAATTCAATATTTCAAAATAACTATATGCGTGTACCTGAAAATAAAACTTACTTTGTTCCAACGAGTGGTTTGTGGTCATAGAACCACTTTGCGACAGACTGATCTTCCTCAGAGTCAAGTTCGATTTGAATAGCTTCTAGTGGTTCGACATCCAAAACATTGTCAGCGTAGTCTAAGGGAGGTTCCTCATCATCGAAAGGCGGAAACCTCATTCTTTTAAAGTGTCTACGATCTCTTTTCTCCCGTCTCATCATCACCCACATTGTTCTAGAAGAAAAAAATACGACAATTAGTACTCCACAATGTAGAATCGAAACATTCGGAACAATTTCTCCGACTATGTTTACAAATAATAAATAAATGCAAAGTTTAGTACTTCGAGTATTAGTCAATAACGGCAAAGGGAATTAAAGTTCGTAGTTAATTGTCAGCAAGATGAGAGAATCTTAAAAAGACTTTGACTCTATTTGAAAAAGCAGAGAGTTTCTTCCTTTACTTCTATTTTATAAGACCTGAAAATCTACAAGAAGTACACTGACAAAATTCTTTTGAAAAAATGTAGGTACACTTTGAAGTGACTTAAAACTTACCCCCATTGAGCTATATACACTGGTTCGATGATCCATGGAATTTCATTGACAAATGTAATGGCTCCCGTAATATGGTATAATACTTTAACGTCCCTGATTTGCTCCCAAGGCATAGGCATATTTTCTAATAGTTTCATCACAGCGTGTGGCATATACTTCAGAGCTCTGCGAAAACAATTCTTTAGTCATGCATAACATAATATCTTCCGTAACACTAATTTCTTTAAAATCCAGTGCCCAAATTCAGCCTTAGAAACTTCAACTTTTCCGAATAAATAAATAAATGGAAATGAAATATGAAGAATTTATGCAAATATACACATAAAACCTTGCGCTTACCCTAAATAAACACGTTTGTCATGTCGATATTTTCGACTGCTCATATCTCCATGATCTCGAATTATCTTGCGAATATGCTCAGGTGGCATATCCTCCTTTTGTGCATCGACGAAACCGAATTTTCGCTTTTCTGCGAATCGTTTTGATTGCAATTGCTGCCATTTTTGAGCTGCATGAAAAAAATTTATTTAATGAAAAATTCAATTGCAGATAATAAATTTTAATAGAAAGGTAGATTATGCGATTGCATAACTGCATAATTTTTTAAATCAAGTATATAATAATATCATTGAGATGAAAAAATTTATCAATCAATCCAAGTCAGGTTTAGTTTAAAAAAACATCACTTTTTTTTAAAGTTTCGATGGCACAGCCATCCTCATCAGAAACTATAAAATATTTATTACATATTAATTATATAAACATACAAAAACAAATTTTTTAATTACAACAATTTTACAAATATAAGAAAATTATTTACCGAAAAATAAATCTTAAAAGTCTAGTGCGATTAACACGAGACTCGCGAACAAACTGAGTTACTATGCGAATGAATTAAATGAATATTTAATAGTTAAATTAATGTAATTTTTTCGGAAGAAATATTTGTAGTGAAAATTAAGATTTTTTATGTCATCATTTTTATTTAATGGATTTTTTTGTAAATTAATGCGGATCATTTCAGATATAATTCTTTTTTGACAAGCAACCTCATTATCCAAAATCGAAAAATTATCCCAGTCGAAATCATGACCAAATTCACGCTTATGTGCCGCTAACATTAGTTTTTGATTTCATATGTTCTTGGAGTCTTTTTTTAACCATTCTTTTAGATTCACCAACATATGTCTCCTAACAAGTTTGTTGTTGTTTGTCAAAAAAAGATTATTTATTATTTATTTTATTATTTATTTATTATTTATTTTAAACTCGTTTTGAACCCAAAGTTCTCGTTAAGTTCTCTTAAGTGTTAAAGAGGATCTACATTTTAAATATGATTGTGCAACTGGTTGAAGGGTAAGAGAAGAATAAAAACAAAGACTTCTTGACGAAGAGCACCGCGCCTTATCCAAGGATCGAAGGGAACGTCCAAACCTCTCTAGGATTAAACCAATAGAATGCTCGATATAGTCCAGGGAAATGTCCGACCACAAATCAATCATATTATATTCCACAAAAAAACCCTTAACTGCGCGAACCAATTAAAACCGTTCGAGGGGTCGCTCAACGCCAAGCTGCTAAGCCTCTCAAAACACTGCCTGGGATATCTGTGAGATTGCATTTTCGAAACTTTTTTAATTCAGTTCAGCGTCAATGAGAGGACTCCACGAGCCAGGTGCAGAGAACCCGTCTCTAGTCGAACTGCATAATCTGCTGTGTTTAATGGCAGAAGCAAAAGCTTCTTATAAAACAACACTTGTATTCTTTCAATCTGATGTAAAAATTGCGGACCCCAAACCTGAACCCCATAAAATAACACACTAATTGCCAAACTTTGTAAGAGTCTAGTATACATGTTCCAAGAGTCAGCACCTAGAGAGTGTAACGAAGCATTTCGTTATGATTTTCCTTTTTGTTTATTTAAGTTTAATATTTATTTTGAATATTCGCGGGTTTTGCGGGAATGGTTTTGATTGGGTCTGAGGCCCTTGGGTTGGTTTCGCGCAGCGGTTTCGAGTGTCCAATCAGAGGAGCGGGTTAGCTGTCTTTCCGTTGGACCAAGGAGTTTCCGTCGCGAGGAGAAGCCGGCCGGCGTCATTATCATTCATTACCGAAAAGCAAATTTGCGTGTTGACATTATTTTGAAGTATTGTTTGAGGCGTAAGCCAATTTAATTATTATAATTAGAGTCAGTTTTAAGTTCAGTACAAAGTGCATTACTTAACAATAAATCTTTGTTAATCTCATTATTGTATAATTATTTTGTGTTAAGTCAATTCCCGGATTAATTTGTGTGGAAAGTTCCTTTGCCAAATTCGCTACTTTTGGTAAGTCATGTTTCTTTATTGAAATTGTCGTTTCTGTCTCGCCATCGTCGCATCCGTCGGTTTAGTTCCGGGGCGGAATTTCCCCTGAGGTAGTTTTTGGTCTTGAGATTGATTGTGCAGTCGATGCAGTTTAATTGTTAATTAAATTAAGTCTGTCATAAGATAATATAGACCTTAAGATCCCACCGATCGCCGAGCGCGCACTACTCGTCGCCACAGCCATCTGCTGCGCAAATGAGCCTGAATTTGAAAAAATAAAAATAAATTAATTTTTGAAGATCATTCTAACGTTAACTCAAGTATTATTCGATCAAATATCCTAGAATAAGGATAAGAGTTGTGAGGTCAATAGTTCGTCCCTGCGACCTTACATCGATAGAAGGGCCAATATTTCGATCAATTGTCGCTTTACAAAAATTTTGAAAACATGATACTCTTTGTTCGACCGTGAATCACTTGTGTGATCTTAGAAAACTTGTTCGATGTTGTTTGACTGTTTGAACCGATACTGGTTTTGTACGATCGACAAGAGTCGATATTTGATCGACATCACATATGTGATTAATGTTTTTTTTTATTTTAATAAATTTGGTTTTGTTCCTGGAAGTCACTTGGTTTTATTTTATATTATTTCATTAGGGTTCCCCAACGATACCCTCCTTGTGATCTCATGTAAAATTTATATTTCGTGTTTTGTTAATTTCATAAAAATTAACTGGCGTCCGCGTATTTATTTATATTTTTCTTTTTCGCCAAATAGAGCACCAGCAACTCTGAACGTATTTGCGTTAGTTTCGGACAGTGCTCCTGATATAAATGTTTGTTTCCGGCTACTTCAAGAACTTGCAATGCCTCATTCAATTCACATTCAGTATCATCAAGTATCATGCTCACAAGCTAGATAAGATTGCCAAAGTGATTTCTGATAAATTAATTAGATTGAATGAATATGTTGTCAAGACTAAAAAATTGTTTAAAAACACACGAAAAAGAAAGCACAATTATATGAAATATTTAAAAGACACTTATTCTTTTACAAATGCTAAGAAAGCTAAGCTTTTTCCCATGGAGTATAGACTTAAGGAGACCAATCTTATATGCATGTACTTCACTGAAAGGCGCAACATTTTGTCGGAAGTACATCAGTAGTACGTGTACATCCTGTAGAAGGCAAACGATCGCATATATAGTCGCTTGATTAAGTCCTAACCGTCCTAACCTTATTTTTGCTGTATTTTGAAATTAAAAATAATTTCAAATAATAAATAGGTAATATAAAATTATGACAATGAATTTTATTTTCATAAATAATAACATTCTTCGAAAACATTCAATTATTTTTAATACAATTTTTATAAAACTTCACTAAAGGATTCAATTTAAAAAAAAACAAAGAAATTCTTCAAAAAATTTAATTATTTATAAAAGTTATAATAAAATTGATTAAAAGAGTTTAATGTTCTGTCAATAATTTTAATAAAGTTTTAATAGGCACGTGGCCACTGAATAACATGACCTTTATAGTAAAATTAATTATTACTATAATTTGAGGCTTTGAGGTTATTAACATAACCTCAAACTAAAAAGTGATCTAACAATTATGACAAATAGTAGCTCATTCCGTTCTTTAAAACATTTTTTACAATTACATTTGTTAAATTTTATTTAAAATATTTTGTTCATTAGTTAAGCAAATAAAATAAAAAAAATTTTTTTTAATAACTTTTGAACAAAATATTTTAAACAAAATTCAACGAGTGGAAATGTAGAGAATGTTTCAAAGATGAGTAGAATGAGCTATTATTTATCAAAATTGGTTACAAATTTTAATTGGTTACTGACCCTTAAAGAAAAAACACATAATGTTTAACAATTATGATTTTACATCAAATTTTGGTCCAACCTAATTTTTCCTGATAATTGTACAACTGGATCTTTCAGAATTTGGTGAAATCATTTTAATTATGGTTTTATTTGCTGTTAAAAATCACTTTTTAGTTTGAGGTTATGTCAAGCGATCGACACTCCTGAATCAAAAAAATCTGTAAAAAGCACATTTTTTCACAAAAAAGTCGCACAATCCGAGCCCTGTAATATAGACTTTGTATTGTTATCTTATTATTATTATATTTATATTTATAATTTGAATATATAGTATATACATGAATTAGTAAACTTATAGAAATCCATGTTCATTTTAAAACTTCAGCTATCTATGCGATCGTTGCGCGCTATACGAGAAGATTCAGAACTATGAACTTCCGACATAAAATGGTTGATTTCATACACACTACATTGGTCTCCTTAAGTCTATACTCCCTGCTTTTTCCAATGCCCGTAATGAGTAGATGCATTGAGAGAAAAGAAGGTGCACTGCTGTTCATTTGGAGGTTGTGTATCGCAATTCAAATTTGGATCAACTGGGCGTGTAACGCGCCCCTTTAGAGCGCGCTGCTGACTCTTGATTCGTGGGACGCAGAGAGACCGCATGGTCAAATAACCTAGGTTATGGAGACCATGCGCTCATACCGACTTCGACTCTATTCTGGACTCTCCTTCAAGAGTCAGCAGCGCGCTCTAAAGGGGCGCGTTACACGCCCAGTTGATCCAAATTTGAATTGCGATACACAACCTTCAAATGAACAGCAGTGTACCTTCTTTTCTCTCAGTGTGGGGATCCTGGAGATTATCTGCAGTGTACCTTCGGAAGTATATTGAAGATGTAGCAAAATTTGCAAAGACTGTTTGTTGATTTACCTCTGTGATTTAGGTACAATAAAAGTATATACCTATACTTATAATAGTATGAATGTATGTATACGGAAAATTTTAAAAGACATACTCGAATCACATCATTAGTCAGTAGAGAGCCAACTCTCTCTCTCTCTCTATTGTACTCGAGTTTTAAAGCTGTTAGTTCAAGTACTAGCATCAAAAGCACTATTGTCTCATTTGTTGTATTCTAAAATGAACAAAGTGCTCGTGATTTTTTCAGTTTTCAAAAAAGCTAATGATGTCAAAATTGTCTTATATGAAAATATTTAACGTAGCCTTACCGCTCTTTCCAGTAAAAAAAAGAAAAAACTTAGAAGACAGAATACAATCTTTGAGCAAAAAATGTGACGAACTCTTTTTAGATCATTTGAGTTTTGATCCAGCAAAATCTTTGTTCAAAGCTGTT